CTTCAGTAAAAACACTCGTGGTTATGATGTTAAATTGGATGTAAGTGGATGTTGGATTTTACGGTTTTCTTCGCGTCAGAAATTTACCCGTTAAAGGAATCATCTGTCAGCGGAGGAGGGATTGAAGAAAAAGGGGCAGGAAAGGGCATTTCATTTCCTCTCCTAATCGTTCCTCTCTCACTACTAAATTTAATCCTTTAATTCCCATAAGTGATTGATATGTAACTTCTCCCTCCAACATCTACAGATTATCCAGCCAACATGTAATGAGAATACTGAAACTTATCAGGTAGAAGTTAGTAGTTTTGATCTAACACCAAAATTCTTATGATTTATTTACAAGGAAATATTTAGCATCTAAAGGGGAGAATTAACAATCAGATCTTGGGAGTTAAAGGGTTAACGATTTTTGTACCATTTTGGTGAAGTTCTTTCTTTAAAGATGACATATTCTTGATTTAAACGACAAAATAATGTAAAACCATTTGAAGTTTTTCCTTTTCTTTGTCAAAAATTGAAACTGTTTTTTTTTTTTACAAGTTTATCTCTTTTTACTTAAATATATTTAATTTATTGATGCTTAAAGTGATGAAGTGACATCGCTTTCGTCGAGCTTTCACAAAAAATCTTTTTTAAAATTCCGAAAATTTTACGACTTAGATCATACTAGTCGTAACTTTATGAAGTAACTCCCTTAAGCTCTAATACATTTGAGACGCGACCGCTTTATAGACTTAATATTTGAAAGATTAAATCTTGTATCTTCTGGTGAGTGTCTCCGCGCAGGTGCTAACATCTTTTTTCTCTTTCAATGCCTTTTTTTGGAAACGCACGACATACTTCATCAAAAAAACAGGTCTCATTTGCGTTAACGATTTGAGTTGCCCTTTGCATTTCATGTTTTGTTTACACGAGCAAACTAGCAAGCTGTCGGTGCATATTTGGCAAATTACGCGACAACTCTGAGTGTGATTACATGTTCCAAATTCCCACAGGACTAAAACACTGGGTAGCTTCCGCATCGAGTTTCGAAATTTATTTGGTCGCATGTGTGGCTCACGCATAAAGAAAACCTGTCTTTCACGAAAAAAGAAAAAAAAAAAAAACGGACAATTTTTCTACGAATGATTTAGACGAATCCAAGCACTTTCTATGCCCAAAAAAATCTTAAAGGCTTATTTAGTGTGATTCGTTTGTTTGTTTGCTTGCTTTCTGAACAAAAACACTTTCCTTCAAACGTTTTCTGTTCCGGGAAATGCATCTATCGATAACCAGAATATTAACCATATAGTGCGCCGTCACGTAACAAATTGCTGCTCTATCGTTGGTTCATCAAAGCACTGAAGGGATTAGTCGTTTGAATGCCTGATTTTCTTATGTTTTCACAAGCTTTAACCAAAGGAAAACATTTATGATCCCTCCAACATTTGAAGATCTTCGATGAAATTTTCCTTTTTCACTTTTATCTTCTAATTTTTGGGATCGAAAGTTTTACTCTATTCGGAAATGCGGAAGAACTTTGGCAGAACAAGGGTTTGAGAAGAATTGTTGTTGTAACAGGTGTTGTTTTTTTTCCGTCGCTAGGAAATTGAAAACATTTTTACAAAAAGCCATTTCCGAAAAATGGTCTTTACGATATCTGAAGAATAAAGCTCACCAGACAGATGACAAGAGCGGTTGTCAGAATTATTGAAGACAACTTGACATATTTACAGAAGAAAAATGGAAAAAACATTGACAAACAAAAGCATGAAATTTCTCAGAAATAGCTCGCGTGATGTCTGCCAGAATTTAAGAGACATCTAGCGCAACTGAATAGTCATCAAAATTATAGACCACATTTGGCAAGAAAAAATGCTAAGTATATTACGAGTCCCCCAAAAAAAAACGAGAGATATTTTCAACGAATTTCCAAACAGAAAGCAATGTCGCTAAAATAGAATCTTGCTAATAGAAACCCTCAAATTATTGTTAAAGCGAGTAACTTAGTCACATGAAATTGTCAAACGTAACAACTGCCTGTGGTGATATAATGACAGAAAATCGCGAAATTGGGCGACAAAATCGAATAAGCTCGTTGGTTTCAGAATGCAGTGAACTTTCGAAAGGTTCTTTTCAGATACTTATGTAAAGAAAAACTTACATCGCCTTCGGATGAACGATATTTAGATAGTTGGATCTTAAATGTCTAAATATCTAAATATGAAACATTTGCTGAGCCGGAGCTTGATCAAAAGAAATAAATTTTCCCTTAATTCAACAAGGAAGATGGAACTAAATACGTCTATGCAATTCAAAACCAACAATGAAAGGAATATAACACTCCCAAAAGTCACAACGATTTTTAAACTCGATTCATTCGAAGTCCATAATTGCTGGGTAGGTAAACATGAATGTTCGAAGAAGCCTGTTTAATTATTAAGTTCTAAACATCTGAAAAAAAGCCGTTGTTGTGTTTAGAAAAGAGGGATTGCCTCTAGGTACAGTTTATGCATGATTTAAGCGCCTAATCGCTCAAAAGATAGCTTTCATTGTATTATTTTTAAAATATCTAACAAAATCCCTTCAAAATGTGACAACGGCCTGAAGGTAGCGGCGAAGAAGGATTGATGCAACAACATCTAAGAACGTATCATTTGAGGAACTTACCATACGCGATATTTCCCCGATAATATATGCCCAAATATTCCACCGTTTGGAGCTTTCAGACGATGTATGGGAAAGCCAACGTCTAAGCGAAATACAATACGAAAGATATTGAAAAAATTAATGTGACAGCGTTACATAGAAACCCAACCAATCATCTTTTGTTTATCCAAGTAAATTGCAAGCCTTACCGAATTTGAAATATAAATATTAATAAGTTTCACAACAGCAATTGGTTGAGAATGAAAGCGATAAACAGAATTGGTGTCACAGATGTAGAAATGGAATCTCTTACGACATATTTTGCATTTTCTATTGACAGCTTTGGGCGTTGATTCGATTAAATTTCTTGCACCGAGCGGGTTTAATTTTGAAGGATTTATATCATAACTTAGAGGCTCAGAACGTAATCTTTCTCGCGATCTTCAATTCGAAACCTGCACGGGAAACAAAAAAATTATTAGCAAATGTTTTTGTTATTAAAATATTACATGAAAATATGGGAGTTCTTCCGCAGTTATCGGATATCATTTCTCGCTTGATTCGATCTTTATTTACGACTGGAACAACGTGAAGAAAATGTGTCGTAACACAACCGGAAAGCGATTGGGCCTAAAGTGAATATAATCTTTTTAATCCTGTATATTTGGAACAAGTACATGCATGTGTGGTAGAGATCGTGGTGGACTTGAACACGATTTGTATAACTTTGTTTATTACATCAAATCTACAGGCGGTCTGATACAAATACTGCAATCTGATTGGCTTCGCTACTCGCTATCTATCACATGATAGGTAGGTGGTAAAGCGAGTGGTAACAGTAGTGAGTGAGGTTGTAAAAAAAACAAAATAAAAAACCGGTGATGTTAAGTTTTGAACGACTAAGAAGATTTATAGTAAACAAAGAGATTATCCACTTTCGCTTTCTTTATGTGGTGACTGATAGAGGCTTCGCTCTCACCTTTCATGACACGATAGAAATATCGAGCTCATAATCTTTTTGTTCAATGGTGACTGAATTCCTCACGTAAAGAATTATGTGTAAAAACCAGATGCCGGATCAGTTGTACTAATATGTTCCATAACGGGGAAACCTTTCTATTAACGATTGTGTGGGTTAAATTAACCACCAGAAGGTTAACGAAAGACATCGAGAGTTCTTTAAAACCTCGCGAACAGAATGCTGAACTGAATTGGTAGGCAACCTAAGTGCGAAAGGATGCGACGGATGTATGATTTTGGTATAATAAAGACATTGGCAAAGATTCTCAGTGAGAATATAATTATTGCAATTGATCGCAGGTGAAACATGGTTTCCATAACCTTGCAAGGCAGGGGGTCATTTGACTCTCGGTTTTTCTGGTTTTGGTCGACTTTGGGATCAACTTTTTTTTTAATCTAAATCTTGGTATTCACATTTTCTTTTTAATTCACTTTTGGATCCAACTTCTTTATTAAGAGCTTTGGTGGCTGGTGGTTGCTGGTATCACGAAAAAGAAGGCAGTTTCTTCTTTTGAGTAGATCGCTTTTGTTCCTAATCATCGACATTTCATCTCTTTTTAGTGCATCATTTGGCGTAACTTTTCGGTTTACATTTTCCGGTTCTAATAAGGCCGACTACTTTTACACAACTTTCACCATTTCTTTGTTTGTTTGTTTTTTTTTTAACATAGGGCTCCTAGGCATCCGCGTCTCCTCCGCCGAAAACGGGAGAATGAGAGTAGAGCCCATGCTTTCTCGTACTTTAACTCTGCCAACTCGAAAGATCAGACGCATAACACTTTTTATCCCTGCAAAAAAAAAAACGGACCTGAAATCATCTTATTGCAGAACATGAACTTCTTTCAAGAATTTCGCCGAACAGATTCTGCCAAATTTCAACCTTTGGCTGTAGAGGTGCGCACAAGCAAACGGAGGATTGAAACAAAACTTGAAAATCAAGAAAGGTATATGAAAGGGAAAGGCCGTGTTGAATCGGCCATGCACGTGCATATAAATCCTTTTAGGTGCTACTCAAGTTAAACGCTGTCTTTGATCCCGGAATCGGTGGTTAGTCTCATCTCCAGTGCCACCTCGCAATAAAAAGAAACGAGGACTTTGGAATCGAGGCTGTTTGCAAGTTCTGGTGCAAGACAGGGCTGTCCGCGCATGCGCATGGTCTTGTCGTCAGCGTGACGTCACGAGCGATTGTCGACGTCTCTTGAAAAGTGTAAAATGCCAACGGTTTGTTTTGATTGCAGCTACAATGCGGCGCCCGTCAGTCATTTTCTTCATTTTACCAATTTCACTTTATATGTGAAATCTTTTGAGGAAGGAAACATCGCAAATGTAATACAAAACCGGGTTTGGGCGAAATGGCCTCCTTTCTCAAGGAGAATAATTTTATATGGCTTCTGGCAATACTTTGTATTGTCTTGTGCGCGGGGATTGAGGGAAAAGGAAGCCTTCAAGGAGATCACATCGTTTTTTCTCCATTGCGTATAGGAAATAACTACACATTGAATAGAAGCAAGAGCGACTGGTTCCTGTCCAGTTATGATTCAGTCGCTGAAGCTGTGGTTTTATCATTGAATTTTTCTCCTCCATACGGTAAGAAATTTTATGAAGTCACTAGCGGAAAAGCAGGAAATTAAGCCTTAAATTGGCTTTGTTAATGATACCGAGGGATTTTTCGCGGTGTTGGGAGTTTGTTGAAGGTAAAGGTTGGCGAGGTAAAGAAACATTTCCTTGTGCAATAGCCTGTGAACAGCAGCCTTCAAGTTAATGACAGAGTCACTCATGTGTATTAAACCATAACATTTTTAAACGCGCTTTATCTTTCAAGTTTGTAAATCGCCTAGCACTTTTCCTTAAAACAGGAAATTAATATCTAAGCTCGGCAAGATTAGGAGACTGAGGAGAGGAAGAAAGGCAGTGTTATTCCATAAACTTTTTTGGCGAGATTTCAATGCTTATTTCAATATACCCGCTATAACATTTATCTTATCAATTCAAGAAAGTCTTGAATTGATAACATAAGTCTCCAGAAATTTAGAAACTTTCAATTCTCTTTGCGGAATATAGAAAGTCTGGCGTAAAGGCATCACTTCAGTCTCATCTAAAAGGAAAAATAGTGAGATTTTCAGCGTTATACTTTGTTGTATTTTACTTTCTTCAATAATTTAGCGCCTGCTATTTTTTGATAGCCGCCGTAAGAGAAAGAAAAAGACCATGTTATTTCCCAGATTGAAAACAAAGCTTTTCTTTCCTTTTAGCACTCAAAAACACCGGCCGTATATTCCATCTCTCTGTCGCTTAATTGTCAAAATCATTGACTTTTTCTTTAACCAGTAAACCACCCTTAAAAGATCAGAAGTTAAGTTTGTAAGGAAACCTGCATCTTAACGGCGATGTTTACAATTGGAGCAGTGCAGGGTAACCATTGTGTGATTTTCGGTACCTGCAATTTTTCTCAGGTATCTGGAGAGACTTTCTATTGTATGACGGCGAGTTTCTCGTACTTTTAAATATACGTGGCCCAAACAAATACAATTAAAGCTGTTTTCTTTAGGTGAATACTAATCATATAGTTTTAAGACCCTTCGCGAAATTTGATAGAAATTTCAGAAAGATTACAGTACATCACCCACACTTTTAATTAACACTACCTATATTTGTTAATTGAACTAATTGAATCGGAGCTGAAGTTGTTCAGGTTCACTCAGCCCTTACACACAACCCTTATAATTTTCCGTTTCACATGGTAACAATGCTTCAATGTCCAACAACAGGACATTTCTTAAATTTTCACATTAAATTAAATCTAGCAACCTCCAGTTATTTACCACATTTTCTTAAATTGTAATATGAAGACTTCCTTGCTGTCATCCATAGCCCGCTAGGATGATAAACGGACATGATAAAATCTTCGGAAAGCTGTACTCCAGCGCATTCATGAATTTTGAGATTCGGTGTTAAAACAGAGTGATACAATTTAAGTTTTCAGCCAATTTAGTTCAAAAGAAAAAAAACCTTCCGGCCATGCTGGATAGAAATCCAGGATGCGTGTACTTTGACGCTCGACCTTCGGCCGAGTGCTTCGCACTTTACGGCAAAAAGCCTTGACTCTCAGTAATCAGTAACATGCATTTTCAAGTGTCATGTTTCATTCTTAAACCTTATGAAATTCACCAAAAATTTACAACCATCTCAACCATCTGCAGCAATCTAAAATTCTTGTGTTTCATCTTTTGTAGATGCCATTAAAGATGGACTGCGAAGTCTTGAAGGGATCAATAAATTTACGGCTGGGGACATCGCAAAAAAGGTAAAAAGTACCCAATCTACACAAGTCCTTTTAGGAAACATCTAAATATTAAATTGTTAAAGAAATTTGAAAACTGTGATAATTATCTGTACTAAAAAATATTTATTTTTTTTCCTTTTTTCTCCTGTAGGCAATTACTGAGAATCTTCCTTTGACACTTCTGACATGTGTCTCGCTCATAAGCGCTTTTGGAATACCGCTGGTCGGTATCATATTTGGCTGCTTTCGGTGCAAGGGGAAATGCGGCGGTGCGCTGATAGAGGAGGATCTGGAATCAAACCCAAAGAAACGTCGGCAAATGTTTACAGCAGCAATTTCCATTTGCACGCTTTTGATCATGTAAGTTTGATTCCCTGTCTGATTAGCGACTATAATTTTCAAATTTTTAAAGGTATCTTATTCAAGAATCCAACTGAAGCACGCTATTGACAGCAATCTCTTTTTTTTTCAGGATCGCTGCTTTTTCAATCAGTCTGATTAACGACAGAACTGACAATGCAGCCCCCGCATTAGATTCTCTCTTTATGGACTCCATTGTGGATATCGCAATTTACAAGGAGAACACTTTGAATGTAGGCTTAAAACTTTTTTGGTGATACTTGTAATTCCGACACTAGATGCTTCAATTTTGTTTATAAGTATGGAATTAAGGACTTTTCGTATTTTTACGTAGTCTAACCATCAGTAGTAGAGAGTTTGTGCCTTGCTTCCTCAATATCTGACGTCACTACAGATAATCCCCTGGTCTTTAGTTCCTTATTTACGACAGTCTCTAGTATTTATTGATAACCCTGACGGGAGATCAACCATCTTTTCCTCACATAAGGCTTCATGTCACATGGTTTTTTAGGGGAAGCGGAGGAGGGACTAGTCGTCGCTAACAGAGGAATGTAGAAAAATGATTATCAATAAGAGGGTATCATTAGAATATTACAGAGCCTTGGTGGGGTGGGGGGGAGGGGGGTTCTGGTAAATCTGATTATGAACCAACCGAAATCCTCCCAGGCCACTCCCCTATCCCACTGGGCGATAAATAAAAATAAAAATTAGCAGAAACGGGATAAATAAACTAATTAAACTATGAATACGAAAAAAAGCAAACTAACAGCAATTAGAATCTGGCTGAGTATAGTAAAAAAACAGAAGTGAATTTTCTCTTATATCATTGGCCTAACAAAGAAAAGTTATCAGCTCATAACTCTATTGCGGATGATGCAGCGAGTGGACTCGTCAAAAGAGGGCTTAGACTGCGTATGGCCTAAAAATGACGAAGTTTACGAAATTAGTTTTAAGCTCGTAAAACAAATCAATTTAGGGGCCTAAGCGGGGGGTGGCGGCGGTGGATTTTGGAAAGATCACATTCTTTTCAGGGGCATGGAGGGGGGTATTAGTCGTCGCAAACAGAGTAGAAAGGGGGGCTGACAATTAACTGCCATGAGGTGGGGATCATGATAATGAATATTGCAGAGCCTTATGGGGGATCATAAGCGATGAATGACGATCGCTTTTTTTTTCCTTTAAATCAAAAACGGATTTGAATCATTTTTTAAGCCTAAAACTGGAATCGACAAAAAACGAAAGTGACAAGTTTTTGTAGGAAATTGTAAAAGATCTATTTTATGTGTTATTTGAATATTTTTTTTCCTTAGGAATTATCTGAAGTAACTGGAGAAAACATGAATTTTACGATCGGTCTTATATCCCAGGAACTAAACTGTAAGTTGTTTTAAGAGACATCTGATGTATGTTGCATGGATCGATTACCTCTAGATTAACTATGAGTACTTTTGAAACCTGTTATAATTATTGTTTCATAGATTTACCAGTTAATATAACAACCCCGGTTATAAAACGGGCTGACAACGCCGCAAAAGCAGTTCTGGACAACGTGAAAGAACTTGGATCAGGTAGGTATCCTTCATTATTGAGCTGACGGTGCTGTGCCCTCAAAATGCTTTCATTCAATAAAAATAAAGCTGGCGTAGTTTTTCTAGATTACTCGTTTATCAAAACTAAAATAGACACGGTGAAGCCAAATGATTGAAACTGCCGCCTGAAATTAGATACACGTTGGAAAAAGGGAAAAAATCAGTGGAATGAAAAGTCGTATGTTTTGCCAAGGATGATGGTGTAGTAGGCGACTGTTTCGTAAGGAGAAATCCGAACACCAGAGCTTGCAGGCTAAACATACGACGGTAGACCGCCGATTTCCGGTTTTTATCGAAACTGCTTAAAGTATACCTCATGTCCAAAAGACCACAAGATGGCCTATTGATTTTATTGAGGGGAGATTCAATCTCTTCCAATTTTCCTCTCTTGGATTGTGTCTTGAACTGTTTTGCAGAACTTGGAGACCTAAGGGACTCTTTAAAAGATGTGGCAGATATTGTTAAGAATTTACGTATGCTCGGCCAAAAACTTCGCGATGGTTTGAGCGAGGTGCGAAAGAACTTGACAGAAGCGAAAACAGAATGTAACAATGATGAGCCGTCTAAAACTGCTGGTGCTTGCGACAAAATACCCAGTGGAGACCCCTTAGAGGCCGATGCGGACTTCAATAAGGTAATGCTACGAGCTAAATACGATTATCTTAACTCTTCGTTTAAAAACAGAATTCTATGCTACGTTTGTAACATATTTTCTGTCTATGTACTCGTCGTCGGGTTTTTCTCTCGAAAATAACTCGTAGCTTATATCACAAACTAGTGAAATTCCCAGACTTTACGGACCATTTCTAATTGCACATGGGTAGAAGTCACCGTTTGCCTCGGTTTTCCTTCAATGCGCTCTCTTTAAGCGCTCTAGAAACGTTGGAACAACTTTCTAACCAATCACGACTTCTACACTTTCACTTTGTATTTGATGGTTTTGCTTTAATTTGACAATCAATCGAAAAGCGCTATAAACCTAACATATCGCACTTTAAAGCAATTTCTAAAACTTAAAGCCTGCCCTTTTCCAAGCCAAGAATGAAAATAGGTGCGGCACAAATATTATTTTGTTCTGTAGTCTGATCGTCCGGGTGAGTGTAAGTCCAGAGAAGGAATGTTAGGAATGTTGAGGGAAAGTCGCCATAGGAGTTAAATGAGGAGTTCTTGACAGTCAAGTGTATACAGTTCGGTTCGTGTAACCTGATTGGTCAGTTTAGCCGTGATGTTACCGGCCATAAGACTCAAGTGGCGTAAGTTGGTCTTGAGTGGTCAGTCTATGCATCAGTAATGAAAGAAATATTACCTAAGGACAAAAACTATGATTTGAAAAGATGTTTCTAACTTGCTGAATTATTAATTTTGACCGTTCCTGATTTTATACTTGTTCTTGGTCCTTTCAGGTTCCAGATTTAGCTCAGGAGTTGTCGAACATTGAAGGAGTTCTTGCCAGAAACGACTTCGAAGCACAAAGCGTTCAGGTAAGTAACTAGAACGTGGAAAGCATTATTCTGCAATTATTGAATTTGACGAGGATACTGGGATAAAATTACTATTGAATTATTTCATTTATTAATACAGACGTTTACATTTTAGGGGCAAAATAGATTTATGTCAATGACAGCAAAAGTCAACGAGAAGATATTGTCGGGAAGGGAAGGTGTGTGTGTGTTTCCTACAATTGAAGCTGGAACCAGCAAATCCAACAAAAATTATTCCAGAAAAACAAGTCTTAGCTTAGATGGTTTACCCTTCTTCCTCTTTCAGAGATAACAAATTTTACCAAGGAACTTCAAGACTTTGCTGCAAAGATGGTAAATACACTGGAAGACGCTGGTGATTCGGTAAGGTTCTTCCTCAGTGTTATAATCAACAACGATAAGAAGCAACAACGAAAAACGGCAAGAAAAGCAACATAAATAAAAACAACAACAGCAAAATAGGAATATCAATAAGACCGTATTCAGTCAGTATAATTTAGGCTAGTCCTGCTGCAGTAGTTTTCCTAAAACTTCACCTGATTTGGAGACATCAACATCATTACCAAGTTTTGCTCCCTCGCGCGTTCTAAACACTTGACAGATGTTGTGATTTGGCTCAAACCATTTTCTGCTGTATCTGGCAGAGATATAGAATACCGAAGACTAAGACTATCTTAGCAGGCTTTAATTATTTTTTAATTTTTCCTGTAACTTTATTCATTTCCCCCTCTCCCTCATTTCAATATCGCCTAGTGTTACAAAATGCTCACTTATCTGTTACAACATTGTTTAGTGGGGAAAGGAGGGATTTTCAGGTACCTTGTTAAAGATTCAGTATAAGATTTCTGTTTATCGTGTTGATTGGAAGGCTGTCGAACACCTACTGAAGGGAGACGTACCAACTACCTCGGCCACTTATTGTTCGTCTATATAACAACAAGAAAATATGATCTCCCATTAAAAAAAAATAAAACTTGCACCTGAAAACAGCCAGAGACTATTCTTGTTCAAACTCAGGCGCGTGTTGAGCTAAAATTTAGTTATTAAACTTGTCGCTTGGCGATCAGTGATTTGTGGCGATTTAAGGTGTCACAACTTTTTCTTCTCAGTTGCAAACAGAAATTCTATTGCCAACAAAAACAGAAGTCCACACTATATTTGGTAGAGGAGGATTGTTCAACAGATATGATAAATACAGGTATTTAATAATGCATTGCAAAAATAGGAAGGAGTGGTTTAAAGAATTTGTCTGAAGGGTTTTTAACGTTTCATTCAAGTGATGTATTGTTGATTTTGTCAAATTGCGTACATTACAGTGATACATGACATAAAAATGATTTTGAAGAGATGCATCTACCGTATTTCATCGAATACGCGCCCACGTTCTTGTAAGCGCTCTCTCCCCTGAATAAGCTCCCACCTCAGGCCATAATAGGGAGTTTAAGTAAACCACGGCGGCAACGGCAACGAGAACGTCTCTAAACAAAAGGTTTAAAGAGCAGAACAATGGCTGTGCACGTGCGTTATAAATTTTTGTAAATTTCTCTGCGTCCTCTGCGAAACAACAACGTGAAATGACCAAACTTTGCGTTGTCTGGAGAACGTGAACGACGACAGCTAATTTTTTAAATTTCTAATTTAAGGCTGTGCTCCATATTCAGTTTCGAGATAGTTTTGACCGTGAAAAACAAACAAAATGACATTTGAGTATCGTGAGATTCGTAGGTAAAATGAAGGTTCACTTTTTAACCGACGTTGTCCATGGCGTCACCGTCGTCGTTTCTTAAACTCCCTAATAGGGACCTTAAGCAGTCAGGACGGCAACGCTAAAGAAGGCTTCGAGTAAAAAAATGAATTTCTGCCTTTAATTAGAATTTCAAAAATAGTTGCATGTGTTTACCGTCTCATACGGCGCCACACCTTAACTTCACTCAACAAATAGAGATGCCTTGACTGTGCTCTGTTCTGTTATAAAGCACGCAGGAAGCGGCTAGAGCACGAAAGAAGTGTAGGGAGAAACACGAGACGTAGTCGAGTGTTTCTCCCCACTTTCTCCCCACTTTCTCTCCACTTCTTCCACAGCGGTGTGAGTACACGAGAACAGTTTCTTAATAAGCGCTCCCCTCGCTTAAGCGTCCTCTCTCTAATACATGTTCCTCCTTTAAGCCGAAATTTTTAAGAGGCACCCGAGCGCTAATTCAAGGAAATATGGTATATACTGACTTAGTTCGAACTCTTAATTCTGTTAATTCGTGCAAGGTGTATGTCGAAGTTTTTTCCAGTTGCTGTGACGAACATGGGGATATCGTAAAAAAGTATTAATCTTAAATTCACTCTTCTTTAAGAAATGCTTTAAGATATCAGTGATAAAGTTTGTCAGATATCTTTGTGATAAATCCAGACTATGATTTCAGACGATTGACACAAAAATGTCTAGTTTTCAGAAAAGTTTTCTTATTTATTTACATCAGCACGGGTCGTCGACATTTATTCATCTTTCAGGTGGATTACCCTTCTGTCAATCTCTCTCGCTGTTGTTTTTGTTGTTTTGTTAACCTTCCTGTCTCTCATATCCGGTGCTCTCGGTGCCAGTCCTTCGGATACGCCTAGCACGCGCTCTGGCATTTCAAACTGCGCGGGGAATGCACTCATGTGGTAAGAAGACATTTCTTAATCAATGTGGACTTTGTCATGTATTGCATACTGAATGACTCATTTTACAGCTTAACTAAATAAACAAGTGTAGGAATTGGAAAGAGGATTGTTCGATTCTGTCCAAATACATAAGACAATAATAATACCTTTCGTTGATATGAGCATAATAATGAACAAATGGAAGAGTAATTCAGAATGTTGTTTTTGAAACTCTTTAGTCCCACCACAACCCCATTTTAAGCATCGTATTTTATTGGCTTATTTTTTCTCATTATAAGGTTCCAGTGGAAATTAAACAGCTGAATTAGAAACTGAGTAGTCCGGGATTGGGTTGGTTTGTCTCTCTACGTTCTGTGGATTGGTTTAGAAACCTCGCACCACTCTCTCAAACAATCAGATACGATGTAAAACCAATTTTGTCGTCATATACACTCTTCTGAGCTTAAAGTAACATCAGTGTAAATTTGACTTTGTGTGCTCATCGATTCCTTTTGATTTTCATCTTTGTTTTGGTTGGTTGTGTTAAATACTTTTCCTTCTTTGCTCTTGCGACAATCGATCGGAAAACGCTCTACTGTAAGCAAGGTTTCTCAACTAAAGATTTTTTCGTTGTTTTTTCCTCCCATAGTGTCGTGGCTTTGTATTTCTTCAGTGCTTTCTTCCTCAATTTCATTCTCGCTCTTACGTTTTATGTTGGAGCTAACGCTACGATCCTCTGCAAGTCAGCTGCTGACCTTAGCCTCCTAGAAAAGGTAAGTTAAGATAACCTTATGACAACATAAGAAACGCCGATTTTTAATTGTTATTGATTTTTTTAATCAAAATGTTGATGAATACATGAGAAGGCTTTTTTATTACACGTAATCAACCAACTTCATGTAATACAATATAGCCCACCAAAGCGGTCTTTGTTCAAGGTGATCGGCACCTAACTGGTGCCGATCACCTTGGTGGTATAGTCATGAGGGGGGTATCATCGTGATTTTATGCCTCCCATGTGGCTAGGCGTAATTTGTACCTGTGTAAAAAATATAACCGGTAACAAAACATTATAATTGTTTGTGTTTGCAACTTTCCAGACCATAGACGATCCTTCAACTTTAGGATACTTTCCCATCTCTAAGGCAGTGCTGGGAAATGGAATCATAGACATACGACTATCTGATATACTCAGGTAACGCAAGGGTAGAGGGTAGGGTGAAAATTTGCCCTCTTCCCCAGTTTTAACTCCTAAAAAAACATGAGTTAAGAACGGGAAAATGCTGTTCTATTGAAGATTCTGAGGAATGCGTATAGGAAAGAATTAAAACATTCGGACTTCCCTCAACGCGTTTTCGTCAAATACTTCCTAGAGAAGTTTGGAATGAGTCTCGACTGATGGAAACAAGGGAAGGAGAGGAAAGAATGAGATTTTCCATTCAAGATCAATACCTTAACACGAGCATCGAGCCTACAGCATTGCACTGTAACCAGAGATTGTAAACAATTTAGAATCTGTCGACTGAAATTATAACTTATCGTTCATTTCTCTATTTTAAGCAAAAGTATATGTATTAACAGAATTTCATTTTTAAACTGTTTTTTAATCGCCTACTCAATCCTTGTCATCCTAGTAAAAGATTGATTGAACAACAAAGATTCCAAACGTTTGGGTCATTAAAGAAACTGAACAACTTCTGACAATTGTTGGGGTTTTCTTATTAATCCTCTTTATTTTACAGGCGATGTGATAAAAAAGAGACGCCCTGGGAACTACTAAAGCTGGACAATAAATTCAATTTTGAAGATATGACAAGTTACAGAGATGTAAGTCAGTGTTCAATGTTACGCCATGGAGCCCTATGTGAAATGTATGCGATAACAAATTCTGCTATGTAGAATGGCTTCAAATTCTTATTAACTTACTTGCATCACGAGCGAGTCAATTACGATGCAAGGTTTACTCTAAAATATCAACTGATGTTTTTATTCAAAACAGAAAATTCCACCGATGGACGAAATTCTGGCTGGAATAAACAGCTCCATAACAGATATAGAACTTGTGTCAGATGACACCAGGAAAGCTATTAATGATACGTTTACTTCTGGGGTCCAGGAGATTGAATTCTACAAGTTTTCAATGGAGGTAAAGCTCTTTTTTCCATTTCGGAGACAATCCCGTATTACTTTTTCCCCTTTTCTCACTTGTTTACAGAACTCATACGTCCGACTTCCCAACATTCTCTCCGCATTTATGAAATAACTGAGAAATGACGAGCACTCTGATTGGTTTAAAACCTATCAATTATTGTACCTGTAAACCCATAAAAATTTTAATGATATACGTAAAAAAGTTACACGCTTCTAAGTGGCTGAAAACAAGTGCAAAGCTGTAACACGAGTGTAAACTGCCAATAGCGCGCGCTCGCTTTCAAAATTTCGTCTGTAGTGACTTTCTATGGTGTTCTTCATGCACATTGTTGACAAGTTATAAAATGATTCCTCTTGCAATTTAGTGTTAACAAGCACTTGTAATTTTCTGTGAAATGAAAAACATTAGCGTTTTTGAGACATTTGGATTCCTTACAACCTACTTTCAGAAGTTAGCAGATTACACCCTAAAGATGTTTCCTGTCTAAAATTTGTTTCATGTCGCCATAAAAATCTTTTAAAAAATTTGTATTTTTTCAATTAACAGACAGGATTGCCTCTTACAAAGAATAGCCTTTCATTGAACACATTTGCGAACGAGTTGGGAACAGCAGCTGATGGTCAAGTAAGTTACTCTGTGATGCAATTTGGGGTTTAGTTTGAAGACCCTAGTGGCTCCGTTACAGCCGGAGCTTTTCACGGTTTCTGTGTCATGAAACGACAGGACATACTGCCACTCTCCCTGGATGGGATGCCAGTTTATTCGAGGTGCCCCCCCCTCCCCCACATTTCTTCAGTTTTCCCTGACAGTTCACAAGTGGCCATTAATTCTCCTGAGTGGAGAGGGACCGGGTGAGAGCAAAGTGCCTTCCTCAAGAACATTACAAAGAGAGTTCGAATCCTGACATTTCGATCCAGAGTCCAGAGTCCAGAGTCCAGAGTCCGGAGTCCGGGGTCCGGGGTCCAGGGTCCAGGGTCCAGAATCCGGAGTCTAGAGTCCAGATATGTCACAGTTGATTTCATTGTGAAATAGATGAACGCTATTGAGGTGAAGCAAACAAACAAAAGTTTATTTGATACCATTAACGCTTATTTTGGGAACAGGTCTTACTCTAGGGAGACTTGGTAACTTTGAGGGAAAATGAAATTGAGAAATTACCTTTGGAACGAGGAATTTATGGGTGGGACAGTCTCTAGGCTTATACCCTCTAGGTTTGATGGGTTCTTGTTATCCTTCAGGTGAATTCTGGAATTTCTGGAAAACTGCGCTCTGCTAAAGATGCTTTAAACAATTTACACGATGACACAATTTTGATATCGCAACCGCTGGTGGTAAGCTGTTTGGCAATTAAAAAGAATTCTTTTCTTCCTGTTCTCGTATTGGTTATTCATAGTGATTAATTCATTCCTCTACTATTGCAGTAGAAAAAGTCATGTGATGCCTTCTATTTCAATTCATTTATCTTCTATGTTTTCATAACTTTCAGGGCGAGTTAACTCAGAAAACGCAGACGTTGATGACAAAAAACATGAAAGTACTGGTACGAGCGAAGGCTTCTCATGTAGTTTTATTTGACATTTTGTAACAGTTGCAAACTGGCTGATTTCATTTTGTGAAGAAATTTTAGACCTTGTCTAGGTCCCTGGATCTGCGCCTGTATTAAATGATTCGTAATATATCAATTTCAGCGCCATTTTCAACTGAACGTCGTGAGTGATTCAGATCCGCCAATCAAAAAGGGCCTTGTGAAAAATTAGTGTAAAATTAAAGTTGAAACTCCCTAACTTGCCAAAATCTATTTTTAAAGTTGGCTCTATCTCTGTGTTAATTGAATATTCCAGTCTTCCTTCGCTATAAAAACAGTTTGAACGAAAGTCAGCTATTCTCGCAAACCAAATTGCCTTATTACTACCAATTGAGGCTGAGTTCACACCTATTTCATCTTCGTTGAAATTGTGCCGTCAACTCTTCAAAGATTACTATGTCTACGTGTATGTTAAACTACTCCTAATAATTTTTTATCTTAAAATGCATTTTCTATACTTTTTAGAATGACGCCAATCAGATTGACCTTTTCCGTGAAAGGCTGAAAACTGTTCTTGACAGCGATGGTTTGGAACTAGCTAATGAGGTTTGTACTTTTGTCTTTTTATATGGAAGAGCAGCAGTTATCGTCGTCCTCAGATTTGTGATGTACTTCCGTTCGGTCGTTCATTTTAAAATCAACACTCGTCTCTGATTGCTTTCAACCATTCAAGACTAACCTGAATTGCATCGATGTCCTGGGTACTTTCAATAAGCTCAGCGTAATGTGTAAAGCTTTACTTCCGTGCGTTTTTCTAACGGAGTGTCGGAGTAAGTCATCATTTGACTGATAGATTCAAGCCTAAATGCATTTTGAGAAACTTGAGTAGATGATTTTCATTAAGGAAATAACAGCCACAGCACAACATACAACAATTGAACCAAGTCAACATCTAGAGACTTGTAAGCGCACAAAACCAAATTAGTCGACAGACCTTTAAAACTGAATCTACTGAACATTGTTAAGTCCTAACTTTGAATCAAATTCCCGATTTATTTCACTGGGGTCGAGATCAATATGTTATCGATTTCGTGTGAAACTAGTCTCCTCCCAATTTTTCAACAGGCAGGAAAAAAGTCTTTGAGTCGCACACTTGGATGGATGGACGAATATTTGAAAGACTCCATAGATAAGGTAAAACCCTGAGAACATTGTCCTCCCTGTATTCATATACCAAATGCATTAGGAACCATTGTAGCTCCAGTAATTAAATGTAACAAAGGCATAATTAACTGATCATTTTGTTCACTCTCTAAACCATTTGAAAATAAATTTCCTTTTTGCATGAGCTGATTAACGCTACAAATAGATTCCATGTTGTAGCGTTGAGTCATGATAGATCACAGATGGCGTAAAAATCTAGTGGAAACGAAAGATTAGCACATCTGGAGGCGCAGCCGAGTGTGTCACTGATGTTCCATCCACAATTTGACGTCTGCTGTGATCTATTTCTGTACAGACCCACGGCAACATGGAATATATTTGTATCATAGGATTACAAAAAAGTGTTAGTTTTGCTGAGGTCATCTATGCGTCTGTCCTCCGATAGATTATAAGTAAGGACCAATCAAAATGCGTGTATAATTTATGTAATGAGTTATTAATTATGATATGCGCTCAGAACATCAGAGCCACAAGCGAATTCGTATGGTATAGCCTCCCTAAGCCTCCTGCAAACAACGGTAGAGCTTCCAGGCCAGTAACATGATTGCTACAAGTAACAACATGATTTCGAGTGCAATTTGGTGTTAATAAGCACAAGTAGATTTTTCAAAGACAACAAAATTGCACGAGCCCGTAGGACTCGTGTAGCACTCGTGTTACATGAAAAATGCACTCGTGTTTATTGTTATATAGGTTAAACTCCACTGGGAAAATATTTTATAACACTTTCTCTTTCTGTTATTGAACATTCTCTTAAGTAGCAACAGTTAAGTTTTTTTCGGTCCACTGAGAGCGTGTTTTCCTTTTTTCAATCGTTTATTTAGCTTCGAAATGACGTGGGAGATTGCCACCCAATCAGAAATGTCTATGATGTGTTAGTCTCTGATGCATGCGACAATGCTGTTGGCCTTGTGGTGAGTAAAACTTCTCTGATAATCTAGCCATGTTTTTTTCTTTTTGTGTTTTAGAACTGGTAAGTAAACAAGGTTGGGAGAATTAACCTCACACCAGAGACAAAAGGAATTGGAATTGACGCTTAAGAATTTCACAGCAGTCTTGAAAACGCTGGCGGAAATAAAGAGCTAAAATTCTGAGTGATTTTATAGATCTCACTGTGATGTCAACGCATTAGAATTACCGAGTGGTAAACCTCTAGTGAGGGAAATAGGCCGTGTGAAATTTCTTTGCTCAAATAACCTGTAACTATAACGGGGAGAATTATTTTCTTTGGACTATAGCAAACTATACAGAACAACTAATTTTACGGCTCATTTTTCTCAGAAGATGCCAAACACATTTTATAGTATATGAAATTCTAAACAAAGATATACCATAGACTTTGAGGTGTGTTGTGTCTTCTCAGAATGCCCTATGGCTGTGTGTTGGTGTCATCGCTTTGTTTTCGGTAATTACTATCATCCTCTGCGTTCGTCTGGCCAAGCATCTTCGACGAGCGAAGAGCGGTGACGATGATATGTATTCAGAGGAAAGTACATCTAACTACGGAGTCCCTCTGAGGCTGTTTGACAAATTCCCGAAGCTTCCCAAGAAGAAATTTTCCTGGTAAGTACTAGGAACTAAACTAACGTGTAAAGTTGAAACGCGCTAACTGCATTTAAGTCACAGTCAAGAGATTATCCATAAAGTTTGAATCGCTCATTTAATCGTTTCTCGAACCACTTCGGCTATTTCAGTAAGTTTCACGTCAAAATCATATCACCATATGTATTAATGTAGGATGTTTTCTTTTAGACATCAAGGACTTTTACACAAAAAGTCAAAAAAACCTTGAAAAGGGCCGTCTTTGAAAAGGAATTTCATTTTTCTTTCACATCATCATTTTGATCAATCTTATTTTTGTAACGGTTTCCCGACTTTTTCTTCCTGACTGCAAAATATAGGGCTGAATTCCACAAAGATATACCAAAATTTGATTATCCTTACCCGAGTATATGACCACCATTTGCGGTTTATTGACGTTACTGTTCTGCTGAAAGTGGTTAGGAAATCTACCAATATTTATAAATACCTGTAAATCCATTGATCTGCTGATAAATCCGTTTTGATCCACTACCCTCTCCGTCGCGGTCACAAGTTTCCCACGGTTTTGACCACAAATTATCCACTGACATCTCAGCTTAAAATTGAAATGTGTTTTGTATTTGTGTTCCAAATCACATACAAAGTGGTTTCCTTGCAGCGTATTGCTAATAAATTTCTTGAAACGCAAATTTAGAGACAAGCGCAATTTAAACACCAAGCGTTTGATGACGACATACGAACCATTATGACGTCACTCTTGTCATGCGCGTGAGCGCACGCACATCATTAAACGTCCGAAAGAAATGAAAAATTTAGCCCGGCGACTCTGCGGATAAATTAGAAAACGAAGATCATCTTTTTTAAGCTCACATTTCGCATTGAAACTGTCTTTTTATAAACAGAAAGGACAACTTTTCTTACAGTTGTTCACAGAGTGGAACATTTGTAGCGCTGAAGATGTCGAAATTACTTTCAAAGCGACACCAAAACATACTGTGGAAAGAGAAATGTCATCAGTATTTGGGACGAAAACTTCGCTTTGCACTCAAATTGCAGCGGAAGGGACCTCAGTTGCCTTTACTGATACGCCCTCTTACTGAGAAGGAAAACTTGCTGAATCTTGTTGAATTTTTTTCCTTTGTTGTAAATCTGAATTTATAACTAAAAAATGAATTATTTCGAGAGCAAATACATCGCATTACTTTACGAAAGGGCCATGAAATTTTCTTCTCGCAATAAAAATTTAAAAATGTCCTTTAAAGCAACAACTTGGAGATAACTTCTCAATTTTTTTCTGAACCTCTAAAGAACTGTAAGAACTTGCATCCACAGCCAACACACCCCAAAAATGGATAGAATGAACAATTCAATTAAATATACTTAATAACAAAAAATAAATGTATGGAGAATAACAATTAAGGAAAACCCTTGTAGGCAATATGTGCGAAGCAGTAACTGAAACTCTTCGTAAAACAGACAAAAAACATCACAAAATTCAAACGCGATTAACTCTTAAATCCAAAACATGATGAATAAAGCTCTAAAGAGCAATCGACCAAAACACTGGAACGCGCAAAAAAAAAAAAAAAATTGCATGCGTGAATGCTCACGATATGTTTTCAAATTTAAACTAGTTAGGTTCTGTATTCTTGAAGAAATTTAAGATATAAAGTTTGTTTGCATAAATTCAAACTCTTTTTGGGAATGCTGCATCGCGTCAGAGATCCACACTGATGCCCTTGGAACCAACTGTTCATAATAAACATTGATGGTGATAACATAACATAACATAACAACTGAAAGCAAAGTAGCAGTAACTATTAGAATAAAGAACCATTTTGGAGTTAAACATTTTTTACTCATGCTACTTTTCTTGTTTTTCGAGATTCACTTTGATGCTAAGAAACTAATGTATTAAACGAGAAGTAAACCAAATAGAGTTTCAGTTACTCGATTATTAAAAAAAATAAGTTTTAAATTAATTTTTCTCAACTAAATAAACAGGAGAAAACCAAAGCTCTCCTCGCCCCCAGACTCACCCATTCCGTCCACAAGCTGGAGTAATTACTAGCGGTAAGTCCGACGGACATTTTTATAAAATTCCTTTATTTTTTAAGCTTAATTAAACATGAAATAGCTACACTGAACTAACTAAATTATTTAATTGATAATTTTGAACCATTATATCTTTGAATTTCATTGTTGTTTTAAAGAGGATTTTGCAACTACAACATTAATGATTTAAGTTGGAATTCGCAAAGTGCTACGATAGTCGGTAAAGGGCGTGTAATTCCTCAATTTAATGACAGGTTACCTCCCAGAGTTTTAACAGATTCCCCCCAAAAGCTTTTCAAAAGCCACTCATGTCCTTGGGTACTTTGAAAGGAGCCGCGAGACTAAAACCTGGTTTCAAAATCAATTATTTGCTGTACGAGAGAATCTGACTCCTATTTAAAAGGAATTCTATTCTTCAATTTGATTTATCGCTCAGAATTTTGTAACGTTTCACTAATAAACTCTAGTACCCATTCATAGCAAGGGGTATTCAGAAAATGATACTGTGAGAAAAAGGGCTTCCCCTCCAATCCACAACCATTTAAATGATAAGCTGAATTAAAAACGTATTTTGATAGGTTCTTTCTTGTGATCTTTTAAAGGGTAGACGCAAATATGACGTCACCAATTAACAAATTCCTATTTTGTTATCCTATAAAACAAATAAATTCCATTTTGCCGTGGTTCAAACTGTGAGAGAATATAGAAGACGTTATCCGTGACACACTCGGCTTTCGTTTGCCATTTTTTTTGTTCTCACCACAGTTTCACGTCATCTATAATTTATCACCAAACAGACTTACGGCAACGTAGTGTATATTTGTTAAATATACTCGGTTAGCCCTTGAACGCATGCACTCTGTTTGGGGTCTAGTGCATTAACCACAACTTTTTTCTGATATTCACAGGTCTGACGACCTTGATATAGAAAAACCAGTATTTTACAAGAGACCACAGGTCACCCAACGAGTACCATTAGCAGCCGTAACAAGAAATGCTGTGGTGCCAATAGTGTTCGATATTTAGTAGCGACAAATTAGCTACGCATGCGCGAGATCGATGGTCAAAGGTCAACAACAAAAGTCTCCCAATTTGTTTCTTTGGTTCTTCCACTATCAGGGAGGTTCCTGTGGTGAATACAGTGGTCAAGGCCAGCCTGGATCGAAGACAGCAATTTTTATCCCCTCTTTTATCTATTTTTATATTAATACTTTAATGGAAGTGTTATTTTATATCATTTTAGTTGCAAAGACTGGTGTTATGACCCAGTTGATCAATTTTAACCGATCGCGGAGCTGTTTTAGTTATGTAAGGGAAATTTTAACTTATAAAATTCAATACAATGAACGTCAGGAAATTTAGACCTGGAAAATTATTGTGAGCATCGGGTTAATGAAATTAATCTGTATATCGAAGCTATAATTTGCATAGTTCAAAATAATTATTTTATAAAAGTTAAGTAGGGTCGAAAATTTCAGTGTCGCCATAACATTCAACCAATCACGAACAGCCGTAAGCCTTGTGCCTTCACTTGTGTCATTTTTTTGAAGCCTTTACAATGTTTAAGCTGCTTATCCTGACTTTAGAAAGTCTGGGTTGTTATAGGCGACGTGGAAGTAAATATCCACCGCTTTCACATAGTATGAGTCGAATAATTGTTTTAGTATAATCCAAAAAATTTGTGTATCCACTCTTAACACGTACTTTTGTCCCGTCAGCTTCACAGAGGTGAATGGTACTTGCCAATCAGTACATTATTCATTTGTGTGATATATACTGAATACATTTATGTGTAAGTCACTCGATCACAGAGCGGAATGCTAGAATGTAATCATAGATATGGTGATCGCCAACCTGTTCTGATGACTAGAGGCGTTTTTAGTAGCTAGCAGTACGTAAATAACTATTAAACATAAATAACCGTTAAATGAAAACATTGATATGAATAATGTATGGTTTAATTGACGAATTGATGTTAAACTAAGTGATAAAAGAAATAAATAATACCGAGAAACAAATGAAATCAAAGAACACCTCTGTTTGGCAAAATCGTCAACTTTGGGAATTAAGGAGTTGTTGTTATGTATAATTTCAATTCTTTAACCCTTTATACTTTAACATCAGTATGCATATTCTCCATACTGTTCTGCATACTTTTCCTAACAAGAAGAATGCGGTTTTCAAGAGCTTCTTTAGTAAGTGATCATTTCCATTAATCTTGTGACTTAATGTGTAAGTCAGGGGTGATATTGCAAGGCGAAATTAGATGCTAGCCCCACTTAGAGGTCAGAAGGTTAATTGAGATCGTATATGAGCTTGAATTGAAGCTGAGCAGAAGCCAAATTTTTCTTCCTAAGCGAATTATAGAAAAAAAGATGGACAAATGTTTTTTCACGATGAGTTTTATGTAGAATAACTAGTAATGGATATAACACAAAAATAAAGAGAAAGCAAAGTTTCATGAACGTGATGTTGCCGATTATTTTTAATTCTGTTTGAAATTATTGACATTTGACAATGGCACCTATTTCTGGAGTGTTTTACAGATCTTGAGGAGTGACGAGGAGCATTGAATTAGTGACTTTCTTTCTGTGATGTATCTTACGCTTTCTTCAAATTTATACAAGGTCTCAGTCTTCCTCTGGTTCTTTTAGAACTTGGAATCCAGACAGAGATCTCTCTTCCATGGCGTTTCTGATCGATAACAATACGCTGGACACGATAGCTAACCCGATAGTGAAGTAAAGAAAACTCAGGACTGTAAACATTAGTACGTGCCACCTATATCCTTCGGGATCTCGATTAGGCGATGGGTGCAGAGGAACAAAATCTCCAAAGCCAATTGTTGTTAATGTTATAAATCCAAAATAGATGCCATCAAGGTAGCGCCAGCCCTCCCAGTAACATCCGAACAAGGCAATGATTAAAATCATAGACGCGCTAATCGCCAGTGTGATTGCTGCAGACCTAATCCCAATCCCTACCGGTTTTCGTCGAAGAACTCGTTCGTAGCAACATTCCAGAGCTCGGCCAATACACGCGTTAATGTATTGCGCTAGCGTTGATAGCATGAGCCAGGTCAGCGGTATCCCAACTAAGGCATAGAAGATGCAGAATATACGGCCCGCATCTGTGCAAGGCGTCACATGACCATAACCTGGGGAAGAGGGAAAAACAGAAACGAATGAAAAGGTTTAGAAAATTTGTCCGCGAAATTTGAGCAGGAACCATCTACTTGTAATCGGTTAAATAGATTTTATAAACGATAGCCACTATTTGTGGCGAAATATGAACGGATATTTGTCCGCGAACTTTATGTGTTTCAACTAACGCAAACAGTTTTCCGAGAACGAAGATCGAGGAAAACTGCCAGTTTCGAGAAATAGTATGCAGGAACAGATATACGACGCAAAATAAAGACTATTGTGTTTATTATCCTTTTAATATTTTACAACGCGCGTGAAAAAATGTTTACGAACAGCCTACTGCATATTTGCTGCGTGGGACGTTTTCTCCAGAGTGTTCTCTGAAACGGCTTTATGAACAAACAAATGTTTCCTTTCTTCTATAATAATCACAGAACGCTCTCTCATCTTGAATTAAATTTCAAACGAAGACTTATCGTAATGGACTTAAGGTTTGAAAATTGGGGAATATTACTTTCATGATATCTTCAAATATCCACCACTTTAGCTAAGGAACATTTGGTTACGTTATTCATTTAGACCAATTGCGTGGGTTTGTTTTGCAGAAACTTTTTCAAGGATATCAGGTGAAAACTCTTCGTTTTCAGGTTTTTTTCGTCTCAGATAATGCGATAAGAAAATAGCGAAACGCAATGCACAGGGCACATGTGACATGTTTCTCTCAGATAATTTAGCTTTACTTGGGTAACAAATCTTTTCCCAGAGTTTACTCGCTACAACATGGGGTGAGAGATTTTCAGGTGGGTGTAAATCAAATATTGTTTCTCACGGTTTGAATTCAATCAAAATTATTTAAAATTTAGGTTTTCGCTTAAACGCTTTCCGTTTATTACGCCCCCCCAAAACGCCCAATTTTAATAGAGTACAATCTTAATCCTGAAAAGAACACTTCTTTGAAAAATTGCAATGAGCAAATATTGAGGTATTTGTACTTTGAAGGAGAAACATAGGACATATTTTGCATTTCTTTTCCGATTTGCGCCATTATTTTCTGAGATTTATATTTAGCATCGTAGAAATAAACCCATGTCATTAATATAGAATGGCCTTTCCAATATCAAAATTAGCATCTATGAAATACCACCCCCTTACGTTCTTGCACCTTAGTGGGATAAGTCGCCTCTTTGGCGCTGAGTTTCAAACTAGCTCAAGGGTGTTTCTCCTAATGAGTTTGATATACCTGTAGGAAACAAACGTAATGGAGCTGTAAATAACTGTTTTGATTTTGACAATCAGAGCTGTTTACTGGCCAAACTTTTTTTTCAATCACGGGACTGCACAGCTTATTTTTTCTTTAGGCAAACAAAAAATCTTTGAAAAAGGAGCAAAACTAAATTACGAGGCGAAATGAAAATGACCAAGAACAGTGGGAGGGAATTTTTGGTCAATTTCGACACTTTTTCGGTCCACCATATTGATAATGTATTTTCTCTCAGTTTCTGGAGACATGATCAATGATAAACTGATCAAAATATTGAAAATTATGACCTCAATTAGTCCTAATTCTTGGATTAGCTTTAATCGGTTTTGAGCGGACACGATGGCATTCAAGGTTTAACCAGAATAAAACCGCAAACAACACGAAACCTTTTTCGCTACAAGTTCTATCCCTGATTTTTTCTCATCGATAAAAGGGACATAAAAGAGACTAAAAGACAGGAAAACACGCTGAGACTTCCATGAATATCTGACGTCTTTCAGCTTTGTTTCCACAAAACATTCCCACGCAAAAACTGGCGTTAAAGAGCCATCAAGAATGCTTTATCTTTGCGGGGTTCGCTGCTGCCGAAAAAACACCTGGAGTAATTTTAAAGCAAATTTTTGTCCACTTACAATAAAAATGTATTCTAAACGCCTTCAATCACTGATGGACTTTAACTTTGAAAATTTCCAAAGAGAATTATATCTCTAAAAGAACTAAAAACATCGAAACGAGTCAATAATGTTTCACACGAGACCAAAACCCTAAGGCATAAACAACAAATGATTTACATCCTTTTGTTTTCTATTCAGACCCTTTTTCCGTATATTCATTCTACTGAATCAAAATAAATCTGTATATGAGGATTAAAAAAAATCAAAAATTGTTCTGTCGCCGGCATTATCATTAATTTTTTTTGACCGAAAACTAAATTCCCTGTAATTGTAAAGTGAGCGAATTGTCATCTCTCAAATAAAAATTAAAACTCAGATTTGTGTCAAGTGAATCGTTATTTCAAAGTGAAAAGTGAGTGATCTTCATGAAGATAGGAACTCTGTCGTGTTATTTTGGTTGAGCACTCTACTCATTAAACATCCCTAAAAGGTTTTAACGGGATTCATATTCTCTGAAATTGATCTGGTGTTCTTTATTTTTCAGCCAAAAAGAGAAATAATACTGTGAAATTCGAAAATGAATGCAAAACAGGTTTGAACTGTTAAGGGTGTTTCTGCAATACACCATTTAACCTTTTTTTTTTCTGCAGAAATTGATAACAGCGATAAACTTTTTCTTAAATTATCACGTTTTTCAGGTAGCCAGAAATTGTTCATCGAACAAAAATCTTGAAATCGGTAACAATCCGTGAAACTAAATACATATTTGTTTTGTAAAATGGCCAGTGAAATGCAATCTTCATCCATGAAAGTTTCGCCTTGTCGGTCAAATCGGGAAATGTATGACATTTTTGGCAAATTAAATGAAAAGCTTTTCAAACCACAGACGGAATATTGGACCACTTAAATTATTAATATTACATCGTATATACATACTCTACATAAAAGAGTGATCAACAACAATAGCCTTATCTCGTTTTTTTGGGTGTTTTCACACAAGCATTTATATCGCTTTTAAGTGATAAGAACTTTGTAACATGAAGTTAAAAAATGTTTCTCATGATAAGACAAAATTTGATTCGAAATATTTCAAAAGTTACAAAAACATTGCTATAAAAACTCCTTTCCTTCTGCCTGAATCATTGAACACTCTTCCAAACGGCATAAAAAATTCAACAGAATTTTGGATATAGTACCTCCAGAAACCATTTTAATTTTCAGTTAATATCAAGACTGAAGGATGACTCTTACATGTAATTAGAAAAAAATGAAATATCTTATTTACATGAACTTGCATGAATTATGTAGTGCGGAATCAATAAGACATATATTGAGTAGTTTTTCAGTTTAAATTTTCCCGGGGGTTAGTTATATTATTTAGAAAAAATACTTATGGAGTCTAGAAAGATTACCTTTGTTGTCGACATGTGATAAACGAACAACCAGACTGGAAATGAAAATAGTTTTTCTGAATCTGTAATAATTTAAACGGACACCCTACTTGGAGAATATTAATGAAGCAAAAAGGAAAGCTTTTCATCTCTGTAAGAAAAACTCATTAAAAAGAAAGTCTCTCGAATAATTAGCTTCTAAATGGAAAATAATGTATTTTCAAAAAATTGTAAACTAAAGAACGATAAAATTTTCCTGTGAAAGACTTTTTGACAAACAGGGTTTGTTTTCTGTCTATACAAAGTAAGTTGTGTCTTTCTATAGACTACGCTAACTTACTTATCTGTCGTTGTTCGATCGCAATTTTTTTAGCGAACGATTATAGGGCAACCAGAAAATTCTATCAAATGACAGATGCAAAGCTTGATTCAATAATCAACCCACCTATAGTAGTCACAACGGTTCCTGCGAAAAACAACGAACCCAATATTGTCCATCGTCTGATCCAGTGTTGACTAAAACCGTGATCCGCTATCTGCTCGATTTGATCGATGAAAATTTTTAGGTCGTCTCGAGAAATGTTGTATTTCTCCTGAAAACGATCTCGCGCCACGACCATCGCTTTACGTTCCTCCTCTTCATTTTGCGACTCCAACGCTTGAAAAACGACAGCTCCCAAAAATATATAAACAAGGAATAAAGCTATTTGAATTACCAGATTTCTCGAGCTTTCTGCGATCCACATGCCTCCTGGTCAATGTCGATTAAAGCTCGTTGTCAGCATTTAATTTTGCGTTTGACATGCTATGAATGGTTCGTTTCGCTTTATTATTCACGTTCAGGCGTCGTTTATGCTGTAAATCTCGCTGTGCTAAGCCAGTGGCTTTTCTTCTTCGGAGACGAAGCTTTTTCCTGCCAATTTTCTGTCGTTTCCTCAGTTTTGTCAGGCCATTCTCTTAAACGTGTTTTGAGGTAATTAAACGCAGTATGGGGGATGTCAGTGCCGTTGTATTTCGCTGTTTGCAGGAAATCGTCTAGTACAATGAGCCAAACATGTGCCGTTATATGATCTATGTAGGACCGATGAATTACCGGTCATCGGAAATTGACGAAGTGTTCATTGCGCATGCGTTACCTGCCCACGCGCTCTCGACAACAAAGATCCAATTTCCCATTGCAGTTAAAAGTTTTTAATTTCGTTAATAAAAGCTTAAATTTACTTTCCCCAGTTGTGAATGACCTTTCTTATTGGTGGTACCGTGTGAAAAGCCAAGCCAGCAACATGGATAGCAAATATGTTTTCCGTCATATCTCTGGAAAAAACAGGAGGGAATCTCAGTTGTTAATAGTAAAGTGTTGTTTTATGCTTTTAACTACGTTTGCCAACCCGTTTATAAAAAGAAATTAAAAACAATGGGGAACACAGCTTTACGCCCATTGGCGATTTTTTTTTTCGTTCTGATCAAATTTAACATCGCCAGATTTATCTTATTTTTTCTATGCAGTTGGAAATTCCGCGAGTTAAAAGCCACAATAGATGTAGACTTTGAAATGATTGAGCTAAGCTAACCAGTTGTTTAGAAACACCTAGAAAAAGCTATATCACATCAAAAGTTGAATAATAGGATCTTAAACTTATACTATATTATCTTAGATTGATTTGGATTTCAGATCAAACCATTTCAAATAAATATTTTAATCCTGGCGTTGAATACTTTAAGTTTTTTTGATGAACACATTCCACAAATATCAATCGCGTAAAAATTCACATCATCATCAATTGCTATAACTCTTTATACTCATTCTTATTACGAAAATCTTTCTTGAACAATTTCTCAGCTGTATTTACATCTTCTTCAATTTCCGGTTAGTCTTGCCAGCTTATAAAAAAAATTCTTCGCCTTTAAAAACATTATTTTCGTTTTCTTCCAGGTTACTTCTGTGAACTGCTGTGCACAAATGAATTAAGTTAAAAATTATTCATTTACCCATTATCGAAAAAACGCCAAACTGTGAGAAACTTTATGCTTTAGGGTTAGAAGAAAAATCGAATGTGAAGTTTTAGTCTTTCTTTTCATTCGTCCCCTTAAGCATAAATTATTGCTGTTAAAACGAACCTTAAACTCCGCCTAACTTTATTTGCCTTAAGAGCATTCATATCAACACAGTCATGATTCGCCAAATGGCGGTGCGACAGGCCTTTTCTGTTTTCGCGGGATTGCCAACTCTGATCCCTCAAAAAGAATCTACTGCTAAAAATCTGGTATGTTGCGTATCTGGCAATAGCTTTGGTTGGCTTTTCTTTATAATATAATAAGGTGTTAGTATAAGATTCGGGAAATTTAGCTTGACGACGAACTTTGCTAGGTAGTTAGGGAAGTATAATCAAGTATTAGATATCAGATCTATTGAGTATATTTATGCAAAATGTGTCCGGATTCTCTATTAAAAGCATCTACTTTATTTGCGCGAGCATGTTTCATATCCTATTATGCACGCTGGTGACGTCAGCAAATAAATGCTTTGGCAAACAAAATTTCTCTGCGATCGACTTCAAAGTTCCCGTCCAGTTTGCCAGTTTTCATTCCATCCGAATTGAAAGAGACCTTGGGGACCTCATTATGAAAAGTGAATATACTGAAGGATGCTCGATTTGGAAAACGACGAACATTTAAACGCTGAAAGCGACCAGATGAGCTTTCAAGTTCACATTTCTTTGATTCCCAAATGCGATGCGAAGTATAGCAGGAAAATGACAACTTCATTCGTAGGACTTCTCCACTCGCTTACCCTTTTTCACCGGATCTGTAAGTATTATTTTCAAGTGTCGTTATAGGTTTAAACAGCGTCAAAGCGACTGTGATTTCAGAGTGAGTTGTTCTGTGCATGTTTACGCAATTGTGTTTGTGTACTTACGCAAAAACGTATTTCGTGGACACCGGGTGGCGTAGTTAACTTTTTATGTGTCCTTTTTTTTCGATTTCTGTTAAAAAACAGGAACAGGAATTTAAGACCGGTCAAAAGGCAATTAAAAGTAATACCTTGTTGAATTGCTTTGCAAAGTACTTTGCGTCAATGCAATAGAAATAAACAAAAGATGTTTCGGGTAACCTCTGTCATAGGAAGCATTTTAGACATTCTGGCGCTGAATTTGAATCTAAAATAAAATGGATTTTTGATGTACGAAAATGGTATTTCCTCCTTTCAAATGTTTCTCAAGCGTAAATAAAAAGAACAAAAACATGCTAGGGAAAAGGAAACAAGGAGTTAACATTCAAAGATGGATAAACTCCTGTCTCTTCCTGGTGATTTTGTTATAAACTTATGATATTTTTCAAGCAAATTCGACTGCAGTTTCTGGAGGCAAATTAGACCGCAGAATGGTTGGTTTATTAGAAGAAATCGCCGGAGGCAACTTAAGCATTTTATCTTCATTCTAGAAGCGACGCTATAAATAAACAATCAGTCCATTTGGCGCGAAAATACGTCCGGATATTTTACCGTGGACGTCATATGTTCCGAGATGCAAAAAGTTTTCCGATAGCGACCCTGTAGTGTTGCTGGACGCAGGGGAGGGGAGAAAAATAATTATGAATAGGCTATGGAATTAATGTTCATTAAATTGGTAAGGCTTTATTGTTACACTCCAAAAATAGAGAACTTTTTGCTTTTATTTTAAAACAATACATAAAGTTTATTGCAACAGAAGAAGAATGCTCAACTTATTTTAATATAGATGGTCGGAATCTGGTTCCGCAGGTAACTTATTGTATTTGCTGTCTTGTTGTCTTCAGGGAACATCTCCGCATGCCGCTAAATCCTTGTGGGTCGGTTTTTATTTTTCAGGGTACTGAGATATTTTATCCCTGATTATCTTTTTACGAGATAGGATTAAGCTTCATCTGAGGCTTTAAATCGAAGGAAATTCTTTTTAAGTTGTTCAATAAAGAAATGATTTCTTCGTCAGCTTCGCTTTACGGAGATCTTTAGAGAATCTCGGCCCAAACGTTCAAGCAAAACGCGAGTTAAGTGCATTTCTTTCTCCAAGAAATCACATTATTTGAGTTTGAAATTATTTTAAAGTGATGAGGGGTCTGGCATTTGATGAGTTATTTTTGCCTGTTTAACTTACTTAACTCTCCCTTTTTGTTAAAATAATAACTTAATAAAGTCCAAGTCATTCTAATCTTGTTATTCTTGTTACTTCCTCTTCAACGTCTGTCTCTCCGTCAGTATCCGTACTGTATAGCGATTGAAAACCAAAAATTGCTTTATCTTCCATGATTTTTCGTATCGATAAGAGAACACTAGTGTTGACAGCAAGCCCGAAGGAAAACAACAGAAGACAAAATAAAACAAACAAAGAGATCACGAACGAAGATCGCTCTGCATCTTCAGGATCAAACTTTGGATGCATGGGAACATAGTCGCCAAATCCGATGGTGGTTAAACTTATGAAAGCGAAATATATTCCTTCGAAGAATGTCCAGTCCTCTGCAAACATTCCCACTATGGCGATGATGCCCATAACAACGGCTGCCAGCAGTATAGCAACAAGCAGACAAAACAGGCTGAACAGCTTGCTTTCCGGTTTGCATTCTCTGTTCTGCAGTGCCAAGCCAATGTGCTCCACGATTTTTCGACCTAATGACGTCAGCATTAACCACGTGATCGGTATACCAAAAAAAGCGTATGCCATGCAGAACAGACGACCTGATAACGTTCTTGGAGCGAAATGTCCATAACCTATCCAGTAAGAGAAATATAGAATATCAGATAATCATTATTCACAAACTTAAACAAGGAGAGTGGAATGGGACGAGAGGCGTGGATGCCCAAGGAACAAGATAGGAGAAGAGCTGTGAGACAGCCGATCTGTGTGAAAACTCATCTTCGAAATGCGCTAATCAGAGCTTTAAAAATCGAGCCAGTCACTGTGGAATTAAATGTTTCACGGTGTGACGCGTACCCAGTCAACCTTACTGGCTGAAAAAGGCAGCACGCAGTCGAAACCTCGCAATGCATATAAAAAGAATATCGGAGACAAACGGTTAGATTCCATTTATTGATCGCATCTAACGAAGATAAGATAAAGCTCATAGGTTGACGTCCTAAGAATCATTATTCCCCTCCAGTTATTTTCAGATCACTACCTTCTACGGAGATTCCAGGGGGATATTGTTAGTTTTGCTCGCGTGGACATCCCTGAGGCGTCTAGTGGGCTTTCCATCAAAACATTCAAGAAACGTGCGATGTACCATGTACTTTTTGACTGAGTAAGAGGGCCAGATGGGAACAGGTTTTGCTCGAGATCTTTTTTACTAAAGCCAAATACCTTTCCGTCTGGCTCTCTTAATCTCATTCGATTAGCTTTCTATCATACGGACGCCTTCAAATCTGCCTTCTTGTATTTTTGCATCAGAGTCGCATGGCCACATACAGAGCAGTGCAGCTTTGCACAGCCCCACTCGCGCCATTTTATTCCTCATGCTTTGGTGTAAAACGGTAAAATTAAAAAAACCTTTCTGATTGCTGATAGCATTTGCTTCTTACAAGAATGTCTAGACTTACATGCGCTAAGACGCACTGCCTCTGTGAATTTAGTTTGACCATACTCTTCGATCGTTTCAAATAGAGCTCATTAAAGAGACAAGGATGATTATCTGGAATTTAGGCCAATCGTCAACCAATGAATCAGTTTGCGAGTACCTCGATCATCCGAATAGAACCGGGTACGTGCGTAATGTCCATACGACCGCCCGAATCATCCCAGTCGACTCAAAAACGGAGGCAATCGGACGGATTCGTACGATCGTATGGGAGCCATTTGTAAGGGATTAGCATAATCATGCATCATGCAACGTGTAAATATTGGAAGAAAAGAATCAAAATAGAACTATTTTTCTTAGGTGATGATTACTTTAAAAGAAAACTCAAAAAAAGTATTGTCTTAGATGATTTGTGAAAAAAAATAAAAACATTGGTTGCTCAAACAGGTGTACATCGTTTCAGTTCTTTTCAATAATTAATGAAAGCAAGGATGAATTTAAAAAGCATTTAGAAAAGTGTTAAAATCCCGCAAAAGAATTGAGGTCAAAGCAGAGGGCGTTACAAATATAGCGTCAGGAATAAACTTGAACAAATTTCAACTTTGCGCTTGTAATTAGACAGCCCTAACAACTTTGTAAGTGCAAACTTAAAATGATTAATGGAGAACGTTTTAAAATGAACTGGTGTTTGAACAGCGTAGAGAAATATTGTCATTCATACACAAATATTTCACGCGCTTTTGTCATTAATTTATGCCCATCTCTCGTGTTATTATTTACAGTTCCTTGACCTAACTTTTGCCACGTGCTAATTTGAATTTGACTTAAGATCTTTAAAACATAACACATGATTTCTCTTGTATAACAGACTACCGCGATTAATCGCTGCTTGATCCCAAAACAACTCGACTGCTTTTTTTTTGCGCGAAGCTTTTCGCCTACATAATTTCGATTACAATCCCTTTTTTTTATTAATTGTAATAAAAGAAAAGTTTATTTAAATATTCGCAATATGTAAAAGGCCATTTCACTAAGACAAAACATTGACTTCCCCAACCATTTAGTACTCTCATTTAGTCTTGAGGAAGGAAAATTATTGCTTTTCTCATAATATGCCAATTCAAAAACTAATTCGATCAAAGAAAAAAAATGTTTTTATGGAAAAATAGGTTGTCTCATTTTACCGGCGTTTTAGACTCGATAGTAATATGAAAGAAAATGTCTCTTCCAAATGAAATAATGGTATAACCGACTTGTCATGAAATAAGTGTAGTTTACTTTATGGCTTTTGTCCAGTTTAAACTTTTTTTTAAAGTGAGTTTTCATCGCTCACGGCATCAGATTATAAGCAATAAGCTATTATATATATTTAAAAAAAAATATTCTCACCGATTGTTGTGATGACAGTTCCGGAGAAGAAAAGTGATCCGATAAAGCTCCATTTTTCTAACCATCCACTTGTGAAGCCCCAACTTTCTGCCTCGGTTATAATTTCAACGAATTCTTTCATCTCTTGATGGCTTATGTTGTACTTAACCAACATGTCTTCTATAGCTCTCTTCGCCTTCCGTATACCAAGTTGTTCGTTGTGGGATTCGAGTTGTCTAAAAACCACCATGCCTAATGTTAAATAAAGCACGAAAAGAATCCCCCGAATTAACAGTCGCTTCGTTTCCTTTTTCATCCTAAACCCGGCTATCGATTTAACTCGAGTTTACAGTCGAAGATTAAGATGCGTTAACTCGCTAGGTAGAAGGTAAACTCAGTTCTTTGAATGGCGCGTAAACCCTTTGTTACGACTTGGCGACGTTGACTGAATAACCAATCGGAAAACAAAAAGACTTGTGAACATTTTCCATGAATATTTATTAAGAGGATTTGTAATCTGATATATAGCAAACTTTTAACGTGACTTTAAAAGGCCTGTAAACGACACCTTTGCCCGACAGGCGTCGGCGAAGTTTTTGAAATAAATTAGTAATCCTTCCCACGAAGTATTGCATCGACATCGATGCGTTAAGGCAAGATTTGTCGTTGTTTGACCTTTCTATGTGTTTTTTTTACACTGGCAATAACTTTCTCCTTTTCAGAGATAATACAAAAGGAAATTAGGGCCTTCCCTACTTAAAAACACGTCAATCAATCTTTTCTTTCTTTCAAATAACATTTGACCTCTCTCTGGAGATGGTAAATAATACTCGGAATCTCTCTTCTATAAAAAGCTTTTTAGGAAACCATCTATCACAGCAAATCGCCGGTTGTCCTATTAAAGAGAACCAACGTCATTCCCATCTTAGTCCCAACTGGCACCAAACAAAATCAAAATTCGTTTGTGATAGTGTGTTACAATAATGAGACGGTTTGTTTCGATCGCAATTACGACTTTTAGCTACCTAGTTTCAGATAGCATGTATGGGGTTATACACGTCACGAGACAATAGTTGCGTCCAATGTTGCTCCATCAATGAGTTAAAAACCTCCCCGCCCACAAAGTTTTTCATTATCAATTTGAACTAATTGTGGACGAGGTCAAACAAAGTGAGGATCGAATATTTTATTGTACTAAGTTCAAGTGATATTTCTTTGCGAATCATTGACTGAAAAACATTTTCACGAGGTTTGTTTCCAAAGAACCGGTTCTTTATCAACAGAAGGTTTTGAGAATGAAATAAATTTGCCCACTCACAGTATACAGTTTCATTCATTTTCGATCTAGTGGCACTTTTATACTCTTTAACCTACGCACAACTTTTTCCGCTTCCATACCACCTGGCAACAAAGAGTCAAATGGTGATAACCTCTTTAAAACAAACTACTTCTTCGATCGCTGTACTCGGTAGTTCCTACGATCGATTAGTGTATAGACCCAACCTCTTTTAAAGATATTTTTTCTTTGGTCCAAGACGACGCATTGTTTTTATCATAAAAATTATTTCGGAATGAGCTGGAGAGTAGGAAAGGTTTACCAGGAGCTTCTCTCTGGAAAGAGACGAGATGGGAAGATCTCCTGGCGTCTTAAATAACATCTGACATAGAACAAATCCTCGAGCCACTGATCAAAACGAGGCAAGCTTGTAATTTCACTTTCATCAGTTCTTTGTCCTTTTTATTAAAAAAAAAAAAGATTCCATTAAACCGTGTGTCTGTTTGGTTTTGGAGCACGGAGAATATCGAAATTTAATGAGAAAATAAGTAACATACTCCTCTCTGGCTTGTAAGGTCTGGTATGTTTTTTTTGAAAATTTTAACAGCATCATGTCTGTGATCTAAAACAGAACAGACAAACAGTACTGCACTATGGAATACACTTGTGAATTGGTTCTCTCTAAAAAAAGGCATCAAATATATAAACGAGGATATTGTGTTCCTCTCATATGTTGTTAAGTTCTTCCGTCCGATTAGTTGGTCGTCAGTGGAAATTAAACCCGCACTGGCAAACAATTTCATTTTCCCACCGTCTTCAAATTTTTTTTAATATTGATTTTATCAAAATCCAGCCCTAAGCTCACAAATTCCAACCATCAATGAGGTTTTCCATGGACATTGGCAAGAAAAGGAGAAAAAAGGGGGTGTTGAGTTCATTTTGCCAAGGAAAATTATCCGTGTCCTCGTTAAGTCTCCTTTTCAAGTCATTTACAATAGCAAAGCTCGTCCTTGGAATGTCCTTCTTACTCAAGCAAAACCATGTAGGGTTTATATCTAACACTAGCTCTGCAAACGTTGGTTTTTCACAATATTCGTTGCCTCTGCTATCACTGCGGTTACGAATCATTTCCCATGCCATCGTTTTAAACTGAAAAAAAAAAGGATCCTATTCCCGAAAAATTTTTTTGATAAGAATCCAGCATGTTGAAAGCGTTGCGTAATAAGAGCGAATAACAACTGAGAAGGAGACCTAGTATCTCTGAATTGATCTATGATGTCTTAAATCAGTTTTGTTTTAGAAGTATAACGTGGGAAGACGGAGTTCCCTAGGAAATGAGAGATTTAGTCTTTTAACTTCATCTTCTATAGATGCCGCCAACCTATCTGTCCTCTGTAAGGAATATATATTGTTAATTTGCTTTGATATAATCTGAGGGACCTGTCATTATTTGTCACCGGGGGACGAGTGGGTCGGAGGATTTCGTTTGTGTCGCCATAAAATTTATCTGATTCCCCCTTGAGGCTCTGTAATATTCTTATGCTTCTCCCCTCCCATTGGCAGTTAATTGGCGAAATACCCTCCCCCCCCCAAATCCAGGCGAAAAATAGTGACTGGTCCCTAACCTCTCCAATTTTGCGATATCTCATACCCAGTCCTTAAAGAGCTTTTTGATGGTAGCGGGGTACTTGAAACCAAACATTTCGAAGTCCTCCCGGTAGATATCTGCGAGTTTGACAATTTGGTGCAGTGGGATCTGGGAATAGTGTTTTTCCAGCAACACTGAAGTGTGAGATCTAAATGCTGGAAATTGAAACTGGTTATCCAATTGTAACTTTTTTAAAATATAATCAGCGTCTTCCTTGATGGTGTCAAAGTAACCTACATAGTTATAATCAACGGCGCATGGGTAGCAGGTTTGGTGGGCTGGGCGCCAGTGCATATCCCACGAGGAAGGGTCTGGTAACTGATTAAGATAAGTGGTAAATTCTGCTAAAGTTGGTCTTCCACCGTTCTCGTTGTCTCTACCAACACCGCGAACTTTCTGAATTATTTTCCGGGCAACTGTCTCATATAAGTGAGTCGTTTTACCAACAAATTTATCCCGGTAAGCCGATAGTAATCTTTCAAATGGCTCCCGAACAAAGTAGAACTTCTGATAAGAGTCCAGCATTTTCTTCCTTTCTTCTGCTGAAAACTCGTTCAAGAATTTAAAGATTGAATAATCAAACAAAGAGATGTCATGGTTCGGTGTAACCGGGCGAACTGCAAGAACGTTCAGAAGTAAATCTTTCCACTGGCTGCAGCCGGTTTTTGGCACATAGCAGATAATAAACTTGTGCTTCTCACTAACGACAAAGTTAAAATGATTTCGATTAGGAAGTTTGTGAAAGATGTTCTTGTTGTTTCTTGATGCATTGCAGTAATTTCGGATCCGTTCAAGTCGATCTTGTTGGATCTTGTCTTGGTTCACCTGTAACATGAAATGAACTGTGATTTGCTACACAAAACTGAAACTTAGAAAATTTTGAGGGAGGCTTGTACCAATTCAAGGCAGTCGTGTTTGGATGCATCTTTCCTTTTAAATAGCTAAGCATTCCAGAGAAGATCTTTAAGGCTTATGGCGTATAACTTTTAAAAGAAACATAAATACATTGATTACGATAAAAATGCGCCTTTTTTTTTGTTTCTAAGTTCCTCTCCTTTACGTGCGTCCTCTGTCTAGCTACGTGATGCAGATCCTAATAACGAGGTTGACGTAAAAAGCACGACCGTCTGGCTTATGAATCCGTGGGGGGTGGGGTGCTTCGATACTCGTGTTCAGCTTAGTGGCTAGTCTTTGTGAAGTTTTTTGTCTGAGAGAGGAACTGAGGAGTATTGCTAATAAATAAACTATAAACTTGGAGTAATCAATCCCGATCAATAAGGACAGTCATTATTTATCGGCTGGAAGGGGAGAATCGGAGGTTCTTTGTAGGGGGATCAGATCGTTTTAAGGGGGAACGGAGGGGGGGGGGGGGGCTGGTTTCTTTTCCCCTCCACCCCCCCGTCGATAAATAATGATCAGTTCCTAAGAGAACCAATGCAAGACTTACTGGTAAGATTGTCATGTTCTCATCTTTACAAGCAAGTGACAATTAATGAAACTACTAAATGACTTTTGGGAGGAATTTAGGCGCTAACAGGACTTTAATTGTAACCAATGTCACCTTAAAAAAGTGCTTCTACCAACAAAAAAACAAGTCAGACATCGGCAGTGAGTCAAGTTTTAAGAGGTCTTTGCTCCTCAGGAGGGTAACAATAGTCAAACACTTCAGAATTTTGATTTATGTTGTAGCATTTACCCAATCGTTGATCAAGGCTTTTCCAATGTCTTTTTGTGAGACGGTTAGGTTAAGTACTTACTGTTTTGTGCTCATGTGCAGCTGTAGTTAGACTAGAATTTGTGTCCTCGTAATCTTAAATAAAAAGACACCAAATGAATAGAATTACAAAAAAACACAAAGTATCAAATGAGTTTGGCCCCTTTAGAGCTAACCCTAAGCTTCGTTCACCTCTCTATTAAAACTCCTCTTTGTGTTCTGAAAAAAAAACTAATCCTTTCCACAATTCTAGATCTTTACTTTTTAGCAGCGATGAAATTTATTTTCATGGCTAAGTTTCTTCAGCGTGTATATGATTTGGACAAGTACTCTGAGTAAGAGAATGATATGGCCCCAGGCACGGAAGGGGGGGGTGAGTGTTGGCTTTGTCACGATAAAATTTACCTGATAATGGCAGTCAATTAGCTACAGTCCCGCCCCTTATTCTCATTTGGCGACGACTGATCCCCCTCTCCGTTCCCCCCCCCGTGATAAATAATGACATCGTCCCAGATAAGTTAGGAATATGGAAAAAGAATCCACGGACCAAAACAATTCTCCACTTGTCTTATTGATGTTTTCGCTCATTAATCGTTCTACAACTGCAGACTGCCATGAGGCTTCTGGCTGCAATCCTACATTTAGAGAGGTCTGATTTTATTTGTGCGCTCCTACGTCAAATGTGACCACTGACGAAAAAACTATCGACGAGTCACGCGGCGTCGAAAATCATAATTAGTATTCAAAATATGAACCCCAAAAATTTAGCAACAATAAGCAAAAGTATATAAATAATTTTATCTACTGAGGTAGACAAAAGATAAAACAGGAATTCGTTTCGAAATTACTAAAATGTGGGACCCCCCTCCCCCCTTTTCAAAGTTGACGAGGTGTGACACTAAATTTTGAATTTTAAATTTATTCCTGCGAAATTTTGCAGATTTACTTAATTGTTCGGGATTTAGTAAGCAGTAAGGCTCTTCGTGTGTTAACTTAGAAGCGTGACACAGTCAAGGTGATGTGCCGAGTCACGCAATACGAAGTTATATTATTACTACATCTCAGCCCAAGATATCACAGTTGTTAGTTTACAAATCTATTGTTTGCTTTGTGTATTGGGCGGAAAACGGATCAATGTTTGAAAGGAAATAATTTTACTCAAAGTATAAATCTGTTGGATAAGCCAGTTTTCGTAAATTTGTGACATATCTGTTGGTTTGCCAACAGCAGGATATTGTTATCTGAAAGAACTGTCGCAATTTAAATGCCTCTTAATCTGTCCGAAATTGAATTCAAATAAAACGAAATCATTATCAACAAAGAGTAAAAGAAAATAATTAACGGGGTAGGGAAACACCTCACCGAGGGTGGGAACGATTTAGGTAGATAATCAGTATAATTTACCAAGGCCCATTTTTCGTGATCGCGAATTCTTTCATCAATATACCTTTGTGTAATACTATGATGGCGGCTTCAAATTTCAGTAATGCCTTGACAGAAAAGCCATTCCAGATAAAACTTAAAGCTATGGGTTTGGGAAAAAATAGGTAGCTACCGGCCGGCATGAGGGTTCTGTTTTTGTTTTGTTTTTTTTTTTCGGTATCGATGTCCATTATGTAACACTAGACATCTACAAAAAGTTACTCGATGGTAAAACAATAAACCGAAGTTAGTTTGGTTTCGCGATAAACGATACATCCCACGGGCATAAAAGAGTAAAATTAAACACAACTTAAATTTATAATTTACGCTGAAAACTCGACGTACCTCGCTGCGACAATCTCCTCAGCAACAGAATTCCGACCACCAAAGATATCACATAAGCGGCGGCCGTCCGAACCGGCTTTTTCGTTGTAACACCGTAGAAACCTCGTCTGATTTGCGAGGCTATTGGCATTTCGTACAGAGAGCAAACGGAAACATTAATGAAGAGAATGCAAGAATAACCTATTCAAATGGAAACGCTTGGCAGTCACGGGTAAGATTCCACTTCAAAGAGCGTGTTCAATTTGGAAGCGCGTTGATATCGGTAGTGATGGCGTTAGACCAAGGCAGGGAGGGGACGGACTTTGAAATCAGACGCTATACATCCTGCCTTCGTATGCATGTCTCTAAACATTTCCTGCGGTACTGACAAGGAGAATTTGTTTAACCATCAGTTATTGCCTTTATTCTCGAAGCCGTAATTTTTGACTCTTCGATAATGCAAGGGAATTTTTCGAAATGATTACTTTCAGATGTAAATATTTTCTAAACGACTTTCATCTTTTTAATATACAAATATTTTATTTTTTTGACTCGGCGCATTAGCTACCTGAGCTAGGAGCGCAATAACAGAGTCGTAACAAGGTAGATGAGATCAGGGATCACAGCCCCAGGATCTGGGATCACAACACTTGGGATCGGGATCAGCAGTGTTTTAGTAGAATCAGGGATCAAAATTGTGAACGTTTTTGGGATCAGGGATCAAAATTCCCAATGTTTTTGTGATCAGGGATTAAAATTCTCAACGTTTTTGTGATCAGGGATCAAAATTTGGGGCAAAAATACAGGATCAGTTATGAAAAAATATACCTTGTTACGACCCTGCAATAAGCTTCAAGTTCTCGAGCAAGCAGAAAGTATTCGCAAGGTGTGACAAAGATGTTATACATGCGTGACGTTTTTCGAACGTTACATGTAAAAGAGTACGTGATGTGTTTGGGTGTCACAGACCTGCTTCAAACTACGTGTGAGGATCGAAAATATATACTCTACTTATTAACACCCTATTCAACGTTCCCTGAGGAAGTCTGCTATTGTCAGACGAAACGCGTTTATTTTGATGCTTGCATAGCTGCTCACTAATTTATGATTTTTTTAAAATAAGATGTTAATCACTCTGAGAGGGTCCAAAGGGCAAAAGAAGCAGTTATTGCTTTAGGTGTTTAAAACAAGACAGGCATCGAATTTTATTTCCATGGAATAAAATGGGGTGGGGGTTTTTTGCGCCAAATTGAGGACACTAGGTCTGGCGTTCCAATTACATGATCACAGTTCATGTGCCAAGTGAATGTCACTTCACGAGTAAAAGGCTCGCATTTCCAACTCGTCTAAAATTTTCCTGCGGGCAGATCTTGACAAACGCGCATCCTGCAGCGGTAATAATAAGAGTCTGCTCGCTGGCTCAGACAAGGTCAGGATAGAATAAGGGGATAGGGTTAGGTACGGGGAAATTGTCCTGGAAACCGATCTTTAAAATTGTTGATCAGCCATAGAGACTGCGGGCTCTCCGACGGAGGGGCATCAAACGAAACACAATCGAATGGCTTTTCTTGCTTCTCTCTAGAAATTGCTTTAGACGATACAAGTTTATAGAATAACGACAAAGCGATTAAATCAAAGGAAACCAAAATGATAGACATTGAGAGTTTCAGATTCCGACTGAAGTCACGAGTAGTTGGAACATAGAACTGTTGATCTCAGCAGCTATGTTTCCCTAAAGGATGATATTTAGAGCGGGTTTACGGGAAGAAATGCACCCTTAAACTGCAAGGTAGAAAAAATATATCATGTCAATATTACCGGTTTATTATAATTTTTCTCAAAATTTACTCAGTTATGTCCAATTGTACTTCAGTTATACGTTTTCCGAGAAGTTTAATATTTCGTGTGAGTTTACAAAAAGAGACCAAATTTTATAACGAGCAGCTTCTTTTGTCCGTAGAAAATAGGAAATGTATTTAAAAAATACCAAACCTACGTAAAAATGTCAACTTTATGTATTCAAAAAACTCTGAAAATCATCAATCTAAGTCCGAAGGGACTGCTATACTCAAGCTAAATTTTAATCCCATTTAAGTCTGTTTCAATTGTTTCATAACCTCGAGAGAAATGAGTTTTTCCATGATCTGTTGAAAGAAAAAATGCGGCGAAGCGCATTTGAAATTTATGATCCTTTAATAGTGAAAGCCGATAAGGACTATTGACACAGATTGGCTGCGATGTTACTCAAATGATCTTTCATAACGCTCTGAACGGCCAAGAATAGTAGTATTTTGGCAATTAAGCTTCCTCCTTTGAGAAAAAGCTAACAAATATTTGTGTTCGTCGCAGCAGGAGGAAAATTTTTTATCAATAACAAAAGATCTATCTCTTTTCAAACAACACATTTTCTTCTGGAAGAAATATTGTGTTATGAGACACAATTTGACTTCGATCAATTAATGACAGATGTTGCGTAGGAGAAATTTCTCTGCGTAAGCTTGCGCTAATGTCATTTCGTCTCCCATTATGAACTTTTTGAATGCATTGTTTTATTTCTTCGACATGTTCGGTAGATTAATTTGCAAAACCGCACTAAAGCAAAGATTACCTGTAAAATAATCAATCCGCGAAATTGGAATAAAACTACACCTTGGAATTATTTCTAGATTTTAATTTGCCCCGCAAAGTAACGAATGTTGTGAGACCTCATCGAGTTTTCTTTGTGCCATGAAAACATGCTTTAAAACAGAGATCAGTCGGTTTTCTTTTTCGTTGTTTATTTTGTATTCAAGCCTCATTAGCTCTTTAAATCTGATATTTTTGTGTGACTATACAAATGAGTTCGTGATTGTCTACAGACTGTATGTCTTTTTCCACTTCATTTTGAAATGAAAACTCTTTCATCAAAAAGCCACCGGCGGAGAAGAGTGTTTCCTATTTTTTTAGAACAAGTTCCTGTACGTGCCTATCGCACTAGAACAGGGATTATGTAGTTGTTTCAAAAGGATACCCAGCTCGTTTCTTCTCACGAAAATTAACTTCTTTTATTCTGACCCAAGAGTATTTTCAAATTTTCGTTATGCAATTAACTGAAAGTTTTGCTATTCAAATCTTACGTTTATGACGCATTGGACAATGAGAAAATTTTAGTTTAATTTGCAAATTGTGGGCGATCGACAAACATGTAGTCTCCGCGTGAATTTTATTGTCGCTTGAACAAAACACCTCAAAGCATGGTTCATTGGAAACAAGGAAAAAGATCTCTGGAAATCTTTTGAAAATGTAATTCTATGCTATTCATTTTCAAAACAACTTAATGTTACCCCTTGCATTGAGGGCCAAAAGTTTTGATTTTGAAATACTTCAACGGAATATTAAAAACAATATTCGAGGAAGTAAAAATTTTCGTTGCTAAGATATCTAAGTGGTTTTCGGTTAGAATGTGCAAAAACAAATGATGTTTACCCAAAAGCCGTAAAATTAATAAATGCTGAAATTCGAATAACTATCGGCAACTTCATTAACAAGTACTAACAGCAGAGAAAATTTCAATTAATTTCTTGATAAGAGCCAAGTGGTAATAAATCAGATCTTAGGTTTCGCCGAAATATCTTCTCACGTTTGTACGAAAATGGAACAAAAAATCCTCTCACATGCACTGAATTTCATACAAATTGGTTCAAATATGATAAAAGTGCCCAAGAAAAGTTTTGAAATGAAAACAACACCCTCACGTTATCTGTAATATTACCCTGAACCGAATGCAAAGGAAAATAATACGAAAAATAACAGTTAATGGCTTTCTGTGTTGATTTTAATGTTACTTTGCTCATTCGGTATCAAAATAAAAATATCGGAAAATCTGAGGAAACATTTTTAACAATAATAAACTTTGATTTCCATCAAAAGGTAACTCGCATGTCAATATTTTCAATTTGATCGCTCACAAGAGGGCTACGATTCGCGCGACTGGATTGACAAGCAACATCAAATGTCAACAAAAGGGCTTCTTTGTTGAAACAAAATGCAAATATGTTCTTGTTCTCAAGACATACATTTGAGTAAGAGTTATGGCAAATTGGAAGAAAGTCTGACAGCGCACCGGAATAAACAGAAAAGAAAACGACATTCAACTGTCAAACGTTTGCCAACTATCTGTATTCTCCGCTTTCAAAAGCTAAACTAGTCATGGTATATATTAAGCTTTTTTTTCTTTCCTTGACCGATACCCGTTTGATTTTCGCCCCGTAATGGATTTGCACGAGTTAAACCATTACATTATATTCTTCGAGTTTTATGAAAAATTAATGAACGAGTCGACGCAAACGATTTGATTCTCCTTCGATTACAATTCACATGACATGTTAAATAAACTGGACAAATTTTGTCGAAATAATTCACGTTTGGAAATAATAGGTTGCGAGTATTATTTTTTTTATCGCACTTGACAAGGGAACAAAAATAAGTTTTACTTTCGAAAAAATTTAACTAGTTCCAGTCGGTAATAGACAAATAAAATTCTGTTTTCATCCATTGAAAGACTAGGAAGTCTTTTTCAAATGACATTTAAAGGCTAAAATATAGATTCATGACATTGTATCCTGGTGTAAAAATACAAAAAATCGTAGAAATTTCCTTGTAAAAACATATTTGGAAAACATCAGAAATTCTCTGCTTTCCTTTTAGAAAGATATTTTGATTTCTGAAGATTTTATTTTGCAATTGTTCACTTTCTTGCCACTCTGCTTAATTTTTCCCAAGACAGCTGGCTTTCTGTTTCACGGGCAATTCAATCTCTATTGTCGAAAGCTACGAGGGGTCTTCGAATTTACACATTCTCCGCTGAAAACTTGTGATTTTTCCGCATAAATCTCGGCTACTTTATGTTCATTTAGTTCTTAAAACGCCATCATCCCAGCGTTACATCTTAAAAGCAACCTAAAATCGAGTGACAGGTAGTAATTCGCCTTCACATTAAAGCACCGGAACCAAGCTTGTATGATAAATTTCCTTCATGGCGGAAATCTTCTTGTTCGAAATGATTGCGTTTGCCTTATATGGCAAATTTAATAACAATAGAATTTTGGGACTGCACGCGGTTTGTTTTTTAGGCAAAGACCCTTGAACACCAAAGTGCTTAAGACGCGTGTATGTCATTTTTTATGTGGCGCGCACTGGGGTAGCTCGACGCTTACACGTTTTCCCGCGCCAAACAGGTGAATGAAGCGCGCGCGTTGCCAATTAACTGTGTTTATGTACAACCTCTTAACAATGGACCAAGGAACATTCAGAATTTGCGCACACAATATTCTCTAATCAAGGTATTCATTCTTCTCTCCCTAACAATATTGCCAGCTGTGACGTCACTAGCTTATCAGGCCACGATTGTCGACAACCAGAGTACCTTACCTCCGGTGGATGAGAAAATAGCACGTTCAGCGCACTGACCCATCACAAACAAGCAGGAGCCGCGAACGCGAGGGCAGTTCGCCCAGCTGAGCTTCGTTCACTAATCGCTCCCGCGCTCGCCAAATGGGGGTTTTCTTCCTAAACTTTTTGCGGGCGCTGAAAGGCCCGACTAAAAATCTCGTCTTGAGAACTACTTTATTCCTGGTGTATTTACTATTTGGCGCGGCAGTTTTCCAAACGATTGAGTCGGGCGCTGAACACCGCGAAATTCATCATTTTGACAAAGTACAGCAGCGGATGAAAGAAAAATACAACATATCGGACGAAGAGATGCATATTTTTTTCACAGAAATTTCGAAGGCCATCGACGACGGATACTTCGATGTGGCTTACGACCGATGGAGTTTTGCTGGTTCGCTTTTTTTCACTGGGACAGTTGTGACTACCATTGGTGAGTACCACTATTATGTTGTTACTCAGGGTATTTTTTTAATACTCGTTGAAGCACCGCGCTTTTAAATTTAGTTATCTCGTTGAATTTCGACCCTTTAAGATATCTCCATGTTGTCTCATTTATCGGAAAACCACCGCAGTGTAGTGCGCGGTTTTCTGATAAATTTCTTGAGAACTTTGCGCGATTTGACTTTCATTCAGTACTAATGTCTTCTTCGGATATCGATTGCATATATTTTGCACTTGGTGGGAAGCAAAAACACAATCCGTGCGACCGTTGCATTTTAATTTCTAGAAATATAAGTTTTTGTGAAACATCGACTAAGATTCCTTCGTTGCTAGCGATTAACTGAGCGTCCTTTCGTTCAGTACTTAAATTCAAGTTTCTAAAGCACAGTTTCTAACGTGATTTGGCGCTGTCAAACTGTAGCGCTCATTAAAACGCAAAATCGCTCGCCAAATCGAATCTCTGGTTTGCCTTTTGGTTGATATAAACTTATTAATTTTCAAACATTTTACCCCCAAAAAAATCGCTGGTCTTTAGAATTAGAATTTAACGATCCTGTCAAAGTCCTGCCTCCTTTTGTTGCGGATTAAAAAAAGCGCTCGATCTGCATTGAATATGAATATTCAAACTCCTGTTTCCGATTTGAATCGGACGCTTTGAGATTGTTTTGTTGTCAGAGGTAGTTCTTTCCATGAATTCATTAGTTAAAACACAGAAATAGCGCGCTATCACTGCGACGAAAAATAGAAAATCGCTGAGTTTTGTAATTTTTCAAACGAAAACATGCCATCGGCCGCTCGTTCGAGAATTAATTTCGCCGAGAAGCACAGTGTTCATAGCTCAAGCTGTGTGGAGTCTGTATTATGCAAAACAGCGATCAAAAGATTATGAACTTACAGCAAAGACGACGACAAAATAACAATAGTAGCTTACCGGTTCATTTATTTCTATCGCCCCGTGAAAAAATCCAATTTCACTAAGGCGAAAAAATCAAGATTTTCAACTTTCGGCATATCAGTGGAATAGTGGTTTGGCCTCAATTAGAAAGGATATCATTAAATGCCTATTTTCCTTCGGGTAAATAAAAGATTGGGCTTTGCCTATACAAAATGCGAATCTGACATTTTGATCGAAATAAAAATTAGCGGCAAATGAATATTTTATCCTAACCAGGAAAATACTCCGGTAGAAGTGATCGAATTTACTTTGATAGTAAAATCCCAGAAACTGCGCAAAAAATGAACTGATTGATCCCTCGGGGTTTCAAATCCTCCAAGATTTGCGTAGGCTTCCGACACAAAATTGTATATTTGTTTAGAAGCAGCTGTGGCACTAGAAAAGAGGGTCTTTTTTTCATGACAGAGGTGATTAAGAAGCTAAAACTCAGTATAATCAAACACTATACCAAAGGAAATCTAGCACAGGTCCCAATTCAATTTACGAGGCCAGAAGTTTTGATTTGGCGAGATATTAATGAGGAAATCTTAATTTTTTTCCCTGAAAGATGTGGGATCCCTGAATGTCAGAATGTACTACCTTCACTTGACTACCAAGCTACGGATATTCTGTTAAATGTACAAGATTTATTTTCCATTTCGAGTTTTTTTGTTTACAAATTTATCATACATTGAAGAAAAAGGACATCTTTTCCTTGGAAAGAAGAAATTGGTATTGAAATCATGAGAAACATAGTTTTCACCGGCAGTAGAGGAAAGGAAATATACCGAGACTGCAAAAGTGCATTTGAGGACCAATTTGTTACAAGAGTATATTCCATTACTTCCGATCAAACAAAAATCTGGATATTTCTTTATCAATTTCATGTGTTTTTGTTGTTCCTACAGTGAATCACGCCCGGTTTTTGTCTTGCTAACACGCGCAATTTTTTTTATGATCGACAAACTTCGGCTTGATGAAATGCTGGTGACCTCTGTTTTGGCGGGTTTTGAGAGGGACATGTTTACCATAAACAAAAATGGAAATAGCGAAAAATTGCTTTCAATAATATGGTCACCACCTGCCTCAAGGAACTTAAATGTATTTTAACGCGTTTTCTGTTTTTAGCGTATTTCTCGAAGAAAATGAACAAAAAATTGCACGAATCCTACATAGTTTGAGAAGCATTCGGTCCTTTGGAAATATGGTCAAGAGTTGTATACAGCTTTTGAAGCGAAATTTGCAATTTCACGAACGAGTGATTTTTCCGCTTTTGGACGTATTTGGAACAAAATTTCTGTAACAAAAAGACAGCTCTATGTTGCATTCAAATCTATGGTGTAGAAAACATTCATCTTTTGTTGAATAGTGAGAGTGAAGTTTATCTGTGAAGGCTGGCGTTTTTGAAGCAAAACTCGACATTGTTTGAAGCGAGTTCAGATTCAGTTGTCGGTTTCGTTCGCTCAAAGAAAGAAAAATTAACGAGTCCGAAATGTTTCTTTAAGCGGCGTAAAAACAGTTGCATTAACACCTTTTTTGTCACTTGTATTAGTAGGAATGGAAATGAGCTTTCTCGCTGATCCATGCGGCGTGATAAAGATATTTTCTCTCTGTGAATGGAAACTTCATATCTTCTGAATTAAATCGTGAAGAGAAAAAAAAACTTTAGAAAAAAAGCAACTTTATTTCATAAGGCCGTTTTATTCTGTTAATCAGGGATTTCAGCTTTTTAACTGTATGAAGAAATAATAAACTGGAATTCTTTGAAGCGTTATCATCGCACGTTTAAAAGTAGAAGTAAAAGAGGGTGTAATCTTCTTCTTTTAGTATTTAGAGATTCAGCGAACCTTTCTTTGGAGCAACACTCTTGCGTACAAATTTCTTTCGTTCAAAGAATATTTTTATTTTCATTTTTGTTCTAGAATTACTGTTTTCTTGAACAATATCTGCGAGGTGTAGAATTGTATTTTCCGGCATATTCTGTAATTTCATTTGTTTATATAATTTTACGACTCTTCAAAAAATGAACGAAAAGTTTTCTGAAGAAAACAATAATTCTCGTCCGGCAGCAGGGAAATTCTGGAAAAAAAGTTATTTTAGAGCCAATTTAAATCACCGATCTCACACGCGGCCAAATTGTAAACTCGACCTCATTAAAGAAGATTTCTTGTTTGTTGTTTTATTTTTCAGCTCAGAATAAAATCTTTGAAAGAAGAGGAAAATGGTGTTAAATTTCAAATTTCGCATTCAACGGCCATCTTGTGGTTTTAATTGAAATTTGATTACCGTGCATGTTTCCCTCTCTCTCTGGTTTAACAAATAAGTTTCCAATTTTCTTATCCTGTGCTCCATGCGTCGACTTTGTCGAAATCGGAAATTCTCTACATGCGGATTTTCTCAATTTTCGCCTTAAAGTCGCAATTTTAACAAAACCTTATTTCATCTTGATAAAATTGAGTGAAAGCTTTGCCAGTTCGTTCACTTGCGTGTTTCTGCTTACGTAAAGAACAAATCTGAAGGTCTGTTTTATTATTTTAGAACGTGGTTTTCGTTAATTAATCACACCTGATAAACTCAAACCCACAATTGATTTTAATTTAGGTTAAGGAATCGAGTGCGTTTCGTTTTGACAGAAAAAAATATAACTTCTATCAACAAAAAATTAACTCAGGTTACAACTGCGCTGAGATTGCCATAGCGCCCTTCACGTCCTACATTGTAATGTAAAAATTACCTCAGCTAAGTAAATGCTGTTCTTAAGTGTTAGCACGCCTTTGAACAAATACGAGTGTCTTCATATGAAAGAATTCTAGAGACTTAATTGAAAGTAATTTGGAATTCTCCTTAACGAATGAAACATTTATGGTTTTCATTGTACCTCGTGGATGAATCATTGTTTGCTGGGTTTTGTGTGATAAAGTTCTCATAAATTTATTGTTAATTTACTGATATTTGAAAATCTCGCCCACGGAATACTCTTTTTGTACATCATTGCTTAATATACCCAGGACACCAAATTGACAAAAAAATATATTTTAGCACGAAAAGTTTGACGCAATAAAACTTTGTCGTATTCAAAATTCTTTGTGGGGGACACTGAAGAATTATGAATTAAGCGGTCCATTTCAAAGGACAAAATCACGGTAAATCGCTGTTCGTCTCAAGATATCTGTTTTAAAAAAATCTGAAATTCATAAATGAGAGAATCTGAAGAAAGTGAATTGCATATTTTTGAAGGTGCAATATGATAGAATTTTAAAATTTTCTTGCAGGGAAATTGAATACTTCCTTTACCTCTGAATCGCTTTTATCCTTGGTATCCTTCTTTAAGAGGAAAATTGAAGAAATTAAGAAAAAAGGCAGTTAAAGTTTTAGCCAGCATTTCCAAAAATACAAATGAATAACGTATTTAAGACGTAAACTGAATTTATCATGACTCACAGGCTACTCTGAGTAAAACCGTTTTTTTTTTCTCAGTCAGCGTGGGTGACATTTTATGCAGACCTCGCAACGCCTGTGGCGCTGAATTTTCTATCGCTTGCTAGAAGAAATTTAATCATAACGAGAGCTCAAATGCCGTTCCAACGATTCTCCTTTCGGGATTTCATAAACTCCTTTTTTTCACCATAGTATTTAGTTATCTGAAGCAAAAGTAAGCTAATGGCAATCATAATAAGGCAACCATGCCAAAAGTTAACTGATCACGAAAGCTCTATATCCATGAAGCAGATCGATTGAAATTTGAATAAACTTTTTCTAAAAAAAGGAAAATAATGTCTAGGCGATTGGTCTCCCAACGAGAAATAAACAAACATAGTGATTTGAATTTTTGTGGCTATCTAACAGCAGGGACGAGTAGACATATTCTCAGACAAAGTTTAAAATTAATTGGAGAATGACGATAAGACAGAATGTCGGAAATATGCGTCTACAGTGCAATTAACCAGTAAGAATCTGATACGATCAAAACTTTGCGTAGGACGCCTCTGACTTTTGTCTTTTCTCTTTCAGTTTAAAATGAAATAAAAAATTGGAGAAGATTAAAGAAGTGTCAATTGTTGAGATTTTGAACGGTTTGCTGAAAAAATATGAAAAGTTCAGAAGCGAAATCTATCATCATATTACCATCTTTCCTATCCTATTTACGAAATATATCATTTTGCGACGATTTTATGGATCTGAATCGCTCAATTGTCGAAGCAAAGAAGATAAAATTAGACAACTGAATATTACGCGCGGTTGCAACTGCTGAGGACGTGGCGAATTCTGTTTTTTCAGTTTTCAGGTCTAATGATAGTTTTTGTACTTCGCTCACATTTCTTAGAACAACCGTGAAAGCGAGCGAGGAAGTGAATAAATAAATTAATAAGTGAGTGAGCGAGTGAGAGAGTTGTTGCGTGCGTGAGGGAATGAGTAAGCAAGAAATTGATTGAGCGAGAAAGTTAGTAAGAGAGTTGTGGAGTGAGTGAGTTAGTTAGCAAGTCATTGAATAGGTGAGGTTTTTTTACAGACTACCATGTTTTTTAAGCGAGAAGGCGGATAAGGAAACGGAATGGAACACTAAACGGTACAACGAATCACAAAGTGATGTTCAACCTTTCGTTAATGTTTCCTATTTAATTCATTAATGTGAAAGCCACAAGTTTAGCTGGCACGTAAATCAAACGAAGGGCTCTTTGAAAGCAAAAATTTCTTTTTTTTTTAATCTAAATATTATCGCTGGTTACCAGTGATGTGTTTCCCCTTAATTAAATTTTTTTTTTCATAATACCACGGAAGGCGAATTTATCTCTAGTATATGTTTCGAAACGCAGAGAACTTTATCTAGAAATATTACCTTTCATTAACCAAAACATAACCTGATTAAGAATTACTGAGGGGAAGGGGGATTGATTTCTTTTGAATTTTCCCCATGAAGTCACCGATGAACCCACACAGTTTTTTTTGGTAAAACGGTGGACCGTTTTTCTCTGTCAAGTTAATGGCTCTCTCTTCTCGCTTTTTGATTATATCCATTATTTGCCAAACGAAAATATCAATAGATAAAGGAATTATTCATTCAATATGTCTATAAATCGTATTCGAATATACATTTAGTCAAATATTCAAATTATTTGTAATGTGGGCTCTGTAATGGCAAAAAAGCCATTAACTGGGAAAGTAAAATGAACGAATAGTAACGATATCGACTGGCGGCTCGGATTGCACGTCATCAACATTTCATAACACTTCCGTATTTCTTTTTGCACGAAAACTTGGTCCTGATGCAACCGACTTGCAGTTGATGATAACTGAAAAAGTTTTATTTCACGCTTGGTTGTAAGAAGTTCTGTAGTATCCAAAGTACTTGCATGTTCTCATTAAAGGATTGTGAATTCCAGACGTTAATGTCATTCGCTAACGAATGTCATTCATTATTTACGGCTGTAAATAAACAGTCATCAACTCTTGGAAATGAAGGTCGATATGGGACTGTGAAGCACTAATGTGCAGTTAGCAAAGTGACAGTTGGTGTGGGAGTAATTTTCAATTCAGTGTCAAAAATAATCAGAGATTGCATTAGTTTCGCTTTACTTCTCTTTGTGATTGGTCCAGAAAACTCGCACCACTCTCTAAGCCAATCAAATGCAAAACTAAAGCCAATGACAACTTGATCGCCCACGTTTTTCCGCGTTTTAGGAAGTTGGCTTGATTTTACTTTGAGTTCTCATTAGCTCTAAAAAGTAGTTTCCTCTCTTCTGTCTCGCCGTTATGATTACTTTGGGTTTTTTTTTACGACACAATCAAAAAGAGTTATCGCGCCCTGTTATCAAACGCCCTATTATCAGACGTAAAACTGAAGGAGGAAGAACATTTACTGTGACTGCCTGTCAAGCCTGGATCAGCTTACCGCTATCTATGCGGAAAATAGCGTCGCTTAATTCTTTTAGGAACTCTCTTTGGAAAAAAAAATTTGAAGAACAGCAGCTTTTAAATTATTTTATTCCGTGATTTAGTTATACTTTTGTACTTTTAATTGATTTTATCTCTCATCTCTTGTATTTTTATTCGTTATATTATCTCATAGTTATGCCATAGTTTTTAACATCCGTGTTGTACATAATTTTAGAGGGCCACTGGTTTTTTAGTATTTCTATACTGTTTTAGTGCTACCCTCTTTAAATAAAGTCTTTACTTACTTACTTAATTACTAGAGTGAAAAGTACATCATAAGGCTTTGTCTACACCAAATTGCATGAATTTCAAAACGGCGTCTTCGCTCTGAAAACGAAATCTAGGTTTCATGTCTATGAAAAAATCGAAATATAAATTTTTGCCGCTCATACTCACGCTGTAACTTACGTCACTCACATGGACCTGACAGTGTCTCTGAGCATGCGCACGACCAGGAGATAATCATACTGCCAAAAATTCAAAGTGAAGTTACATCATTGTTTTCGAAGGGTTTCATTTTCAGCTGACAGGTAATAAGAAGATGCTTCTTTTTTCAGAATTTTCTGGAGTGGACTTAAGGCTCTGCATTGTTTTATTTTGTTACTAAACAGTGACCACGACAAATGCTTTGCTATGCTGTGCTGAGAGGATGCAAAAAAAAAACCTGGATTATTCGATTGAATTCTGTCGAAAGTTTCGGAAGGCTTCGAAGCACTACACGTCGAAATTGCAAAGGAATCCGCCGAACATAGGAACACTACAATTCGAAACTAAATATTTACAGAGCTGAAAACGTTTATCCGTTTTTTTTAGGTTACGGCAAGATGGCTCCGAACACGGTCTGGGGACGAATCTTCTGTATATTTTACGCCATATTTGGTATTCCAATCACGGGCTTAATGCTGAAATCGATCGGCGAACGGATAACAGAGGCAACGGCGAATTTTTGGAAACTAATTGACACAAAGATCTTCAACAGGGAACCTCGAAAAATCTACCTCAAAACTGTAGCGTGTATATTCCTGATGGTAACAGGAATGATCTTACTTCTGGCAGGTATAGGAAAAAGCTACGAAGGATGGACATTTTTCGAAGGAGTTTATTTCGCTTTCATCACACTAAGCACGATCGGTTTTGGAGATTATGTGCCCCAGCATCCAGCCAATAGCGAGAAAGATCACCCTGGTTACGTCATTGCCTTCACAGTACTCACATTCGTTTACTTTACATTTGGTCTCGCGGTCGTCTCCAGTGCCTTGCTGGCTATCAGTCGTTTATTCGAGGACGAGCCACCCTGGGGCTTTATCTCTTTGATGGGAGGGGACGATGGCGAAGATGACGAACAAGACAATCTACTAGCTGAGAAAAAGAAAGCTCAAATCAAGGACAAGATGGCGGGAAGTGGCGCTCCTTGATGTCTAAATACATTAGAAAATATATCATCTTAATTTCTGTGGATTTATTGTATCAATTTATGATAATTATGTCGTCGGGGGATCAGTGTGTTGATTTTATTTCGGGAATTTGTCATACGTGGTCTTGTGACGTCATATCGTGGTCCAGAATTAGAGCTCGATTCACAACTTAAGCAAACGATAAAACCAGCTTCAACATCAAAGGTTATTCGGAAAGAAAAATCAAACAGTGGTACAGAACATAAGAAATATTTTTATTACAAGAAAAGAAAACGGTCAAGAAAGGATCCAAGAAAACCAGTGAATGCTGGATGTAAACTGAGACATACTGCCAGCTAAAACACTGAATTCCTGACAGTTGGTCGGAAAAGTCGAATGTAGGGACACCGATTTTCTCCGCGGTTTCATGGAACTGAGTTTGTGAATATTAGAGAGGCTGCTGCATTTGGTTGGACGCGAATGATACTAGAGTCGTCTGACTTGGAATTTCGCTGGTTCAGCGGACCAACAATGTAATTTAGGTAGGTAGAGAAGAAATGGTGTATTAATGGTAACTGGTTTTTGTCAAAAGTTCGACATGGTAGACGTTACACTTTTCCACCGAAAATTCTGTCAAACTGATGCCAAACGTGAATTCCACTTCACCTCTATTAGCACTAGATGTATCTCCTCAAGTTTTCTGCAACAGTCTGATTGTCACGTAGCAACCTGGTGTGACAGATGTTCGCTTGCTGCGTGACAACGAGCAAATTGATTGTGTCTCGTGTCCCATGTCGTGCATGTTTAGGACAAATTGACGAACCAAATGAACGAAGTTCTCTGTCACTAAGAAAGAAATCAAATACCTTGATTATTTAAGCAATATATTTATTTTTGTAACGACTTATTAAACTTAATATCGGTGTCTAAACTTAAACGTTATCTTCAAACCTCCTCTGATGCAGTTCAGATCAGCCCATTGAGTTACATTTTCTTTAAATTCTTTAGTTTTTCTGCAGAGCGTAATTAACAATTAACAAATATTATAAACTAGCTGTACTGTCTCTACCAATAACGTTTTCAGCCGCATTCTCAGTAACTCACCGATCGTCAATATGTAATGTAATGAGTCTATCAAACTAGTCTAAATTTTCTTCAGAGATGACCGAGGGGTGCGATGGACATTTACTACTTCGTTAGTTATCTAGCATCGTTAAAAAAACCGTCCGGTTTCAATGTGAACCATTCAAGCGCTCAAAGTCATTGCATTCGAGCTTGTAGTAATAAACTTTTGTTACTTTTTAGAAAACTCTGATTTTTCCAAACACACGGTCATCACTAAACACATAAAAGTATCCGCTGAATAAAGTCTTCAGCTTTAGAAAATTTAAATTCACCATACTTCCGAACTTTTGTTCATATCCAGAGTTTCAGCTGTGTAAAAGGCAAGCTCAGTTTGCAAACTGTTTCCTGACGCTAGCGAACTTAGCGTACCTTACAGTTCTACAAATTACGTTGTATACTGATTTTAATTTTGGAAACTTATTAATAAGGCAAATCTAGTTTAGTTTGAAAAAAGAAGGTATTTCTTTACGTAGTAAGGGAAGAACTGTAACACAATAGACTGCTTATTCTAGGGATATGTCATAGATTTAGGATCATGTGACTCTGGAAGCCACATCAAACGCCTCAGGCAAGGCATTATATGGTAGATCCTAAGGTGTCTTAAGTTACTTAAACGTTAAGAAATGGGGTTATATCTTACTTGAAATCTCAGAAAGAAAATCAAACAAGACAAAACAGAAAACATAACAGGTGTATCTAAAAATACTACGTGTATTTACGATAATGTTACTTTGCTTTTGGTTGCAACGTCAGAAACTACAAAACAACAAGATAATTTGGCGAATAATGCACATTGGAATTTGAAGGTGCTCTCACGTATGAGATGCGCATGACTGTGTTCCGTAGATGTTTTAAACGTACGCAGTTACGTTTATTAAATGATCTGAAATGAAAACCCAAGCGAATCGATTATGTGCTAGTAACGTGAATGACCTCTTGTTGTTCTAAAAATATCGATGTGTTGGGCGTTGCAGCCTAGACAAAATGTTTCAGAGTTAGAAATAGAAGCTGAAAATTATAAATTTCGATTCTCTTCAAGAAAAAAGGAAAGTAGCCCAGAGACGACAATTTTTGATTTAGTTTGAATTTCTTTGAAGATGTCCAATTACGAAATATTTCTTTTAGGGTTTTTGCTTTATCTGAGCAAAATTGCAAATCGAAGGAGTCATGTCGCCAAAATTTTAGAAAACTACGAGCTTTACTTCAAACAGCGTGGATCGTTCAGTAGTAGGATAAAAGAGGAATAATAAGAGAAAAAGGTTGAAAGGGAAACGTAAAAATGATAGGATGTGTTGTATTCAGAAGAATTTGGGAAAGGTCAGCCTTCCGTTATCATTCAATATGGTCGAAACTGTTTGCTTTTTCCTAACTGTAGAACGTGTTTCTGGTTAAGCAAGTTTTAACTGATAACTGCCGGAAATAAGCAAAAGTAAACTAAGATAAAGTGCCATGGCTCCTTTTATTTCCTTGTTAGTTTTATTTCTATTTTATTTTTCATTTTTCTATTTTACCATTTTCTCCTTATTCTCATTTGGTGCATTGGCTTTTCATGCTTTTCCCGTTTATTTGCCACCAACGTATGTTTTTATTTTTTACGTTAAAGACAAACATTTGTTTATTTTTTATTTCAAATTTTCATTAAGTTTAAGGTTGTGGTTGTCGTTTGACATAGCTAGCGGTACAATGTGAACAAAATACCAAGAATATCAGACTCAAAGCAAGAAATATTTTAATACTTCGTGGTTTATTCTTTATTTTCAAACATAAATAATTTGGAGAGTGAAATTGAATATTAAATGGAACGTGGAGTACAATGAATAAATGATGAAAGACTATGTTTTTGTCTGGTTATTGTTGTGAATAGCTTTTGATACAAGGGGGAAGGTCAGAAGTTTTCGCGGGGGTGGGGGAAAAGCTTCCTTTCATTAGTTACCAAATGAAGAGGTCTTTTCAGCTGTTTTTGAAATTGGTTGAATGTTTTGGTCGTTAAGAAAATATTTCGCTCCGGTTTTGTGATTCATTACTGTTTTCTACTTTAACATCAGTTACACATTTCTGTTGCTAGTCAAATTTTGTTGAAGTCTTGTTTTTAAAGGCCACTCGACTTTTGCACGATAAATTACTGTATTTTTTGGGAGTGAAAATGGATCATGAGAATTATTCGTTAAACCTGTTAATTTAATCAAATGTCAACTCAAATGACCTTAATGTCGGGGTACAACCTGCCGATGAACTTTAATCGAATTGGGGAAGGCGTCATAGAAAGGTCTGTGTTTCGCGTCTTTTGGGTCAGAAATCCTAAATCCTAATCAATTACTTCCTCACTTCCACAAAGTTTGTTCTCTTACGCTCCTTGAGCCTTCAGGGCACTTTCGAATGTGGATCAAATTCAGTTTTTAAAATTCTCCATGAATTCTTTCTAAATAAGATCAGATCTGTTGTTGCTAACGTTTTTCATGGTCGATGTCACGGTTACAACATCGAGCCTTTAACTCAAACAGATCTTCTTTGACAATCGCTTTCTATTAAAAAATTAGCTTATTGATTTTAAAATCGATAAATGAAGCGTTTTTAGCATTCATACACGCAAAGAAAACTTTGTCTTGAAAAGGGGTGTTGATTTAGCTGCTTCTCGATGGATGGAGAAGTGATTTTAAGTGAAGAAAAAGGACAAAAACAATTGACTGACTGTTGTCTTTATAACAAAGAACACGTCTATTTAAGAACACAACCAACCAACCTTCATTAGAGGGAAGCTTCTAATGAGGAGCTGTACGACAACTGGATAAACAGACGTGATGATTAAGCTTCATTCAAAGAAACAGAGATCCAATATTGAGATGGAAGTTATCTCGTCTTGAAAGGAAATTGAACTGAGAATTCAGTGATAATAACGAGTAAACAGCCTGACGGCCCATTTTGGGTGTTAATTATCGAAAACAGCAACGCAGCAACTTGATAAAGAGAAAGAAATGTGAACAAAGGATATCGGAAAAGAAAGCCTTCAGTTTGCGCACCTGTTGCACGTAAGGCCATTAAAAAAAAAGGCATCTGCAAGACAATGACAGAGAAATGGAGGAAAGATGTAAAATCTGTTGAGAAGTTTTTCGTACTCGAGGATCTTTTCTTTGGTGACAATATTTAGAAAAAAAGGTTATAAAATTCAGCCATTTTGGTTATCACTGTGCGCTGTATAACAACCGAAATAAAATCGTGATTTTGTTATCGTTGTTGAGATCTGTACGAAGGAAAGTGAAACAATACAGACTGTTGTACGTTCAAGTAACAGCTGATCAGCAGTTAAGCAAGAAAAATACCTTAGACTTCTTATATTTTTTTTCCCATTGGTCTCTTTTGTGCACTTTAATTTTAAAAACAAAACCAAATAAAGCTCTAAATGAAAATGAAGAAATTATAATTCCTACTCTTAACCTTGAAGTGGTTTACATTTCAATAAACCATCTTGATGTTAGGTTAACTATAGTAAATTTAGCTCATTGGTTAGCCAAAAAAAAAAACCCAGTGTAGTGACCAATGCAAAGGCTACCAGTCATCATTTATCGCCTGGAAGTTGGGGGGGGGGGAGGGGGGGGTGAGGGGGTAGGGGGATAGGGATCCTCTCATAAAGCTCTGTAATATTCTTCTTATCCCTCTTATTAGCAGTCAACTTCGACAGGCCCCCTCTTTACTGTGCTGGCGACGACTGATCTTCTCTTCCATTCTCTCGGTGAATCATGCGATTCCCCCTATGAATCCTCCACCACCCCCTCCCCCCTCAAGCGATATGTTCTGACTGGTTCCTAGTAAAAATCTCTCCTCATTGTACTTGGTTTTTCACTCTCCACTCAAGATTTTCGTCCTCGCTCAAGATCTTTGTTGCGTTTCATTTTAGGTACCCTTCAGTAAATTCCCTTAAAAGCGAGCTTGGAAAATTGAAAATGCAAATACAATTCTTAGTTTTGGTGGGAAATGCTTTTAGAAAAGAAATTGACAGCAAGTTCCAACAATGAAAACAAAACCAGTTAATGCCAAAGAAGCACGCATTTCAAACGCCCCACTCCTCCCCCTCTCAGGTATTGGAAGCACATTCTTCTTGAAAGCTTCCTTCCCGCTTATCAAGTTTCCGGGGGGGAAATACCGAATCACAACCACAAGCCTGCTATCATTTCTGATTCTCTTTGCTGCTCCAATCTCTTTGGTGTTTTTCCATACGACCTGAAAAAATGAAGAACAGAAAGCTTAGATGATGTACTACAAGTAGGGCTGTCCTGATTGTGCTCGGCAACTTTTGAGCAACTTTTGGCTTTTGGAGCAATTTTTTGCGGTTCTAGTGACCTCGAACAATTTTTGCCTTTTTTGCACAATTTTTGGGCAAAACAGAGGTTTTGAGCACATATCAAGCTCGAAAAATTCAACGCTCTCATAAAAAAAGATCAATTTATGCAAAACTCCTGAATGGTTACCAGCCTCTTAAACAAAAATGAACCATTTGCGTTTTCCCGTTAGATTTAAGAGTATCCTTAAATTTCGCCCATATTGGAGAGTAACTCTTGGAAGCAGTTTCGAGCTATCAGTTCTCGGCTGATGTTAGCAATTATTGTGAAGAACGAAAAAAAACCCTTTTAATTAACATTTATCTAAAAATATCAAGAAATTTAGGCAGCATTTTTTAAAATCTTGGTAACAACCGTTTTGGATTTTTGACAATTTTTCAGCAACTTTTTTGGCATTCTAGTGAGCAACTTTTCAGCATTTTATGAGCACAATCGAGACAGGCCTAATAGCAAAGCCACGAAAGGTTGGACCCAACAGATGCGGGATCAATGGCAGCCGATCTAAGCAACTGTGTTCCTACCCCTCCCTTAACCTAATATTAACCCTTATCATTTGACTGAGGTTGACTGTTCTTGGGCGAAGGGGGGCTGCGGGGTAGGTGCACAGTTGTCCAGGTACTGACATTGATCCCAGATGCACCATAATGAAGCGTGCGTTTTATTTCTATTTTTTTTTTTTTTTTTTGGCTTGGATTTATAATTTTTTTTACGGTTAATATTTTCAATTACTAACGATCAAAATTTGTCAATTTTTACGCCTAACGGGTAAAGCTAACAGTTAACCCCATTGAGACCCCCCCCCCTGAATCAAATATTAAGGTCATAAGAATCAATAAAGAATAAAGGAAGTGATCACCAACTAAAAAACTCTTGATTGTTAAATAAATTCTCCTTGTCAGTATCTTCAGAAATGTATAGAGAACAGTATGGAGAATATGCATACTGATGTTAGGGTGTTAAGGGTTAAATGTGATGTAAACTCGTGTTATTGTTGTGGTTTTTGGAAGTTTTCAAACAAATAAGGAGAACGTAAAAAATCGATTTTCTTAATTTGTGAACTAGGACAAAAAATAATGGCGAGTCCTTTTCCAGAGGTCCTGATTTTCAATGGCTCATTTGTGAGAAGGCGCCCCGATTTTGGTTCTGGGTGATGTGGGGTGGAAAAGGGAACAGGAAATTCAAATTTAAAATTGTCCATATGCTTGATGAATAAAAAGAAAAGAAAAGTTTTTATCATTAATTAATCTGGGAGAATGAGGATAGAAACGTGTGACTTCCACATGAATGACAGACAGAGAATCCGTCGCATTAAAAAAATTATGAAAGATTACCTGAGTGAAATGCCCTGTTTTCAAAGAGAATCCAGGCTTGCTGAAATCATAATTGTCGATTTCTCGGTAGAATAGTTGCGTTGCCTCAGTGCAGGGCTCCGTAGGCAGAGGGGAGCCGGACACGTACAGATTCTCTCCTTCCCAAATATTTTTGGCATGTTCAAAAAGATTATTTGTTGCCAGATAGTTTGCCCACTTTTCTGCATTGGCCGCAAGAGTATCATTCCACGTCACATTCTGCACCTGTTGGGGAGGCGAATATGCATAGTCTGGACTTTTATAATTTGTGTGTACAATTTCACGCCGCTTAAAGGTTAGGAACAAGTCAAGTAATCCGGATTTTAGCAAATTTTTATAAAGGGTGGTTTTGCTTTGCCATACACATTTTATGATTGGTTAAGGAACTCGTGCCAACATCTCAACTGAGCAGATGCAAAGCCAATTTTAATCGAGACTTTTTCATAACAGCACGAGTTCGGAAACTTTTATGTCGCTTGTGTTCTCTAGATTTAGATATGTGCGATATTTACATGTGTTCTGATTGGCCAATATATTAACCGGAATGTCTTTGAGGTAGTTAACACTTCATCGTGAAGAGCTCTTAGATGAGTTACAGATGATTTCTCCTTTGTATCAATCAACCAATCATATCACCAAAAAATAAATTATTTTTCGCCAGTTTTATTTTACCATGGGCTTACCATAAAACGTGCGTGTTTGATTTCGACGCGAATGCACGAAAGAAATCAAAGATGAAAAAGAAAAGAGCTTTTGGAATCGTCTTTTATGAGATGCAAACCAAGATCATTTCGTTAAAAGCCACAAGACATAAACTATCCAATACAATATCTCATAAAACCAAAATGGTCCTTGACAACAAATTGATATTTTTAGGAGGAGCGATGAATTATTGTCCTTTAGAACGACCGTGCAAATTGATGTATCGAATATGTTAAGCGTGAAAAAAAAACGCTTCAAATTTGGGAAGCAGTCTCGGACATGCGTTAGGTTTTGTTTTAAAAGTCTGATGTGAGAAAGCGGAGTGACATGATTTTGATCAAGAAAAGTCCCGATTGTTTTTAATTACCTGATGTAATTCACGGTATGCATTATGCCACTTCAGACACTGTTCTCTGAACGATGGAGTAGAACTACCTGTGGTAAACGGAGACGCAAATAAAATTTACATAAACAGTATAAACGTGATATGAAAATGCTCGAATTTAAAACTGTCTCCCCTTTTAGCTTTGGGAACAGAGCAAGATGATCCCAGAATTCTTTATTCAGTATTTTTGGAACCATGCAGCACGCGTTGTAAACTGTCTTACCAGTTTTGAAACTAACTGATTGTAACAGGAAAACCGAAAGTTGTAATTAAAGATTACGCACGTTATTCGAAACAGAATGACTCATCATTTCCGCTATTAATTTTTAGTACTCAAATAGTTTCTCGAGCGTTAAATCAGTATTTGAAATTAGAAGCAAATAAGGTCGTAAATTCCTAACCAAGTGCTTATGAAAACGACTAGTATCAAAACCATTTTAAGGAAACCTTTTGGATCACGCGTGCCAGATATCAAATTCAAACGTGTATGCTCAATAATGATATTTCTGTGCATCTTAAGAACATTTTATGTTGACTTTTTTAGCTGGTTGAAATTGCAAACCCTTATATTTGTTTCTGTGGTGAAAAAAACATTGCTTCATTCACAATCTTCTCCTTCTTTGGTATAACATTCGATTCTCAACTTATCCATGATCTATTTAGACTGATATCAGTTCCTCCGATGGTGACTAGTTATCTTTAGGGAAATTATGATCATGAAAAAGTCAGTTATCAGCTTAACTTAACCATGATGCAAAATAAACGTACCTCCATAAAGTGCATTGTTTATGACAAACGCTGTAACGAAAAGCACGGTTCCTATAATCTGCATGTTTTTTTGTTCAGTTTTCCAGCTGTGATGGTGTCGTGTCGACCAAAGAACGAAAACACCTTCGACAATGTGAAAATTTTGTTTTAACAGATTCCGTGTTCACTTTTCGATATCTAAATTCCTAATATATTGTTTGCTTCATGCTAAGTGCACCAATACCGTCAAGGCATCTAATGGCCCATGAAAATTCTAAAGTTCTTGTGAAAATGAGAAGTTGATGAAGTAATACCAATACGAAAAGTCACACTAAAAATACAGCCGCCTTTTGAGATCTAAAGGCAACCTACGACTATCCCCCCCCGCCCCCACCATAAAAAAACCCTGTCTACACGCAACAAGTAACTTAAACCTCAGGGACGAACTTATGCTTGTGAAAACTTTTATTTATGCTCTGAAACAAGTAAAAATTTTTATAACTTTCAAAAAAGCCATAAATTACATGGACAAAACACATAAAATTGCCTTTTCATTGAAAGTGACTACGTTTGAAAGTCGAATTTCAACTTTATTTGTAATTAAGCACAGCGAATTTATGTAATTTAAGTTTTGTTGTTATAGCGGCGAAACGTGAAAGCTACACAAAAATGAAAATGATAAGTGTAATGTGTACAATGAAAATTTATTGAAAACGAAACTTGTTTATCACAAGAACCAGAGTACCGTACCGTTTATCAATTATAAAATTAAAGGCTTGTCGAACAGAATATCGACAGGCGCCCTTTACATGAAGAGTAATACTTGTCGTTTTCTAGCATTTCTTAGCATGTTACGGTTGCGTTCAGTTGTATGCAATATGTCATTTACATGAATTTCGGCACTAAGAATTCTCCGGCCATATCTCCACTTCTGACGCCTATACAGAACTGCATCCTGTCCTTCCAAATGCAATAAAACTACATCACTGTACAACAGCAACTAATCAGATCACTGATGCAACTTATACAAAGGCTAAAAATGTTAACGTTTGCAATGAGTTCATTTACAAATTTATTCGATCGTGTGTGAATAGTTTATCACAAAGTTGTGCATCTGTAGCCTAAAGATGGAAACTCCTTAATCAAAGTGTTGCTCAAATAAATACATCAATAGAGGAAATTGAAAATAAGTCCAAGAGCAACCACATAAGCAGTGAAAACCGAAGGAGAACGCACATCACAAACTCCGGATCCATTATCAAGTCTGGCAGGCAAAACATTTGCAGCGAAAGCTCCGTCTGTATTGAAGTTTCCTGGGGGATTATAGCGAATCACCACAACAAGCCTTCCATCTCTCCTTACTTGCTGAGCGGCTCCGATCTGTTTGGAGTTCTTCCAAACAACCTGGGAGAACACGAAAGAGAAAAGAATGAACACGAGCTCATCCCGATGGAGTTTATCATGGTTTCGGAAGCATGAAGTGAGTACAGAGTATCACTATTCCCCCTGAAGAACATGTTACCCCAATGCAATTGAATCTCACATGATAAGTTGACTTTTAAATCCATTTTGATTGGTTCTCACTTGTGATCTATTGAAGGGCAAGTGCTTAGATAACGTCAGCATTTTGCTTTTTATCATATAAAAAAAAAATAGATTCCAGGTTACCGTGGCTGTGTATAGTAATAGATCACAAAAATCGTTAATAAATTGTCTTATGGATATCAGTGACACACTCAGCACGGCAGCATAGAATCTATTTGTTTAAAATACTTAATCTGATCTATTCGAAGACAGATACGCAGATGACGTCACCTTTAACATTTTTTTTTATGTCTATCTTAGGTAGGAAAAATATGTTAAATGTTACCGCGAGTCTGTTCGGATGAGCCTCGTATGTCTGACATTGCACAAAGGCACGGCAAAATGAAATCTGGGTCTTGCTCTCTAGAGAGTCTCTGTGGCTCAGTGGTAGAGCATAGGAGCGCGGAATTCGAAGGTCTGAGGTTCGATTCCTCATGGGAACTCAGAATGTTTTCCTTGTCCCACGCTCGTTACAAGACGGAAAACATCTTTCTCTATTTCTTTGGCGAGCTGAGCCCATTATTATTCCAATCACAAAACATGAAATCTGTTTATTAATTACCTACAGGTCAGGTCTCTCGAAAAGTCCACCGCTACACATATATAGTCCTGGGTTGAAAGAGGCTCAATGATCTGCATGGGAGCCTTTGTCCTTTCATTTGAAACCTTTTTTTGGTAACAGATATAACTGAAGCTACTTTAAAGTAAATTCACCTGAGTGAAGTGTCCAGTATCCATGGAGAACCCAGGCTTTTTAAAATCATAATCTTTGACTTCTCCGTAGAAAGCTTGAGTAGCCGAAGTACAAGGCTCTTCAGGTAAAGGGGAACCAGAGAGATACAGATTCTCCCCAACTTGAAGACCAGACGTATGTTCAAACAGATTGTTTTGCGCTAAATAGTTTGCCCAACTTTCGGCGCCACTGGCAAGAGCGTCACTCCACGTCACGGGATCAACCTGCGTTTTGCAAAATAATTTCCCGCCATGCCGATCGATCGCTTAGCAAACATTCAATATAAAGGGTATAGACAAAAGGAAAAATGTTAATATGATGGTAACTTAAGTAGGTAAAGTGGATTATTTAGAGATCTTCTCCATTTGACAGAACATTTGGACATTTGACGGTGAGACATTGGAATGACGTACGCGTACTCAGTAAACTAGTTGAAATTATATAATAGCCAGTGAGTTTGTACAATCAATTTCAGTAACGCAAGTGTGCTTCACATTCCCAAAATGCACGCTGATAACGCATTGGAGCATTTTAGGCAAATTTCTCTTTCAACAGTGTTCGAAATATCGATTTGAAAATGATACACAAAACAATTGATTCACACGTCAGCCATGCTTTCATCGAGATATGAAGCACTTGAAAAGTTTGAACTGCACTCAAGAAGCTAGATTTTCTCCGGGCTACGCGTCAAAGTAACTCTGAGGCATCCCTGGAGGTCTCCAAACTTCCCGTGTGATTGATATCCCGATGAGCCTTAGGTGGATCGTGGAGTTGATTCATGGAAACAATTACTGCAACCTGCATGCTTATACAATTTACTCTCAGTGAGAAGTCTATACGGCTTTTATTTACCTGGTGTTTTTCACGGTACACGTTGTGCCACTTCAGGCATTGATCTTTGAATGGCGGAATTTCTGCCTCTGTCATGAATAGGAAAGTTAAATTAATTTTACCCGTTAGAAATTACATTGCGTGCTGAACTGATTTCACTCGGTAGTAACTAGATGCTATCAATTAAAGATAACAGTTCAAGCAAATTACTCATACGATGAACTGTAGGATTTTCCGGAAAATTCGAGTTCAACTTCAAAATTTCAATTCCTAATTGGGTAACTAAATAATGTGGCTTGACAGATAAAATTCTCAAATCTTTTCGCTTTGAAATTAAAAAAAAAAAATAATAATAATAAAATAGTTTTATCAGTAGAAACGTTTTGGACGTGCATACATGTGCAGTCTTAAAAGGTATTTTTGATAAGACTTCAAATGTAGAGAAAGATGTTTTTATCATCTCATCACGAGCGTGGGACAAAGAAAACATTCTGAGTTCCCATGAGGAATCGAACCTCAGACGATCGGATTCCGCGCTAGCTCCGATGCTCTACCACTGAGCCACAGAGACAGAGACAGAGGTCTATTACGAAGTTCATGTGACACGCGTCCTATATACTGCTAGGATCAGCAATGTGAATAGCGTAACGATCTTTGTAGATAAAAATTTTAAAAATTTCCAATCTATTTCCTAAAAATTTAAATAGGTATGAGTTCACCTTGAGAAATTCGACCCCCCATCAAATGCTTTGTGGCAATAATGAACTGCCATTTCAACCGCCGCAGAGCATCAGCCATAACTAAGCAAATATTCTATGCAAATTCAAAAGATTAAACAATAATTTTCATTAACGGGGAGAGTTTGGTCTGATTATTTTGTTAAAAACTCGTTGGTCGATCATTAGTCAGTCTACAAATTTTTTTTTAGAAATTCCATTAATGCGAGTGAAGGAAAAATTTTGCAATTAGTAACGGACTGTTTTACCAAGTCCTGTCGGTGTTATCTAAAATACCTGCTCGCTTTCGGCTATACGATAGTATAGTCCCTGGGTGCAATGGTCTGTCAAGTTACGTTTTTATATATTTGATAAGTTGCAGTATCAGCACCATGGATAATAGTACTTATGAGAGTAAGTACGCGACTGAACGCATTCAGTTACCGAAAGAATGGCCAAAAATTTACAGGGAAACGAGAGGGCCGAGATCCTGCGAGAGTAGAACGCTTTTGTCAAAATATTTTGATTCTTCAGAGCAATTTTTTGCGGAGTACTTATTCCTGAACTTTCTTCAAGTTCCTTCCAACTTGATTGCAACGTCAACTTCTATCGCTGCAGATCAAAACTGAATTCCATATCTTACCTCCAAAAGAAGCTCTCATCAGCAGACCCAGTTTGAAGCAAAGGAGAGCAAAATAAACTTGCATTTTCGAGATTTGGATCGACTACGTCTCTGTCGGTACGAAGTGTTTCTGTCAACAACCAACCCCTATAAAACAGTGCGGAAGAATAAATAATTCATAACTTACACCTGCTTGCAAGGAATGTTGAGGTGAAGCAGAATAAATCTTTGCTATTTAGAAAAGGCGTTGTAATTGTTTAATTCTTTTGTAGGGTTGAAGATATTTTTTAACGGAAGAATTTTTAGCTATCTATAGTTTGTACCATCAAATTATCGGAGGATGTTATTTCATAGAAAAATATTTCACATCATAAGCAGAATCTTTACAAAAGAAGACTGATTAACAAACTTTCTCTTCTTTATTAAAAATGAACCAAGGATATCATCAACAAAAAAAATTAGGTAAATTTAAAATTTTTACAAAGCTGCCTTTACTAAAATTATTTCCTCCTTCTTTAGTTTACAAAAAATTCAAAGTTATCAATCCACATTGCGATCACAAGACACGGTTCTGCTTTGTTTGAATTCTTTCCACCACAAAAACATGTCTGCTTTGCCACATTCGGTTTATCATTTATTTTCTACAACAAACGAAATTGGTTTTGGTATGGTAACCAAATCCGTGAATAATATGAATACTAACTCTCACCTGATTAAAAGTTAAAGTTATCAAACTTAAACATAAATACCAAATCGCTCCAAAACTACGTCTGGTGAGATATTACCGAAGTAATAAACAAATACATCTTTTCATTCAGAGATTTATCTTAACTCTCTGACTCTTTCCTTGAAAAAAAAGAAAAAAGAAAAACCGGAATTAACCCTACATTCTTTGTTTCCTAATGGTAATTTCTGTTCAGAGTGATATTAATACTTTCTGGTTTTCACAGAAGCCACAACAGCCGAAGTGAAACCAACATTATTTGTTTCTTTAACCAAAATCAGCGTGAAACTCCAAACCAGCACACGTACACGAAATGCAAACTGATGCACAACGTAACTAAACAGATAATGAAAGGTTGATTTAGCATTATCAACTGAATTGATAACGTAAATTGACCACTGTAAAGAGTTTAAAAGCTGACGTTCCGAGCGGTAGCCCTTCGCCAGAGCGATTGTCGAAGGGCTAACGCTCGAAACGTCAGCTTTTAAACTCTTTACGGAAGCCAATTTAGAGCCAATTCCTAACAGCAAAAAAAGCCGACCGCTACCTTTAAATTCTGAACAACAAACGTTGCCCTTACAATAAATAACAGCGTTTTAATTCACTCGACATGTATTAAAATTAAATTGCATCTTTTTACTGATGAGAAACTGAAATTCCTTGCTACATAGCGTAATAAGGGTGAAAACATCAAAAGACAAAATTCAAAACAGCCCCGCATGCAACAACGAAGGCAGTGAGAGCTGACGAAGAAAGCGTGTGACTAAATCCGTGTCCTGATCGGGCGGGTAAAACATTCTCTCTGAAAGCTTTCTCCGTAACATAGTTCCCAGCGGGAGAGTAACGAATCACAACCACAAGCCTTCCATCTTTTCTGGTTTGCTGTGCCGCTCCAATCTTTTTAGTTTTCTTCCAGACAACCTAGGGAAAATGAAGTGAAGACTGTCAATTCATAAAATAACGTAACTAATATTCTCGGCCAGTTAAAGGTAGAAACAGTTAAACTAGACTACGGGCAGTCCCTTATTTTCGGGGAAGTCTGTTGAGCGAGTCTAGAGAAGTCAGCGAAAAAAAGGAAAAAAAACCGCTGTTCGCACGCCGTGCAGAAATCTGGGAATGAAATGCACGAATTTTTCGTGCAACTTACTCCCAGAATTCCGTTGATATTTTTCGACTAGCGCGACGGACTTTGAGTCGAAATTAAAAGGAGGAATGTCCGTATTCTAAAGTTATACTGTACATTCGTGAGGAAGAAAGGTTGGGGCTGGGTGAAGAGATGGAGATGAAGAGAACGAGAGGCAAAAGAAGACGTAGGTAAAGGTTTTAGCTATGCTTTTACACGACCTGCCTGACAACCAAAATAAATAAACTCCTATTTCTGTCAGCGTTCTGTTCTAGCTGAGCCCCAACGCTATAGAACTGCTCTCAACACTTGGCATTTGGGGCTGAGTTGAATTATGTGGATAAAAACCACGTATACAAAAATAAAAGTCGAGTTATTTTCAAATACCTTTAATTGCAACCTCTTTCATGCCCCTTTTTCACCTGATTTCGTCAACTCGGAGAAAACTGTGATTTGATTGCGCAAGGATGGGTCATGCTAGCCGTATAGGGTCGCTTTATCGATTCCCTAAAGTCACTTGAAATTGCTATAGGTCACCTGACGTTTTTAAGAATATTCTCAAATAGCCTTAAACTGTTTGAAGGCACCTAAAACTAAGGCAAGTTAATACGTCTTAGTATAGGCCTTGGTATGTACCTGAGTAAAGTGCCCAGTACTCATTGAAAATCCAGGCTTGTCAAAATCATAATCTTTAATTTCTCCGTAGAACAGCTGTGTTGCCTCAGTACAGGGCTCCTCTGGCAGAGGAGAGCCGGACAGGTATAGATTTTCTCCTGGCTGAATTCCAGGCGCATGTTTAAACAAATTATTTTGCGCTAAATAATTTGCCCAACTTTGAGCTCCATTGGCAAGAGTGTCATCCCACGTCACAGGGTCGACCTATGTTTTAAAGTAGTATCTGAGTCCCTAAATTTCAGTTTGATGCAATAAGGTAATTTTTTTCAACAACAAAAAAAACCGGAATACCCAAGGGTCAATATCCCAGCTATAAAAGTTTCAAACCTGACGTTTCGAGCGTTAGCCCTTCGCCAGAGCCTCCATTCGCTCTGACGAAGGGCTAACGCTCGAAACAGTCAGTTTTGAAACTCTTTACGGTGGCCAATTTACGTTATCAACTCAGTTGATAATGCTAAATTATCTTGTTATACTCTTTCAGCGACGGAGCGCCACAGTTTCTTTAGGAAATTACCCCCTTATATTTTTAGTTCTACACCCTTCTGGTAAATCAGTTCGTAGATGTGATCTTAATTTTTTAACGTTTTCTGTACAGTTCTCTTAACACTGTAAACCCTAAGAGTTACCATTGCATAATTTTTCCTGACAGCAATACTTCTGAATAATTTATCAAGATCATGAGAATAATAGACACGATCGCCAACCTAAGAGGATGTGATTTTTAAGCAAATTCTCCTCGCTAGAACCAAGGAAATTTATAGAGAACAGTTTGGAGAATATGGGTGCTGATGTTGGGGTGTTAAGGGTTTATCAATATTTACCTGATGTTTTTCTCGGTAGATATTATGCCACTTTATACATTGATCTTTAAATGGCGGGATGGCTGCCTCTGTTACAAAAAGAAATATGGTATGAAGCCAGAAATATGGTATGGAGCTTTTTTACCAACAGTTCTGCGATATTTTCTGGGTATGAAAATTTCTTACTTCTCTTTCATGTCTTGAGGTCGACATTGCTATTTTATGTCTTATTTTCATCAGGCACTCGAGGATGATTGTTATAGATGTGCTTAGATAAATAAGAGACAGTTTTCCTTTGAATTTACTCGAGCTCCTTCGCTTCTTATTTCGTGACATTAGTATTAGAAGTTGCCGACATGGCTAACAATCTTTCAGCGATATCATTGTACATGAAACTCGATCAATGTCGTCTCGTAAGTCTCGATCAATATCTCTATCAAACGAGAGACAGCTTTAATTTTTTAAGATCTGCTTAATACGGTTGTAAAAGAAATTATCCCTTTAAACATTGTTATGATTAAGTAATTACAGTAATGGTATGAAAAGTAATTATGAACGCTTTTTCTTGTATTTCATTCATCATCATTCCCTTGGGGAGAAAATTCACTATGTTAAACTGTTAACTGCATTCCACTTAAATGGTAGTAACTAAGGCTTTGATGAGAGCTTTTCAGATATTGGCTTACTGCAAAAACCAACGAAAAGCAGCGAAACGACACAGAGAGAAGCACGTCAAAGAGAACTCTTGGCACAAGAATTTTTCGACCGATGTGATAAACCTCTCAGAAATATAGAGCCGTTTTTTTGACACAATGGGCTTTCGGCTTGACTATTAGATGTAAAATGCAAATTTTGAGCAGAATGTCAACAAACAATCATGGCTGTTGCCTGAGAAACATTACTCCTTGGATCCTTTTTTCGCGTTTTTCTTTTGCTCTCGTTTTTAAATGTTTCTTTGATAAAATTTGATGTGTTCCATGTTTTCAGTTTTTTTGTCTTTTAAATAACCTGATTTTGTTCAGAAATTGGAAAACTGAAATCCTCAGGTTTTGAAAACGGGGTTAAGGAAACGAAGAAAGTTGTGAAAATACGATTTTGCTCCACTGAAGTGATTGTGCAAATCCACAAAGTTAAAGTGGATGGCATCGCATTTCAATTCCTCACGCAAAAAAGAAATCGATTATTTATACACTGAAACTTTTGCCACGCAAGGTTTCATGTAGATATAAATTTAATCACAAGACATAGCCATCGATTACTGTTTGCTTCAAACGGGTAGCAATGTGCCCTGATAAATAAACTGCCTTACTCGGTAATTACAAGTAGCAGCTCTCTGAAAATCGTGCCAAAAATTCGGGCTTGCGTGCGAACTTCCCTCATACAAGAAAGTAACACGCATTTTGCACCGTTCTGTGCTTTTTACCTGTGCATCGGTATCACCAAAGGAAAAACTTTAGAACCCGTTAATCTGTGGTCTGTAACTGCGATCATAATATACACTAAATTTCTAGCAATGACACAACTGCGTTGCAACTTTGTTTAAGCGCAGAACAGAGAACATGGAAAAGTTTGCTCTATTTACATCGTGATTAGACAACCTGACGAAAAAGGTGTAGCATTTTTGGAAAGATAATTAGCTTACCATTCGCTTTGAGTTGGGCGAAGACAACTGCGATGAGCGAAAGATACCTGGTAGCAAACATTTCTTATCGAAACTGTTCCTTGTCCTCTTGGTGTGTGTTTTGGTGAGGGCTACAATGGACGATTTATATATTTTTCAAGCACATGTTAATTAAATTCCTCAGGGACTAAAACTGATTCTGTCAAAGTCAATTGCCGTTGAGGACTTTTAGAAATAACTTCCGGTAAGTGAGTTCTGAAGTAGGAAAATGCTAAATTCACTTCTGAAATATCAGTACACAGCTTCAATTATGGTTTTTTTTTATTGAATAAGAAAACGTATGAATGCTTCAGAAATGCGTGGCGTTAACGCTAAGATGAGCGCACTTTAAGGAAATAGGGAAAAGACCTTCGACTTATCAAAGAATACCGTCGGTTCCAGTGTCTCTCCTAGGCTCCCAACACATCCAAAATGGCGTCTAGAATATCAGACTTCATAGGAAGTATATACTAGCACACAATTAGGCAAACTTTCTGTAAGAATTGAGCCTTTAACCTCTAAGAGTGACTAGCATCTACCTTCTCCTTCTAATATCACCCCTGAATCAAACATTTAAGTTATGAGAGTAAAGGAAATTATCACCAATTAGAGAGGCTTTTGATTTTTAAACAAATTCTCCTTGTCAGCATCTTAAGAAATGTATAGCGAGCATTATGGAGAATATGGATGCTGATGTCAGGGTGTAGGGGGGGGTTAAGTCAAATTAAAAGCATTTGTACGGCTGTGGTTTTATCATACCCCTGCTAAACAATTTCGGTCAAAAAGTCCAGGTTGGGTGAAATTTCTCCGTAGTGGAGTTGGATTTATTAAAATTCTCAATAGCTATAAGAAGAAACCAAATATTCTCTACCTATGAAGACCTATTTTCGTCGTGGTAAGTTTCAATATCGCTGGTTGTTTCAGAGTTAGTCTTCACGGCATCACTAAGGAAAACATATTGCGTTGAACAAATTTATGAGGTCTTAATTCCGGCTACGAAAGACATTGAAAGGGTAACATATACAAAAAGTATATCGGTCCAAAGTGTATCACGAATAAACACCGTGAGAACTAAAATAAGGGAACCGGAATAAATCACAAACAAAAGAGCGGAAATGGCAGGAGCTACAACATCCACTGGCATGTTTTTCTAAATACTGTTAATTTAACAGTCTTCTGTGAGCTACATATATCTAATTGCTATAATTACGAAGTTACGCTGTCCAACTCGGCGTTTCTATAAACCGTTATTCCTTGGGAAAAAAAAAGCAAAAAAATTTACCTTTCAAAACAGCGATGTCAGGAATGGTAATAATTACACTTAATAGCATGAAAAACTTCTTCATGTCGCTGAGTGCAGGACGCAAAAAACTATCTCAGCATCAGCCAGTAACTTTCCGAAAATGAAAACCTCAAGCTAAGTGGAGTGACATCCGATCTTTTGCATTTCATTTTTGCCAAAAATTAAAAATAGTTTGAAGGAGACTGCGTCATCAGAAAGCCCGTTTGCTAACAGGACTCTGTCGTTCTAGATAACTATTTATTCAACTACCTGCTCAAAAGTCTCCGACTAAATTAGGCCGCTGCTTTTTTCCTGTTAGTCCAAAGTTTGAAAATGACATTGACTGCAGGTGTCTCAGAGAATAAGGAAACTTATTAACCTCGATAACAGGAGAAATTTTATTTTCTGTTTCTTCAAAGGCAGGATAAACTCAGCAAAGTGACATCGTTATCAGACTTATAATGCTTTCCAACATAGGGGTAGTCATCTTGTATCCCGCAAAACAAAACCAATGTATTGATAAAATGACCAAAAAAATTACAAACAAAATTTAATTAACGACAGTAAATTACTTGAAATAGTATTTCATCTAATAAACACAACGATTTCGATTTCCGAATGAGTAATTTGATCATGCAACCATCCATGCGTCATTCGATCTCAAAATAGCTGGGAAAAAGGATCTCCACGAGGCAGCCTTTGTGAAAGGTTAATTAATTATTAAAGTATAACTCGTAATGCGCAGAATTAAATGGAGGAGAATCTATATATCTACATTAACAATGAACAAAAAAAAATTGAAATAAGGGAACTGTAGATCTTTCATTTCAATCAACGTAAATTTTTATTATTGTGTGACTTTCTGGAGACAGGCAAACATCACGTTACACGTAGCTTATATAATTTAAAACTTTTTTATTTAGGTTGCAACCTTTGTTGTGGTCCGTTGATTTCTGACAAAAAAAAAAAGCAAAAAATATATAGTTAGTTATTTTACATATCTGCTCATCTGCAAAGAATTAAACCGAGCGAAGCTGTTTCATATGCAGTCAGTAAACAGGATTCGTATTCTGAAAACTAATTAACCTTGCGTGATATGATATTTCATGACCTTTTCGAGGACTTTCGAAATAATGTTTCCCGCTACCAGCGAGGACTAAGAAATTTTGAATTGAGTGTCGAAAGTAATTCAGGATTGCTTTTGTTTTTTCTAACCTTGCTTTGTGATTGGCCCAGAGAACTCGCGCCATACTCTCAACCAATCGGATGCAAAACTATAAACAACCGCCACTTGATCATTTGCGTTTTCCCGCGCTTCACGCAGTTTGCCTATTTCATTTTGAGTTCTCATTGGCCAATGATAATGTAAATCTTTGTTATGATTGGTCACCGGGATTACTTTGGTCTTGGTTTTTGACACTAAACTGAAAACTTCTCTATACTGCTTTATTGATTGATCTCTCTTATTTTCTCACCTTAGGGTTGTTACTGGCCGTACACCCGCCGAATTCCTACTCGCTAAGCCTTCACCTCGAAGCTTAGCTGCTTTTTCTCGTGTTTGTTCAAGTTCTTTCCACCTCATCTTCTCCAGTGCCGCCTGAAAGAATACAGTCCTCATGTGAAATTGATGAAAACGGTTCGATCATTTTCCACTAACGAAATATGAACTGAACAGCCCTAAACTGAAATTTGGAGAGGTCAAGATACTATCTTCTCCGGATTCTCAACTGCATCGGCCAGTGGTATCCATTTAATTACCTGCCTTAACAAGTTAAAATAATGTGACAGTCATTTACTCAGATAAAAATAACCCTAACTGTTTGTTAGTTACCAACCTTCTCTTCCTGCAGAGCCTTTTGCCTTCGTGCTGAGCTCTTCTTCGGAACCACCGCTAAACGTTCGCTTTCTTTCCTACGTTCTGTTTTAAACAATCAAATACAAAGTAATTTTGGTGGAAAAGGGAAAGAGGCAAATTGACGAGTACATTGGCAAGGCCTTTGCTTGTATTCACCAAGATTTAGGTGTGAGAACAGGCAAAATTAAGGAATATAATTGAGACAATACTTCGAACAAGGGATCCAGTACCTCATTACTATGTAAGTGTCAACTTTTGACACATCCAAACTTCATTAAAGGTAAATCCAAGCTTATGTCTGCATTAAGCTTCAGAATCAGATTTACAACGCGCATTTTTTATCTCGCCAAAGCCAGTGATCATACTGATGATCATTAGGACGAGGGATCAGATGTGAATGATCTACGAGTGAGTCAACTCACAAGTGTTTACAATCGTTGAAACAATTTTTGCAGATGGGTCCATAATTGAAGTGATTTGACCATATGCTGGAAAGCAAAAATAGGAAAAAAAACTACTGGAGTTTGAACAAACCTGCTTTCCTGGCCTCCAATCGTTCTTGTAATTCTTTCAGCTTTGGATCCTTCATTTCGGGTTTCTTTTGTCGCTTCTTTGCTTCCAGCCTAACTCACAAAAAGGGAAAACGGTCAGCTTACCTCAAAATGACGCTCACTGCAATACAACTCATATAGAAATGAAGTGTCACTCACTGCACAGCTGCTTCGTTTCCTATCTCAGCTCGGTGCTTGGCGATGGTTTCTAAAGTATCCATAAGGAATTGGTCTTTTTCCTAAAAAAAAAATTATAATAATACTTAAACCAAGTACAAGTACAAATATTTTAACGAAGCCTTGGATCAAATCACAAACAAAGGACTATAACTTCAATCTCTTAGAACAAACCCTTAAAAATAAAGTGAACCTCCCGTTGAATTCCATAATAATGGCAATTGGAACCCTCCTCGAGATATATAAGGCTTGTGCTACATATAACAATAAAAAGGACAAAACTACTGAAGTTTCACTCTATTTCTGTTGTACTTTTTTTCGTCAAGGACGATCCGAGTATACCAAGAGTTTCGAAGACAGCTCGGGTATTCTGAAGATTTACGAGCCTCATCTGAAAGTGGTTTAATGACCTGTTTGGCTCGTTTTTGGTACTCACCACTTTGGACTTCAATATATTGTCCCTTTTCTCCTCCTCCGCCTCTTTCTCGGCAATTTTAAGTAACGCCAACCTCTCACGAAGCTGAGGGGAAAAAAATGAATCGCCATTTATAACAGGGCTGCTTTATTGAGGAGTGAAAAGTTGAAACACAAGGTGCTTCAGAGGGTTTCGCTACTCTAACGTATGATTGGGTCATTATCTATTTACTAAAACGAACCTCTCGCACATCATACAAGAAATGAAGCTGTAAGAAATGTTGCTACACGTATTTCCCCAGATGGAAAATAGTAGTTTGCTGCCAAAATCGTTTGTAAAAACTAATGGCTGGAAATTTATATAAATAATGCACTTTAAAAGGGTAAATTAACATTCCTTGCAGTTGATCATAAATGATTGCTCAGGTTATTTTCAGAATACGACAACCAAAGGCCTACCGGCCTCTTACAAACGATGACATAAAGTGGTTCAAAGTCGACCATACCTCTGCTACAGACATTTCACTGAGGAGGCCAGCTCCTGAAGTTTCTGTGAGATCCACGTGCTGCATAAGACAAAAAACCAATATATATTTAAACCGCAATATATCTATGAAGAGGTTCTTTATGAAAAAAATTCTGAAGAAAACTGCCCAAAAAGTTTAACCTTAATTCTGGATAAATTCTGCAAATGACACAATGCTGCTGAATAGTAAGTCTCTAAGAACATGGATACAAAGTTTTGCTAGGGATTTTGTTTTATTCTTCGATAATTGCCTCGCCAGTAACAACGCTACTTGTGGAATTTAAAACTGCAAGTTGGTTATCTAAACACCTCGAAGAGGTGATTTATTTTTTCTCCTGCGTTTAACTCGAGGTAAAGCCAGGGACAGAGTCATCAGGACTGCAGACAACGGACAAGAAACACAAGGCATACCTTAAATCGAATGACTGGTACACTCTCTATGGCTCGTATTTTTGCAATCAGCGCAACTCTCTGTCTCATTTCTTCTTCAGCCTGTGGGATACAAATGTCATTTGTTATCGATTAAATAACCCATTTAGTCAATCATGATAAATTCCGTCTTATTTAGAAAGTACAAAGGTGTTTTAAACAACTGGCAAACGACAAAAATTGAACTTCTTGCTGTCTGAATTCCGCCATTTTTGCACATAATTTGAATTATTTGCAGTGGCTGTGAATAAGAGATTCTTCGCCATTTCTCTCCAGCGTTGATTCAAGGATTGCGCAAAGAAAAAGAAAATTCAGAATCTTTTTAGCCGTTTTCAGTTGCCGTAAATGTCAAGGAGAAACTAATACCAGTACCAGCAAAAGAAAGAAAGAAAAAAACCGCAAAAACAAATTCTCGATTTGTAACGCAAATACAACTCACTTCTTCCAAAGCTTTACGCATAAGTTCTTGACTCTCCTTGCTGACCTCTTGAACTAAAACCACGAAAAAAGTAGAAAGTGAACACTTAATATTGGAAAATACCTGCCATCGAAATTATACCGAAATATGATTTATCAACTTGTTTTGTCTTAGTTACAGATAAGATAAACCACTAGAGTTTATGGGCCACTTTTCTCAAAGATTGAATTAACACCTTACCCAATTTTTGGTTGTATTCTTGAAGTTTTCTGCGGGCCTCTTTAGTATTTTCATGTTCCATCGTGGTTTGCTCGACGAGTTTCCTAACCAAGAAAAGGACGATAAATGTAAAAGCACAATATATAAATAACGCACTTACCACGAAATTTGCTCGGACAAAATTTGTTCCGAGAAGAGGAAACAAAGGTAAACACAGGCATACCAACCTCATTTCTTCACCTTCCTTCGACTTTCTCTCAAGATGTTTCTGCATCATCTCTTGTGTCTGCGAAGACAGACAAATGAATTCAGCATTTTCTAACATCGTATTTGTAACTGTAAGAAGTATCTAGCAATTCAATTTTTATAATGTAAATTACAGAAAAACCAACTGATGAAAATGGACAAATTTCTAAGTCACAACATGTGGTCGTGATTTAACACCAAACTATCATAACTTATTAGAGCAGTTTTCAATTGAGGGTTGAAAAACCAAAAGTATACTCAATGACTAATCAGAACGAAAGCTTACATTATCATTAGCCGATGAGAAAGTGAAAAGAAGCAGACTGCTTGAAGCGCGGGAAAACGCGCATAACAGAGTCGCGACTGTTTTGAGTTTTGCATCTAGTTGGTTGAGAGGATGGCGAACGTTTTCTGAACCAATTACATGTTTAAGTTAAGCAAATCCGATGCAATTCCGGATTACTTTCGACACTCAATGAAAATTGCTCCAACACAGAAATGGACCGTAGCTATCTTGCGGACTTTATTCTCAGGTTGACCAAATAGTTCCCACCTCTTGTTTAATTTCCATGACCCGCTGTTGGTTTTGTTTGATCATTGTTTGTCTTGCAAGTATCGCCTCCTCGTAGCTTAACTTTCCCTCCTGAAACAGAAGAGCAGCGGAAACGACTTCAATCTTAAGCGTAACTTTCCCTCCTAGAAACACAAGATTCAGACTGCAAGTGTTCCCGTCATTTCTAGGTCTAGAAAATGAGATCTCCAACTTACCAATCTTCGTTTCTCAATCTCAGCGAGTCTGTCTTCCAAATCTTTCTACAAAGGAATATGCAAAAAGAAAATGAAACATCAATGAACAATAAATGCTGCAATGAAAATGAATAAAATTCAAACCGAAGCAGATTTGAGATCAAGTAAATGTTGGCCAAACTTTATATACTAAATTTTTTACACACCTCACAGTTTTACATTCTGTATACTCAATTTGATTAGCAAAGTATCAAACCGAAAAAGCTCGTGGTATCTTGATTAAACTTTCGAATTTTCTTTGTAAATTGTTTTTGATAACTATAACAGAAGCCAGGCGAAAATACTCCCAAACGTTAGTCCAATACCTTTCTGGCACTTTCTTGCCATCTTAAGAACTCAGTGGCATCACGTCCTCCTTTTTCATACTCTGACAGTCTAAAAATTGGAATTGGAAATAATCATCAGTGTAAGGGAATCTCTCAAGTCATTATTCTATAAGTCTGTGGACGAAAATAAATCGCAGAACCTTGATGTAGCTTATCCCTGGGTCAGTTTCTGTAGTATGTAACTGGTGAGCAGTCCCTCAATAAAAGCGTGACAGGACGCGCGTTTTCAACCCGTGGGAGGATTTTAGAAGATTCGAGAGAGGTTCTCTAGGGGTCTGGCACTATCCTGGTTATCATTGCCGGACCCGTTCCCGACCTCTCACCGGCTGACGTTGCCGATGGCCTCATATTTCGCCGTGGGTCAGGATTAGAAACGCTCGAGCCGAAGATGATGATGAGGGCCTGTTAGTATGGCTACCCTCCCCTACGTATCGTCAGGATCATGGCCATACCCGTTTGTCGGTAGCTATTAGCCCTCCTGGGTGGAAAGAGGCACTGTGAAGATTGGGTGTCTTTCTCAAGAACACAGCAATATAATCCGGCAAGGGGGCTCGTTTCTTTAAAGACTTGGTAACTTAACGGGTTCGAAAAGCGGATTTTTGTTTGAAATTCATATCAGATATCAGGGAAAGAAACAGAATGGACAGGTGTTTGAGCAAAAACTCGCATTATTACATCGAGGAGTTACATCTAGAAATATTACATAGGGCCCGTATAGTTGTGAGAACTTCAACTCAAACCTTTTCCCTTTTCGACCCAGAGTCCAGTGCGCAGCGCCTCCGTCACGCGTTGTATGCATGTTTAACTCAGATTACATGTGTTTCCTATATTTACCTTTTCAGTTCCTCTTCCTCTTTCTTGTGAAAAAGCACTCCTTCTCTCATGATTGTTGCTGCATTTAACTTGATCGGAATGTTTCCACCCTTACAAAGGAAAGAACATTGCCAATTACACATACACGTGATTGTATGTACAGTACATGTACATGAAGTTCTCCTTCACTAACAGTTCTTTGTTTTTAAATACATTACGATGTGCTATAGAACTATGCTAGTTTCTATCAAAACAACGTAGGATTATCGACTACCCGCACAGTAAAAGGAAATTCCTTCTAGAGCAAACAACGCCAAGGATTACCCAGGAAAACTAAAGTAATGCCTTTCTATACACAGTATGAACTGTCATCTCTTACTGTGGTTGACGGCGCCTCTTGTGCTTTGGGTTTGTTGAACTGTAACCTGTAACATTTAAAGAAAGAGAGCACATGATCTTTTCTGTCTTTTTTCTGATGAAAACCACAAAGATAGACTATAACAAGGTAGTTGCAGATGGAGAAAGCTGACAAAAATGTTTAGTATCACTTTATCAACTCACTTGATAAAACCAAATTAGCTTAAATCTATGAATGTTCTTCAAATGAAACCAAATAGATCAATGCTAACAATCACACTACTCACTTGGAGTTCTCCTCATCTGTAATTTGCCTCATTCTTCGTTTAGTTTTATCAGATTTCTCAGCACTTGCACACGCAGGTTGCCTGGCTGATGATCTTAAGAATTCCTCCTGTTTCCAGAAGAGAACGGCTAAGTCTTAGAAGCCTGGTGACGATTTCTATTAAAGATTACCCTAACCTAGCTGAGAGCATTTCTGCTCAAGGAAAATTACTGACTGTGAGTCCAGCTATTCAGAAAGCTTCCCGAACAGCTTCTACTATCAGCTAGCAGCTACTACTATCTGTTTAAACTCCTGGGTGGACAGATGTATTGTATAAGTTAACTTGTAACCCCAGAGAGTGATAAGCATCTAATTTCTCCTAAAACTGTTGCCCCTGAATCAAACATTAAGGTTGCAAGAATATCGGAAATGATCACAAGGCAAAGGAACTCTTGATTAATTAAGCAAATTCTCCATGGGCCAACTGATGCTAGGATCTAATGGGTTAAATGTTTTGTCCAAGAAAGCATCACAAAGACCTTGCCTAGGTTTGCACCTGCTGCAAACTCTTGTTTCTGTACCCAGTTAAACCACCCCTTAATATACACCCAATGTGCTACAAGAAGGATCTAATATGTACATATTGTCTTCAGGCAAAAACAGCTATACACTATCAAACTACTACTAGGGGAAACTCTATTAGGTAGGTGTACTGTGGGAATGGTGCTGTACAATGAGCCCTTACTAGACTACATTCAGGGTGATTGTACCAGTCAGACTGCTATATTCACATGATCCTCTCATTAACTGGAACTGTTTGGTCACATTATCCAACTTCAAAATTGTATGTACAGCTGTACATGTACAGGAATGATGGCAGACAGTGCAATTCTAAAAAATATATTTCTACCACAAGTATCAAAAATCAGCCTGTAGTTGCAACATTTACATCAAAAAGTGGTTGCAAGAGCTCTTCCTGATTTAAGGAAGAAGACACTCAAAAGAAAACAGGGCAAATGTTATCTACTTAGTATTGATTATAAAATGACATTTACACTCACCTCAGCTCTTTTCCGATTTTCTTCCCTAATCTTAGCCATAAAATCTTCCTCAACAGGTGCATGATATGTAGTCTGAGGGACCTTTCCAATCAAAGATGAAAAAAAAAACCTCTAATAGTCAACATTGATTAAGTTAAACTTGTCACTTCAAACCTTAAGAAAATTTCAACACATACTGCAACTGCTGACACTGAATGTTCAATACTAGGAAGCTTGACTGACACCTACCTGTCTAGACTTCTTTAGTTTAGGGATCTGAAAACACAGAGAATTGTTTAGTTCCAACTGAACAATAAAGACATATATATGTGTATTTGACTTGACTATTTAAAGTCACTCATATTTGTATAATTATGTACTTTAAAGCATCAAATTATCACTTCTCATGCTGAAAGAAATATCAAATCCACATGGATTCCTTACCTTCTCTGGCATAGGAACACTTCTTGGTCGAGGTTTTGTCAGGTTAAATGGCTTTGGTTCTAAGGCAGATAAGGAAACCTCAAGTCAAGTGTTGACAATTATAAGTAATGGATGATAGGACTAAGTGGAGTCCAATTCAGTGAGTAATGATATGAGTGATAACAAAATCGAACAACTGCATAATGGGAGTCTGATTTGTTTATCACAAGTATGATTACAGACAGAATTCAACAAAACAAAGTCTTGTTACCAATTAATCATAAAAATAAAAAAATTTCTGAGAAAAGAAAAAATAGCCAGGTCATGGAAAAAAAAGGGAAAATTGAAATCAAGGTTGTGATTAGTTGATCTTTACTAAAAGTTTGAATGCGATTGCTTATTGAACCATCCAATGACGTATTGTCTGGTAACAAACTGTCCTAGAAAATAGGAGAATTTTAAACCAATCACAGTGAAGGAAATTGTAATTTTTAAGATTATTATGTAAATATCATATATCACTGTAAATAAATGGAATTAAAAAGTTGGAAATAAAATAAAATAAAGAAAAATTTAAAAAAGATGGGGCACCCAGTCCCTCCCTAAACCTTCCCTCTTCACCAGAAGTTAAGCAATGCATTGTTAAGCAGTGCAGTGCACAATTCTGCACCTTGAAACCTGTGATTGCAAATAATAATAGAAAGAACATTTTTAGTCTTTGCTAATCACCTGTAGCTGGTTTTGATTTTCTGGGCTTCTCTTTGTTGGCTAATTTATCTCTTAAATCAGTAATGAGACCATTTAACTCTGGTAACCATCTGAAAAAGAAAAGATAAAATAAATAATGATATGCATTAATAATGATATCTAACATACATACTTTACAGCTTGGTTAATAATTCCACTGAGTACTATTCACCTCAATGTTTGTGAAAATTGCTAGTTATTACCTGTAACCACAATTTTTTAATGATGTGCCAATGAAAATCAAGTAAAGCCATGATCCTACTTGTAAATATATATGGTGAGCTGCAATTTGCAGTAAGCACTAGCAGGAAAAAAAAGTCTGGAAAAAAGAGGAGGAGAAGAAGAGAAGAAGATGGGCAGAATTTTCCTTACAGTAAATGAAATAAGTGCTTTAATTGCAGCTCACCAGGAAAGGTCATTGCTTTACCGGTTAATTAACCCTTCAACTTCCAGAAATGATTAACATGAAACTTCTCCCTATAATATCCAAACATTATTCAGCACACAGGTAATGGGAATATTCAAACTTATTTGATAGAAGCTGCTATCTCGATATAGCAACAAATTCTCATAACTAATTTACTAAGAGATGTGTAGCAGCCAGAGGGGAGAATTAACAATCAGATCTTGGGAGTTAAAGAGTTAATTGTTGACTAAACCATAATAAATACTTGCCTCAAAAGGGGGGATATCAAATGTGTTTGAACATAACTGTGTTCATAATGTTTACACCACTGTTAAAGGAAAAGAAATAGTATGACTATGGTTAAAACTTTTTAATAAGTAAAGGAAAATCACTAGTTTTGATGACAGACTAAGAGGCAAAAATTTACCAGACAATATGCCATCAATTACCTCGTCTTTCATCCATGTTGTTATGTTGCTTTCATTGAACACGAATGAGAGAAACTGGAATAAAAGGAAAAGAAAAAATAAAATATGTACTCATGGTGATATAAGGCACATAACATGACTACGGGTAACAACAGACTTGGACTTGTGTTTCAGATTCAATAACCCCTTGTGTCACTACCAATGTTAACTTTAATTTTCATATTCCCCACACTGATATCTTTAAATACATATGATACTGACAAGGAGAAATTGTTCAACCATCAAATGCTTCTTTAGTTTTCAATCATTTTCCCTATTTTCATGAACTTAATATTTGATTCAGTTGTGATGCTTTAAGGAGAAATTAGTTGTACAATGTACATCCCATTTACCCAAATGGGAGAAAGAGTCAGTTCTAAAAATATCATGGTATTGTAGAATTAATCATCCTTTATTTAATATTTATCAAATTGACAAAATTGACCCTGTTGTGTTCAGAAGAAATGATTTTATGCTAATGCATTTCTTACTTTGTGCATCTTGTTGGCTTCATGGCTCATGACAAATTTTCTAAAATGTGCAATTCCCAGTTCATCAAGTCTGTAGAGAGCCAAATACACCAGAACTAAAAGAAAAGATGAAAGCCTGTCAAGAGTCAACCAGCTGAATATAATTCAAGTTGTATACTGGGAGATTTGGTGGCCTTAATTGGTCAGTGCGCTGGACTTCAAGTCAAAAGGTCCAGGTTCAATAGCTAAGTGGGTCATTAAGTTTTGTAATTGGGCAAAACACCAGATACTTTCACAGTGCCTCTCTGACCATCCAGGAGTATACTGTAAATGGGTATTGTTGAATTAATGAAATGCCAAGGGATAAACTCAAGCAAGGGTTTCAAAACAAGCCAGTGACTGCTGGGGTTCTGCTGGCTACTTGAAAACATGTTGCTGTTTACTATGGTCAAAATACATGTAACTACATTTTGGCCTTTAATGAACTTCTCATAGTCATCCATTTTTGCAGAGTCTGATACCTACTTGAAAATATTTTGAAACCCCTGCTTAAGCTGGACAGTTATCCCATCCACGGAGAAGCAGAAATATCCTAGTTACATCACACTATGGAATCTAAGATAAGCTCTAGTGGGGTGGGCTACTTGGCTCAGGTACAGACTTTACCAAGGTACCTTCAAGTTTTTACTATATTGTACAAACTGCAATACCACAAACTATGAGGGTAAGATTCAATACCTGTAAATTAAAGCACTCACCAGTATATACATTTTTGTCAACACGAAGGGAAGTCTTGCCAACATCAGCATAGAATGCATCTACAACAACCTATTGATGAATACCATTAAAAAAAAATTTATTTCAGGTTTGGAGAAACTTAAATATTTGAAGAATCTTCAGAGCATAAAACTTTATTAGTACCTTTTGAGATATTTCAAATGGTGGTCCTTCTTATTGTATGAATACTATCCCCTTGATACACAGGGTAGAGTAGCAGTATAAGCCAGCTCATGTAAAGATCAGAGAAATTCATGACTGAACCCCCACCCTCCTCCTGCCCAACATATGCACACACACACACTCCCCACTTTCAGAAATCCTGAATCATTTTGAACCAAAATCATAGCCAAATGAGTAGCTTTGATGTGACACTACTATAAGTAAACGTAAAACTGGTAAAATTTCCGCATAGCCCCATAATATTGTAAAACAAATCTGTTTTCCCAATGGCAATGTATTGTCTTTGTTATTGCTTCTCTATCCAATAACTGAATGCATAATGTAGGATGGGGCTGTGTGGAAATTTTACCAAATTCACCACAAAACAGAGCAGACAGTTGAATGGGTAAATATGAAACCACTTTAAGACGCATACCTTTAGGATATTTGTGTACTGCACGCATCCAGAAAACACTTCTGTAAGAAAAGATTCATCACTTTCTCCAAGATCCTGAAGAGAACAGAAGTTCACCAAAATGAGACATTAATTAACCGCACGACGAAAATCAATAAAAAGCTGATCAAGTTCCAGAAGTTACCTTATATAAACGTAAAATGGACATAATTATCATCAAACACTTTCCTTTTAAAGGAATAAAATTTTGGCTTACCGTTTTTGTTGCCAGGCAGGTATTAAGGTGTTCTAAAACACCATGAATCCTTGGATTAAACGAATCTAAAATCTCGACACACCATTTTAACAAACGCTTGTGTTCCATTTTGAAAATCAGCGAAAACACTTGTTTAAAATTGTGGTAATCTACGTCTCCTATATGTCCTGCTTCTTCTTTCTTACTCGAAGCTAGGGAAAATTATTAAAGTACCCCCGTTTTTAGCTTGTAAAACAAAGAGATTCACAGATATGAAAGGTTACTTGCTAGCGGACGCCATATTGTTTGTGATTCTGAACTGTACTTGGCAACAAATTAGTGCCAGTCTTAAGGACATCGAATAGGTCAGTATTGCCAGCGATAACATATAACAGCGGTCTGGCTAGGGATTACTGGGAGACTTCGTGTAATACGAATAAAGGTCTATTTGGACGTATCTTACTTGGCATGTTTTCGTGTGTTTCGGATGTTTTTCGCAAGGTTCTGTCAATTGTCGGATGGTTCCGTCTGTTTCAAACAGGGATAGGTTTGGTCTTATTTTAGGCCTAGTCTATGTTACTCTGGACAGTTCCGTCTGTTATAGGTTGGTTCCATAATTTTTGCCGTACAGACAATAATTAGAACTCAACATGGAGATAATACAATAATCCCTTAGATCGAATTGCAATTTTAATAATATCGGCTACTATTTACACAATATGCTATTAACAATTTAAAGAAAATCCAGCTAGTAGGCATTAAGACCTCTTAAAATGCGATATTGCTGATAAAAGTTTCAATATTACAACGTGGTCAAATTGGCAATTTTGTATCAATTTCCCTTTTTCCGAATTGTCCACGATACAATTTGTTTGAAAGGGGTGGTGTGGTGGGTGGGGAACAAATCGTACATAAGTGGCATCGACATATTATCGATTATTAACAATTTGAGCTCTATGATATATATTCTAAAATCCAAAAGATCGTCTATTTACATATTGATTTTGATTTTACACTTCTACTAACTCATGTACTTTACATGCTACTCATAGCGAGTAAACACCTATCCCTTCTTTGAAGTTTCATAGAAACTATTTGCTAAGCCAGATTGGTCCAAAAAAATTGTAATTTGATTTTCCCATTTTAAGCGAAAAGCTCATGAACAATGTCTGTAGCAGAGGAGCATTTTCTTGCTTGTCTCAGGAACATCTTCAGCTGTGTCTCCGTTTCTTTATCTTTTCTCGGGTATTTCTTCTTCTTCAACATTTTATCGGCAAGGTAGTGAAGCCATAGCACGTTTGAGTGAGGCTCAAATGGCTCCCAGTCGTTCCTATGAAACAGAAAGGAAAGACAATAAAACTTATTTTTCCTTTAAGCACCCACATAAACATAACATGGTTCAAACCATTTACTCTAAGACTCTGGTCAGTCACTAGAGCTCGAGGCCACGAGCAGGTCCTCTTCATTGGCGTTTCAGCACGAACGTTTCTTCCAGAGGTCTGTATGGGATTTAGCAGAGTCAGACCTCCGGCAAACCTGTCCCCGACTGGTCTCAAATATTCCTTCGGGTGGATAAAGTCGCGTCCCGCAGCGCTAATAACAGGGGCAAAGAGAACGCTAAAAGGTTCCCTTCAGGCTTACTAATACGATTCTTTTTTTTATTCTCCAAAAACGTGGTGAGCGAGGAAACAAACTTGTGAAAATGAAAGCGATCTCCGCAGTTATGAACACTACTTAAGCAGTAGTGAAAGAAGGCCTGAAAAAATTCAGGCCTGTACGGGATTTGAACCCATGACCTCTGCGATACCGGTGCAGTGCTCTACCAACTGAGCTAACAAGCCAACTGGGGACTAATTACTGTGTTGGTTCCAGATAAACTCGTGAAGCGGTGAATAAATGGCTGTGAATATATGAAAGTCATATATTTTCACTACTGTTTAGGAAGTGTTCATAACTGCAAAGATCGCTTTCATATTCAAGTCTTTATCCGCAGTTCAAATATATGACTTTCATATATTCACAGCCATTGAAACAAACTTGATTCTTCCCCTTAAGCAGTTAGACTTTCTGGAAGGTAAATTCCGATGAGACAAGCACTTACGTTGTAAACACGACAATTTTCTTAATGCTACTCGCGCAATTAAACAGTACGTACTTGTTTGCTTTCTTCATGAGCCGATACACATCAAATTGATAGTCTCCTCTGCCAGTGAACAACGATTCATCCTCTGCCATGTTACAAAACACCGTCACGCCATCTGCAGTAAAAAGAAAAAAAAAAAAAAAAAAAAAAAAAAAAAGAGGGACTTTTAATCCAAAAGAAATGATTAAGCATCAAAGAGAACGTAAATAATGGAAAGGACGTTTTTAAATGGTCTGGTTCAAAGAAAACTTGGAATTTTTTTTTCGAAATTTTCCTGGAAAAAGAGCCAGTGTAAACTCAAATAAAAACAAGCCAGCAAGGGCGGAAAACGTGCGCAACCACGTCGCTTTTTTAATTTTACATCTGATTGGTTGAGAGGGTGGCCCGAGTTCTCTTGATCAATAACAGAGGTAATTAAAGCAAAACCAATGTAATATCGTATTTCTTTCGACTCTATAGAAACTTGCACTTTGTATTTGTATTTGGGTACCTTTTTTCAGCCGTGAGAGAGTAAAGTCGATCAGACTAACTCGGACACCATGACTCGGTACCAGCTTTTTCTCTCCTTGCAAAGTGCTCTCTACAAGCTGGTCCTCAGTCTTACAAATTAAAACATTTCCCCAGTGCAGATCACGGTGCTCAAATTCAAGCGCGTTCTCAGCCACCGCCAGTCCAAGGGCCGTCTGATGCAGTACGCTCCATGCCTCTGACAAGGAGTTGAATTCAAAGCTCTCCAAATCTTTGCCGCCATTTGAAAACTCGAACACGATGAAGAACTGATCACTCGGGAAGATATCTACAGTATCAACAAAAGCAGAACAGCACATCACAGGAAGGTTATAGAATAAGGAAATATCTTAAAGTAAAAAAGTGACAGCTGTTAATATTTTTAATTTTAAACCCGGATAAACCTGAATACCCAAATAGCCAGAGTGTGATTAGGGGCGAAATGATGTAAAATTGTATCTAAAAGCGGGAAACCTGAGGGAGACTTGAGCAATTAAATCGCTATTAAAGCGTTACACTCTCACACCAGTTTGCATAATTCACAATACTGTTCTATTTACGCTTCCTAAGGTGCTGATAAGGAATTGTTTTAAACAATTAAAAGCTTCTTCTGTAGTTGATCGTTTCCTTTATTCCCTTAACCTTAATGTTTGATTCTGGAAAGATATTGTAAGGAGAAATTAGATGCCAGTCACTTTTAGGGGTCAAAGGATCAGCTTATCCTTTTCAGAGCCTCAACAAGTATGCGCACAAAATATAGAGCCAAATGTCAATACAGTTTATTGAGTATCTCCTACCAGGCTTATCATTTTCTGATGTGTGTTTAGTATCCCACTTGTCCCACTCCGATATCAAATGGCTGGGATATCCACCTTGAATACACGTCACACTTAACAATAAATAGAATTCAATGTTAAAAAAAGTGAAATTTAGCAGTCAGAAATGTGTACAATGAAGAGTCTAATCACTGCACGAAATAGCGACTGGACAATGGACAATGCTTAGCAAAATGTAAGTTTTGGACAGTCACTTCCGTGGATGGCCCAACATTTTGTCTGGTTATTAACGAATGTAAAAAAAAATTGAATGCCATCAAAATCCAGGTTTTAATCATTTTAAACATTCAATATCATAGGCGTTCTTGAAAAATCGTGTTTGGACATCAGTCTCCAATTTCAGACAATAGTGTCTGATTTAGACACTGGTGCCAAAATATGACACTGGGGTCCAAAATCAGACATTAGTGTCCAAAGTCAGACACTCGAGTCCCATATGAGACACTTGTGTCCAAAACTAGACACTTGTGTCCAAAATCAGACATGAGTGTCTAAAACTAGACACTTGTGTCCAAAATTGGATATACTGGTGTAATAATAATTTTAATAATGTCCAAAGTGTGTGTTTAAACTGGACACAAGTGTCTAAAATTAGACACCTTAGCAAGGCTTTGTTTGCCAGTTTTGAATAGCAAAGAATTATCCTTGGTAGCAAGCAGTTGTTTGGGTCTTTGATGACTGGCAAAGCCTCCATCTGTGAAGCTTCCAATTCTTTGAGTTCTGTACCTTTGCTGCATTGCTGCTCCATTTTTCAAATATCCCCCAAAATGCCAGCTACTCAGGCAAGAAAGAGAGGTATCAAATGGTATTAAGAAGTAAAGAGCAGTACCAACCTGTGGACAGTGATGAAGGTTGTGGTCCCATTGTCCTTAACATTTGAAAACAAAACAGCGATAAATTAATGAACTGACAACTTTTTAGGCATTTTATTTAATTTATTGACTGACAGAATGACACAAACTAATTATCTGATGGAAAATGTTTGAAATTCTTACATTCTCAAGAGACTCTCCAAGTAAACTCAGCTCCCTGTTAAAATGAATATTGACAGTGTCAGCATTCACAATATTATCGAATCATTTATGGAGGTTTTCATATCATAAGAGTTCAAATCATTTGTACTTTATGTGTTAAATTTAAAATAGGAGTTTTGAACCTTACTTGGAAATAACAATCTCTGGCAAAATTTCTTCAAATGATTTCTGGGGTTCACCATTCACTTGAAAATCACCTTCAACTGGGATGATCTGTGAATAACATACCGAATTTCAAACACATTAAAAAAACCATGCACTTTAAACCTCCAGAGCCAAACACTTAAAACATAATTATTTGTATAAGAGAAATTACTGCATACACAAGTGGAAGATAAAAAGAAAGAAAGAAAGTTCACGTTTTTGGTATGTGATGCTTGTCTACTTATACCAGAGTTACACAAAGCTTACTAACATACTAACTGACTCTCACTGCTTATTGCCCATAAGACACATGCCAAAAATTGGTAATCAATTTCTGGAACATTGTTCCATTGCATCAATTCAAATGAATTTTTTGGTCCATCATTGTTAATTGCCTGCTGAGTAAACCAATTGGATTGGACAATTTTGAAATTGAAATTACTTTTAAAAATAATGTTCAGGAATAATGCTGAATAGCCAAATCACAGCCAGACACAAACAAAAAGAGAACAAAAAACTAAACTACACCCCTGTTTATGACACAATTTATTGCCTGTGGCCAGAAGTGTGGATTTCATTATAATAGACAAAAATCAGTATTATTCACCTTCAGTGCAATTGATTGTCCATTTTTATACTGAGATTTAAATACTTCTCCATAAACTCCCTCTCCAATTTTAACACAACTCTCCAGTAAACTGTAAAGAAGGAAAATTACATGTTGTAACAGCCATGTCAAGTACAGCAGTGTAATTTAATTTCATTGGTTCTGTAACTTAGTTCTTCAATTCCTAAGATGTAAATGTCATTTCTCTTTTCTGGATTTCATACTTTTCTTTTTGAATGAAGAATGCAAATTGTTTCTGTGATATCAAGGTAGCACCAATGCTTACCTCTTGTCTAAGATTTCTGAAAATTTCAATGGTCTCTCTTGATTGCACTCCATCAGGACCTTCTCAAAATTAGTGAGTTCTTTCACTTCTTCAGATTCCTTTCCAAAGTTTGTTTTGGTAAGGTTTTTCTTGACTGGAGTTAAAGCTTCCTTCAAAATGTAAGAAATTAAAATCATAAGCATCATTTTAAAATGAGCTAATTACATAGAAGAAACTTGTGTACTCCAATATACTGTATGTAGCATGCAAAACATAAAATTGATTATGCATTTAGCAAATAGATTCCATGTTGATGTGCATCTGTTGAATAACAGATCACTGATGTTGTCAAAATGTGGCAAGAAGAAAAAAGTGGCAAATGAGGTGCAGCCAATTGAGACACTGATGTTCTTACAACATTCTGACTTCTTCTGCAATCTATTACTTTTTGGATACATGGCAATGCATTATTGGATGTATCTGATTTACATGATGACATCATCCATGTGTCAGTCCTCTAAAAGATCATAACTTAAAACCAATCAAAATGTGTGTATCATTCAGCTTATCATATAGCAAATTATTATTCTGCTCATCATCATCATCATCATTTCTTCAACAGTTAGGAGTGCACTTACAGCAAATGAGAGCTGGGACTTCCCTCTGTTAATGAATGGAAGGCTTCCATCACCAGATAATGTTGCTGTGAGATATTTACCCTTCTTTTTTAAGGGTGTTATCCTCAACTTCTCCAAGGAAACCACACACTCTTTCATCTCTTTGGATGTCCTGTCACTGCTGGTTAAGCTCAAAGTTTTAAGTGCTACTGAATTTTTGTGCTCATCAGATGACAACTGGCTAGTTTTCTCGTTGCTAGGTTTTTCAGTTGAAGATAACAATAACAATGATTTCTCCCACTGAATTGGTGTGATTCTAATTGGTTCCAAAATAACCTTACCATCTATTGAATAAGAGTTTTGGGAATCTGATTGGCCTACTCCTCCAATTGCTAAATAATTGTCACCATTAAATACTGGAGTTGAAGTGGCATAGGTTGAGTGGCAGCTGTCAAATTGAAAAACTGCGTTGTTGTTTTTGTTAAGTTGGATGCAGTCTTTATTTCCTAAATCGCGATTTTCTCCATCTCTTGATATTGAAGAACAATCGCTGAATACAGAAGCATTTCCACTCAAATTTGGCTTTCCATTTGACGTATTTATACTTAAATTTGTTGGGTTATTGCAACCAGATTGAAAAACAACATCTTCTACACTGTCTTCAACACAAATGACATCGTGAATATGGCGGGTGCTTTTCTCTCTAATTTCTAAACTATCATTCACCAAAACAACCTCAGGTATTTTGACTACCGACTTTTCACTTTCCGACAGACAAGTTGAATCAACATTTGAACCTCTTTGTGTTGATAGCGGCGTACAATTACTGAATAGTGTTTGCCTTTTCCTTTTGAACTTCCTCTCCTTTTGGTCATCAGCTGACGAATTCGAAGTATGGCTGTTTTCTTTGTCATCGATTATTATAAGTTCTTGTTTCTCAACGATTGGAATCGCACAGCTTTCGTAAGCAGATGAAGCTCGTGAGGTTGTAACTTTGTTTGAGTGCTTGGACCTGACAAAATAAAACACTCAACCATTAGATTGCCTACAAGTAATAAAACACTTCTTGTCATTTGTTTCCATTTTTCCAGTGAATTTTTGTAAACAGGGGGATCGCAATTTAGCTCGGAAATGTGGTTTTGTCGCAAAATTCCACCTGACAAAAAACCATTGGACGATAGAGTTCAGAGAATGTCATTCATCGATTTGCTCCGATTAAGGTTCTCATCTCACCTCGGTAAAACGAGGCTGTTTTAACCAGGAATAACAGAGATGTGTCTCACCATTTTGACGACTTCGGCTTGAAAACATTTTTCGATGAGCTTGCTTCGATTTTGGAGGGGAAACCGTTTCCAAACGGGGAATGAACATTTTCGTCAGGGGACAGCCAAATTTGAGCCTTCACAGTCCGATGTTTATGCCTTCCATACGTCTTTACCACTCTTGATTTCTTAGACATTTGACTTTTTAATGAATTAGGACAAAAAAAAGGCTTATTTCCCAAAGGCAAACTGATAGTTTGAGAACCAAACGATTTTCGAATTTTCCGCTCGAATACTCGGCCCAGTTCTCTGCCACACAAGTTTCGGCTCGCAAAGATTTGTGGGGTTGTTGACACAGGCCTCCCAACGAGAGGGCGCACATTTTCCTTGCACCCCTTCTCAGATGATTGATTGATAGATAACGCAAAGTTTAGTTCTTACATATGTGCACAGAATTCTAAATTTCCAACAACGATGAGTTGTTTGTTAATCAGGGCAGGGTTCATCGCAGCGTCGTTCCCCAATGTTTGGGAAGAAGATAAATCTTGCAGACAATGTTTAGTTCATCGATTCTTCTTTAGGATTCGGGATTTTTCTTAGGGGAGCTCGGCGTCGACAAAATCTGGATCGGACCGGGTCGGATCACAGATTGGATCAGGGACCGGATCACCGATCGGATGACGGATCGGATCGCGGATCATGGATCGGATCCTGTCAAATGAAATTAGAACTTTTGCGTGACAAGCCAAACTAAGGTCCGCGTGGCATAATTGAACGCAGGCCCCACTGAAAGTTTTTTTTTTCCCCAAAAACCTCGCGCATCGGATCACGGTCCGGAAAAAAGAAGAGTTTTGAAAATTAAAACAATCAAATCGTTTACAAAATAATAAAGAGTTAAAAAAAAGGGGATGTGAAAAATTAAAATATTTTCAATGAATATTAGAGATGTTGCGTAACAAGCCAAAATAGAGTCTGCGTGACTTAATGAAGTGCCAGTCCATTTGAAAGTTTTTTTGCCCCACAACTCTATGTAGTCTCTTTCACGGCTATGTCGAGGAGTGTTGTGTAATACCGCCATGAACAAAGGCAAGTGAAAGGTACATATCATTCTTCAATCAGGAGGGGGGCATTGGGATTTTCGGTTTTGGGGTTTTGGCTATTTTTAAGTCGGTTTTTCGGTTTTGCTGTTCTTTTCGGTTTGCGGATTTTACGCAGTTTAGCATATGGTTTACGTGACCCGATCCTTGATCCAGTCTGTGATCCGATCCGATCCGACCCAATCCAGTCCGATCCAAATTTTGTCGACGCCGCAGGGGAGCTTTTTTATTGCTTTGTCGCCAGTGTTGACAGGCAAACGCCCCAAATGGTGGGATGTGCCTCTTCTGATCTCATTTTACTGTATGCCGCAATGGCGACCAAACAAAACCAGTACTGAGAAAATGTTTCTTGCATTTATCGCGTTTTTTCTTCTTCCAAGTGATTTGTACGTAGGTAAGTACCTTTTGTTTGCCAGGCAATTGACGTAACTTGGTAGGTAGAGCACCAAATTTCCTCTCTGACTCTCTGACTAATATGTTATTGACCCGGTGAAATTAAAAATACATGAATGCATTGTATGTTACCAGGTCTGGCAGATTTTGATCGTAACATAGTGACATTTTATGCAATATTATGTCACGGTTGCCTTATGAGAGTTTTACCTCTACGTGCAGGCAGCGAAGTAAATCTGATTTATAGTCACCATTAATAGAGGCCCATTTGGCGTTTTTCTTTCATCTCTTTGCAAACGAATTTATAATTTAAAAACACTTAATTTCAAAATCGTGCTTTTAGAGTGTAGAACAGGCGTTTCTTTTGCGTATTTCATTCGAGTGCATGAAAATGCGAGGAGAATGCGAGGGTGGGTCGCGGATGGAGTGAGGAGCTTTTCAACCCGCGCGTGGCGTCGCACTCGCCTCGCACTCGGTTCTTTCCACTTAAAAAATCCAAAAAATTCAATAAAAGCATACTATTCAAAGTACATGGCTTAAATTGATTATGTAAAGAGATCTGCACTCGAATAATCTTACACAGCGGGTATTGCACGAGCTTGGGAAAATCTTTGAACTTTCTTATACAGCATTCTTAGTTTTGAAAGTTCATTAGAGAAATCGAAATCAAGTATTTACCGATTATAAGTAAGAGCTGTTTCAAAGTTGAGGGCAAATATTAAGATTCCTGTTTGTTATTTTGATTGTTTAAATTACTATTTGGTTCTGAACTAATTTCAACCATTTACGACTCTTGGTATGAAACTGTGAAATAAAAATACCGGGACCAATAATCAGCAGGTAGGTTTCTGACACCTGCTGTGGCTGTCCACTGGTAGCCGTTAATCTTCGCCATGGCGACCACGCATTTCTATCGTTCATTCCTGCACTTCGCCTTCAAGGAAAATTTAGACAGAAGGCCACTTTAGATTATCTTCTGAGAGCGGACGGCTGTGTACGAAATATTGCGAACTTCTACTTCGTTACTTTTTAACATTCGTGACCGCGGCATTCGAAAATAAACTTCTGATGCCACAAAACTTATGTTTATATTTTATGCAAATACATTTATCTGTCTATTTGAACTCAAGTATAGCAGTTATAAATAACTCGACAGCTGAGCGGTACTAAGCTAAAACATACACACGCATCACATCGCATCATATCAGCCACTGGAGAAGAGGAGTACCGGTTCTTAGGTCTACAATGAACTGGACTGATTTACTGATAACTACGTTCATGTTTCTCAATGTCGCATTTGACAAGGGTAAGATCCTTTCAAATCTCATTTGAGTCTTTTAGTAGGCGGACATTTCACTTGCAGGTCACAACATGTTTTAAGAAATACTGCAACTCATGCATGTCGCTCGGCAATTTTTTTTTCGGTTTTCCTTTCCCAATGCTTATTTTTGATGCTCAGGACAATTATGTCTAGTTTCAAGCGCGTCTGTTTGGAATCAGAGTCTTAAACGGACTACTTACTGTATCACGTGCAGACACGTTAATTGTTTTGATTCTGCTCATATATAAAAGTGGTTCATTTTCACTTACTCTATGCATGATGCTCATGGACTCATTTAAACTTATTTAGATAAGCGACGCATGAAAACTTGGCGGTACATTTCGCTTCATGAAACAGAAACTTAATTCTAGTTTTCGAGATGTTTTCAATCGTACCTTAGTTTCCAATATTCGAATTTGCAAGTAAAAGTTGAAAATCGACGGAAAACGCAGGAATAACTGAACTGAATAAAACTAGGAACTAAAGCGGTGAGTTGAAAAGAAAGTACCATAACTGCTCTAATAGCAGAGAGGTGACATTTTACAAGCTTATTTTCAACCACCGGCCTTTCTCAGTTTGCTTTAAACATTTCTTTAGCGAGCATTTATTTTGTAAAGCCCTCTTCGCCCACTTGCAGCCACTCAAATTTGTTATATTGCATTAAGCGGTTTGTTGCTATTTTTCCTAATTAGTCACGAAATTCAAATGATGCTTAATTATCGGAAGCCGGCCTTGACATGCAGTTGTTCTGCGGTTGAATTTTTACGCGATACATTCACATAATTATCTTCATTCCGGATCCTTTCGGAAATAATTTGCTCGATCGTTCGTCTTCGACTCTATTGTTTGATCGTTCGGTGAATGTTCTTCGTTTCCCGGCTCAGTTTTTTTTTCACCTTGCTCTCTCATTTCATTACTGGTTCATCGATTGATTCTTCTTTTAAAAATAGATTGTGTATTTTTCTTTTTGTTTCGTCCATAATTTTGTCTGTTTGTTTTTCCTTTATTCTTCAATAACATTTTTCACTTTATTACTTGTAGCGGATGCAGCTCTCTCATTCAAAGATCAGTGTGTGAAGTGGCATAATGAATATCGCAGTAGGCACCAGGTAATTTATTATAAGCCTGTATTTAAAAACTTAAGCTGCAAACAAAGTGAAACAGCTCGAAAGAGAAACTTCAAGCTCTCTTTGCCGAAGCTTGACAGCCGCTTTCTTTTGAACCACTTGCAGATTTTTGTCAAGACAATTAGATTATTGGGTGTCTATTTCTATGGGTGTCTATTTCTATGCGTACTTGGTGATTTGGGCCTAGACCTCATCAACCCTCTTGCGATACAAATCCCGAGCTCAAAATTTAACAAAGAATTCGCTGAGCGTGGGCGTCAATTAGTGACCTCAGTTGATGAGCGAAAGGTAATGCAGATTATACATATACGAGTAACTTTTGTGGTCGTTTCCATTACGTATATCTGATCTTTATTTTTAAATCCGTTATCTCTAAGACTTCGAATTTCGACAGTTTCAAACTTACACCAGCATTAAATTCCTGAAAATTTCATTTTTAAACTGTAGGTCGGCCCTTTAGTCTGGAGCGACAACCTCGCGCAAGGTGCGCAATCCTGGGCGGACTATCTGGCAGAAAACAATCTGTTTCAACACGCAGCAAACAGCCCGGTGGGAGAGAACCTATATTTGTCCTCTCGCAAGCCTATGGAACCCTGTACCTCTGCAACGAAAGCTTTCTACGATGAGGTCAAATATTATGATTATAACAACCCAGGATTTTCTCAAAGGACAGGTCACTTCACTCAGGTAATTGAACTTACAAAGTCGTGAAAAAAGTCTGCCATAGAGAAAATACTTGAATTGGGTAAGTCAAACTGAACTAATCAGCATTCCAATCAGATGGACATTCGCTATAGCCAGTTGCTTCGTGATTCAAAGTCAGTCATCGCTCGTCTCAGTCAAAGATAATTTGTAGAAAAGAGAGCCTTGCACTTTTCCTGACGTTTTATTGATAAGATAGAGTTACAAATGTTTATCTAGTTTTAATTTTTTTCAAATATTTCTTACAGGTTGTGTGGAAAAACACAAAACAGATAGGAGCAGCATATGCCACCAGAAAGGATGGCAGATTTGTTTTGGTGATAAGATATTCTCCTCCAGGAAATTATCGTTTCCAGTTTAGCCAGAACGTTTTACCAATCAAAGAAGAAACAAAAACCACTACCCCTACTCACACAGAAGCAAGTGCAACGTCGACAGCCCCTGCCCCTCCCGGTGGGGGAGTATCGGGTCAGATATGTTGCTCTTTTGCAAACAAAGTTCTTTTGATAATTTCCGCGATCATAGTTGTCAAAATTGGCTTCTGATAGTAAAGTAGAAAATGGGAATCCTTTCATTTACGATGTCGAATAAATTTCATGCGTTTTAGGTCGTTTAAGTCCTGTTTCGAAGTGAAAGTATTACATTTTGAAGAGGACAACCCATAAAAAAAATTGTGTTAAAAAGTATAGCGTACCTCAAAATGGAAACGGTCTAGATAAGGAAAAAACCCAAAGAGCCAAGAATGAATCAAAGAAAACTCAGTGATGATGAGTTACGATGGAAAAGATTGAGGCGGATCACGTATGACGAACTTTGGGCTTAGTTTTTGTAGACGAATAGCTTCGTCGTCCCGTGTTTACATCTTTTCTACTAAATTTCATAAGATAATAAAACTTGATGAAATACTTCGTATATTCATTTTATTCGTTTAGCCCGCCCGCCTGCTTATTTAGAGTTCACTTGGTATAATATAGAACTATTTCCCTAAGAAAGGGAGTGCGTACAGTCCTCCCCCCCCTAATTTCGCACAAAGTTTTGCTTATGCTTGTTACTTGCCAACGAATTTTGATAATCCTATGGTTTGAGACTCAGCAGGACTCGGCGTAAATGAGCTGGCGCAAAACTGACTCGGTAATAGATCTTCCTTCCTACAAACTGTCTTTTCTCTGAAATAATGTAGATGATTTAACACTAAGACCTCTCATCTGTTTACAGTATTATAGTTTAGGTTCTTGCAGATGATCCTAAACCAAACAGTACCAACTAGCTTATATTTCTCTTCCGTTTCATTACTTCATGTCTACCTGACCACGTATTGACTAGTGTGAGGATAAATTTATCTTTTGGTTTCTTCCGAGAGTGATAGGGTCAAATATTCAATTAGACGCGACGTTTGAAAAGGAAGTATAAGGAGTTGAAATTTTATCGAAATAAGATTCACTGGAATTATTGAAAGCTGCAGGAAACAACTACAGATCTCCATATAACATCTTTGATTAGGATTACTTCGCTACTGGTTTCTAGCCCTATTATAAAAATTTGATTTGCTCTCTACATTTTTCTTGAAAACAACGCAAGCTATTTTTAAAATTACACAAGACATTGTTTCTTTCTACAAATGCAAGTTTTCTGCTTCACAGTTACTTTTTGAGTTTCCCAGATGACTTAAATTCTCTTTTCTCCACTTAATTCTGCGATTCTGGAACCAGACTTTAACCTGTGTTTCGTTCAGCCCCAATTCAGCAGCAAGGTAAAATCTTTGAGTACCAACTACATACTGTTGACGATCGAACTCATTTTCAAGCCGCTGCAACTGGTCTGTGGTGAAGATTGTGCGGTTTCGCTTTCTTTTGTATCCAGCCTCCGTTTTCAAACCTCGGTGTTCGCGAAAATCTGCGATAGTAAGGTAAGATTTTTGTTTCATTTAAGCTTATTGTCATCCGATTATTATTTAAGGCTTCTCTGTGTTTCTCAAGTTTGTGTGCAGTATGTTAAAGATGAGCGATATTCAAGAAAGGCCGAGTGCAGTTTTTTTAACAAGGCCATGCACTCTTAGGTGTTTTGTCCATTATAAAGTTAGCTAATTTTCGACATTTGCAAAATTAGTCTAAGAGGCAAATTACCAAAAGAGATGTAAGAAAAACATTAAAACTATTATTTCAAGTGATTACCTCTTGATAATGCCTTCTCAGGCAAATTTCTTACGCTGAGTTTATGTTGGCAAATTTCATTTGGCTGTGGTCGTGCATCCCTCTGAGTGGCGGGCAATAACAATCGATATTCACCACTGTGTGGCGTAAACCGGGATGTATGAGAAACTTGATGATCTCTTCTTGTTTGCAAAATGGCGTCACATTTTGAAACTTGCGAGGGGTAATAACTGGGTTGATACCCATGAAAATACGAATGCTCTTGGTTGCAGCATGGAAGAAAAACGTAGCCGCGAAAATAACTCTCCGTTTGCTTGAGATCCATTTCTTTTTAATACTGTTTATTGCTCGAGATTTACCCCAGAAGTGGCATATGGGATCGATGATTTTCTCGGATTTATTTCAGAGTTCAAGATCAAACAGATAAATGAACACGCTAATTACATAATAATGAGCAGTGAATTGGTAATTAAACGTCGTTACAGCTATTCATAAAATTTTAGTGAGCCATAAGTTACCTTGCAAAATCTTGTTAAGATACGAGGTGAGGCAATTTAGGCTTATAATTACAACAGCTCAAAAGAAGCCTTAACACGCTAGCCATCTGCACCATGTTTGTTTTGCAGACAAAAGATTTTTGTTATTGCCATAAGAACTCTATAATTGGAATTATGGGATAAGACGCGTGAGGTTTTTGTTTCGAAAATTCGATTCTTCTCATTCTCTAATTTTGCCATTGTAAGGATTTCAATTAACTAATATGGATCACAGTTGTCGGGGAAACCATGGTTATCAATAGACCTTTATGTCGTCATTTTCGCAGCGTAATAGATAGAGCTATTTAACTTGTTATAATGACTTTTGTTAATTGGTTTTTAGGGACATCAAATTAATCCTTATGGCCAGCATTTGATCATGGAAATCACTGCAACCTTTTGAATGAGCTTTGGGTATTTCGTGCGTCAGAAGTTCGGTTTGTTTGTTATGAAATAAAGTTTAGGGAGCTTGAAACCTCAAGGAAACGGAACAATTTTCATTTCCAGAGACATTGACATATAGTTATTATTGCACATATTTTACTAAACACCATTTGAAATTGTGAAAAGTTTGATTTTATCTCAAATAGAATACTCCGCAATGTTTAGAAACGAACAGGACGTTTTCCAGCTTTCCTTAAGGAAAACATATGAATTTCAGAAAACTTATTTTATTCCTAATTGCCTGAGAGCAACTGAACAGGTTTGTAAATTGAAGCTTTTGAATACTCATTGTTATTGCGTAATATGTTTAAATTGGAGTGATCTATTACGGTCGGCAACAACTGTCACCTAAAGAACCATGTTTTAGTCTTTTGAACAAGAGAAATGATGACAAAACTATTTACACTTTGCCCATTTCCTATGAAGACAGATTTCCAACTCACCGCTATCTTTTAATAACATTATCTGAATCAGGCTGGTCAGATCAACGATTCTGATAAATCACTGTTGGGTATTAGTGCAATAACTAGATAATAATAGTCCAAAAAAGAACGCTTTTGACGCGGTCAATGCAGGCGTTCTCAGTTATGGATAAACACCTTAGAACTATTTTTGCTATTTTGACACCAAGTCATGCAATGATAGAAATTCGATTGAACTTGCACTCAACATCGCTGAATTAAGATTGACTTAGGAACGGTAATCAAATTATTTCATTATACAGTTAATGTTAAAATCTATTTGATTGGTCTTTTGCATTCATTTTAACCCCACATTTTTTGGAGCGAGTTCATTTTCTGTTTCTTTTTACGACTTGTCAGTCTGTGAAAGATATCTTTAAACTCCAAAAAAGATGTTGTGCAAAGCATTCTCTTGTTTACAATATTTCCGCCTAATAAAACTGGAACTACACAAAATTTATAAGTAAATAAATGCACTATTTTCAACTGGTAAATATGATTTTAAACTACTTGAAAGTGAGAAGATCCGGTGAATTTCTAAGCCGATAGGTGTGGAGTTCGCGACCTTTGGCCTAAAGATTATTCAGTTATTGACCCACAAAAACATGGAGCTTTTACCTCTTTTTAAATTAGATATAATCTCGCTTATTGGTGTTTTATTATTTATCGTTATTCCTGATGTTTTTTTTTTCCTACTGTTCGAGAAATTAAATCTATAAAAGCATGGCTCAGAACAATATATTTTGGTTTTTGCTGTCATGCTAGCCAAAATTTTGTTCCCTTGGATCCAGGGATTTAAGGGTTTGCGTTGTATTAATTAATGATTTAATCACCTGCCTCATTTTCAGGTCTAGTACGCTTTTCAACAAAACGTCTCATCAAAATTTTTAGGGCCGTGTTGACCGAATTTCTGCCTCTCAAAAGTGAGGCAGCCGTGAGCTAAAGAGGAATATGTGTAGTCTTATTGGGAAAGTAATCAGTCACCCACAGTGACAGATATAACCAACCGAGATTCACCTAAACACATTGCTTAAAGCGTCGACTTCTTCCAAAATAAAATAACAATTTTCTAAAGATAACCTTTTCCCTTCAATTCTACTTTCATTAAAGTTATCAGGAACGCCATTTTAATTTCGCGCTCGAAACATAAAATTTTGACATCATAAACGGCTCGCTCTTTTCTTAAATAAATACCGTAACACGTTTGCGCTGGAATCTTGGAAAAGGTTTCTTTTAAAATATTTTTTGCTTGTTGAAGCTGAAAAGTTAGCATTCCTTAGGCCCTTGTTTGGGATTGACGAAAAGACAGTAAACATGTATAGGATTATAAGAAAGACCAACTCTTTATCCAAATAAATAGATAGGGGTCACGAATGAGTATATTGTGCTCAGGAAATTTTAAGCCTAATAGTTATATATGAATTTACGGCCTCGTCATTTTCATTCTTACATCAATGAAGAAGTTAGACCCTACCTGTGCATAGGCTTTAATATCTTTCTAAAGACCAGCCTAATTATTTATTACAAACGGGAAATAAAACAGTTTTGTGTTAAGTTACTTTAGCAATTATTTAAGTTCGTATTCCTTTGCTAAGCATTTTTGTGGTTGAAACTCACGAAAAAACTTGCGGCATATATCAATCAGCTTGATTTATCTTGTGAGTATCTTTTAATTTTCCCAGGTCACGTGTATTTCCTTTGAGTTTTCATCGGTTCGTTCTCACATATAAAGTTTGTTTGTCGGCTCAATCTCACGAATATAAAACCTTCGTCTTTTTTTTTCGGTACGCAACTGAAGAACTTCCGATAATAAATGAATATATACGCCATTAAATAGATATGTAAATAAATTATCAAATAGATGAATAAGAAAGCTTACAGATAATAAACGTATGAACATATACTTGAAAGAGTGAATGAATGGATGAATGAATAAATAAATATTTTTTAATGCATTATTTGCCACGAGAAAATTGTTTCCGACTACCACATCCAGGAAGCTTTCTTCGGTAACCTGATAAACAAAATTGTAATTGGGGCCAGCCTTCATGCAGAAGCTGTATAGATTTCTGCAATAGCCTGGCGTGGTTTTGAACAATTTCATTTTAGTCGTTACTGACAAAGCTAAGCGTTTGTTATTTATGATAACAGTGTATTTGAAAACGCTTCTAGAAATATACTAAGTATCGTGCAATGCATGCCGGGGAAACAACCCCATCTCTTCTCAAGCTGCTCCCAAAATTCTTTGCATCGGCTGGTCGGCTGACCTTTGAACTGGAGCGAAACTTTGGAAAATTTCACTAAAAATAATTTACTATTTTTCTGTAAATGATAACCTATAAAATTACTAAAAAGACTCTCCTTTATCAGTGTGTCCAGGGTTAAACTTTCTTTAACTTAATCACACTCAAGATTTTCAAACGCACAGAAAATGTGTATGCAAACACTCAGATTGATTAACTGAAGAGAACTTTCCAGAGAGATCCAAAGGACAGAAAAGGGAGGACAAATTTTGACAAGCAATTCAACCTGCTGTGCGCACGCTGTCGTTCGGTTTTGATGACATAATTGCATTAAAACTGAGGTCTCAGTTTTAAGCGTCCGCTTAAGATCATAGCACAAATCACTATGACATACTTTTAATAACCAAGACCGGGGCAGCAACTCGATGAAAGCTCGCCCTGGGTAAAACTGTCCTAGATATCAGTTTTTTGGTCGCTATGATTGAGATGATAATGATACATAATGCAAACCCTTTGACGTAAAACCGAAACAAATCATACTTGAAGACTATTTTAACAAAGCGAATTGCCCAGAATCATGATTAATAATTTATCCAACTTGATAAAGACTCGGGAAAAGATCTTAATCCCGAAGTACGCCGTTTGTTCAAACTTTTGAAATATTACACGAGAATGAAAGCAAAATCTTTCGTGTATATGTTGCTGTTCTGGATTCAAAAGGTTTGTAACAATTCATAGTTATTTTATTAATTTTCAAAAGGAAAAATATCGTTTCCAAATGTTTTCACATTTAGTCAATATCAACACCACGTTTGTCTTTTCAAAGGAACATTTCGGAGTTTGGTTCGTTAAAGGTGAGTTTTGTGTATTCATCTTCTTTTAAAACTTCAATCATATCATCTTGAGTCAAATTTGCAACAGCATTTCATGAAATACAACGTACGGCGATCGCGTTTTGAACAGAATAACGACAGCAATGATGAGATGTTGAAAATGGTGAAAATGGGATATAAATAAAAAAATTTATTGACGAATTGCGCTCCACATATAATTTTGGTGCAGAATCACGACTGAAAATCCGATGCCAAAATATCTAGACACTATGTATTCAAATTTGGGCAAACTAGATTTCATGGCATCAAACACAACTGTAGGGGGCGCCGGAATTCCCATCAGGGAGCTTCAGGGGCATTTTAATCTTCATAGTTTAATAAAAAAAATTTGAGTAAAATATGCCCATCGTCTCCCTTAAAAAAAAAAAAAACAAAAAAAAAAACAAAAAAAAAAACAAAAAAAAACACCGAAATTTACACAAAGTTGATCCAAGTTTGCGGCATGTTTACTTGTGTTTAGAAACATCCGGACACCCACTTGATGGCAGAAGAACAATCACGAGCTAATTCTACTGTGGTCGGCTATGCATATAAGTCTTTTTAAAAATTCCTAAATAACTTGATCAATATGCAATGTTTATTTGGTGTTTAATTATGTCCCAGAATGTTTTATGGACTTCATTAATGTGCGCCTCTTATTATCAGGAAGTTGTGATTCACCTCTGGGACTTGGGGACCATTCCATTCCGGACTCGTACATAACAGCAACTTCACAGTATGATGCATTTCATGGTCCAGGTCTTGCAAGACTTAACTGGGTCCGGAACTCCTCTCATGGAGGTGCCTGGTGCTTCAAGTACCACTTATCAGGCGAATGGTTACAGGTAAAACGTAATTTTTTCACAATTTTCATGATGATTTCAGCTTGTTGAGCAAGAGATATTCTTTAGGGGGCTAGTTTGGTAATCTCGGAGAGATCTTGAGCAATTTGTGGTCGGCGATTCCTTCCCGTCCCCTCTCTGAGCTTCTTCCTCAATACTCCTATTCCACTTCCTGATGTCCAGAAATCATGCACGCAGTAACGAAAATTTGTTAAAATCGTCCGGCAAGTCCGTCGAGCTGATTTCGCTTTGACGAATTTCGCTAAAATTCGGCAAAATCGCCCATTTCACCAAGCTGATTTCGTTTTGACAAATTTGACTAAATTTCGCCAAAATCGTCAAATCTACATACATTCGCTCGGTTTGACGAAATTTCGTCAAATCTGCCATTTTCGTTTGTGTGCGTATTTCTGGACATAAGTGGCACCTCCTTCAAGATCTCTCTTCTCTTCTTCCTTTTTACGTATCCTCTTTATCTTCTCCTCTTCCTCATTATCTCTTTTGATTCCTTAACCTGCAATGCAGGCGTCTTGTTAGGGAGAGGTAACGTTAAGAAGCGCGCGATCGTTTTTTCAACCGGCCAAGTTTGATTTGGACTTCGACGATAGGGAAGTGAACGGGGAAAGGCGAAGAGACAGACAGAACAGACTGACTCTTTCATCTAACACTTTTTTAATTCAAAATCTCCATAATTTCAACCACAGGTTAACTTAAGAAGGATAATGAAGATAACAGCGATTGCCACACAAGGGAGACAAGATCATCCTCAGTGGGTTAAATCATACAGACTTTGTTATGGACAATCTCTGAGCGGCTTTTGTGAACCACTCAATCAGGTAATGTCACTGGGGCTGATTGTCGGATAAGGCTTGAGTACTTAGTTGTGAATATTAAAATGAAAACTAAAATTAATGTAAAAAGCATCAGTGATTGACTAAACAAACAACAAGCAAGCTAAAATTGTCGGCCGTAACTGGACCGTTTTCTTTTTTCGAGTATGAACGTCATAAAAAAGCTCTCCGAATTTCTGATGTTCAGGCCTTTTGCACAATAGCTCCTCAGCTGGCACCTTCATGGGTACTTATGCGAATGAAGTCACTATTTGAGTAACACTAGCGATGTTTCATTGCCGTAAAAATGTGTCCGTTTGTTGTTGATCAATCAAAGGAATTTGTTGGAAATGTGGACAGTCAAACAGTGGTTACTCATCAGTTTACCACACCCCTTTACGCCCGCTTTGTGAGGCTTATTCCTGTATCATGGTATGCACACGCTTGCTTAAGGCTCGAGCTTTACGGCTGCAAGGAAGGTGGGTCAATTATATTGTTTATCTTCTTTCTAAAGCTACTTCATAACCATGGATCTAAAGCAATAGAACGGTACATCTACAAAAACATCATTCAGCACAATCGAAGAAGACAAAAGCTTCTGGAACTCAACCAGAAACGATCAGAACTCATCTCAATACCAAACGGGATAATTTTTTATTATCAACTGAGTTTGTAAGGTAAATAGTCACCATAAAACCATAAAATAATTTAAAAGTTGACTTTCCGAGCGTTAGCCCCTCGTCAGAGCGATGAACGAAGAGCTAACGCTCGAAGCTTTTAAACTCTTTACGGTGGCCAATTTATGTTATCAACTCAGTTGATAATACTACATTACCCAGCCATACTCTCCCACAGACACAGCATCACAGTTTCTTTAAAAACTAACCCCCCTTTAATACCAAACCTTTTTATTTTGCCATTTAAAGCCTTTTTGAGTTAAAACCTCCGCAGTTACATCATCATCATCTTTTGATCTTTAGAAATTACTGTTTGAAACAGTTTAGGATATTTGGAGTTACTTTCTTAACTGAGTCTAAATAAGATCTTGAGTATACAATTTTAATGTGTTGCATATGGCTATTTCATCTCGATAAATAGGTTTCACTCCACTGTCGGGTCCTGTGTGTATGGAAAGTCTTGGAATGGAAACCAGAAAAATCCCTGATTCCGACATCACGGCATCATCGGTTTGGAACTCCTATCACGGACCCCACAATGCAAGGTTTGTGGAGTGTCGATAAAATAGTACAGTATTGTGTAAAATGACTTGATCAATACTGTGTGAGATAGTGTTATGTTACGTGATCTAGTGTGGTGTTCAAGATATATAAAACATGAAATCATAAAGAAGGACAGTATAGTTGTTTGCACTGTGAATTCCTGCTCAGGGTCTGAATCAGAAACTTCCCTCTCCTTTCTTTCTAACATTACCATTATTTAACAGTTAATTCACGAGTTGTGTTAAATATGAGATGGTACATAGCAAACGAAATCCTACGGGCCTCGTTGACTTTAATCATCTCATTTTCAACGAGCGCGAGTGAAATAATCGTTTTATTAAGAACGCCCCAAAATATAGCTAAATATTTCCAACTTCATTTTGTAAAAACAACCGGAATGTTGCAATGTAAAGAAAAACCTCCGGTTTAACTCGTCTTCATGCGCGCGCATGGTATAATATACACTTAATGTTTGGTCCTTCGGGAAACTAGTCCCGAGGGACCATACCTTGAGAGCTTGGTTATTTATTTAGACTTTCCCTTAAGCAATCATATGGCAAAAACATACAGACAAAGACGGCACAAATTCTTTATTCACAGTCGTCAATCCTGCTGAATGAATAAGTCTAACGTAAATTACAAATGTTTGGAAGTACATGAAAAAGCAAATATGTTTTTGTAATCTCAATAAGAAATACAAAATAATTTGGAAATTGTAAAAATTGATGGTAACATTTGCTCCAATAAATGCTTTTTTATTCGGCGCGCGGGCAACAACTGCGCAATTGTATCCTGGATGGGACACATTTGAATTTGATCAGGGACACGTGACTAAGAATCAACTAATCGCAGTTTTGTTGAGTGAAAATGTCAAGGTATATAGCAATGGTTCATATATCATGATGGCCGTTGAAAACTCTTGAATTGCATTATCCAATGATCTAATTTTTAAAACTTACATTGAGATCAATAAAGTTAACGAAGATCTCACGAGGGTCTGTTTCGCAAATAACTCTCACGTGGAGAACCCATATGCATGCGTTGATCATTTGTCTCTCACAGTATGTAACACGCGAGGATGTCACACGCGTAGCGCGCGAGGCACGCGTATCACAAGACAGCTTTCGCTGAGAAAGGCATCTTCATGAAGCGAGCATAAGTTCATCCTGAGAGTTTCTCGAGTGCGAAAAAATTAAACGGTGTTAGGTTTCCCCTACAGCGCTCAATAGGGTAGAATCTTTTTATCTGAACTCATTTTGTACCAAAAGGAAACTTGAAAATTTGCTGTCGGGATTTGTGTCGTAAAGAATTGGAGTTTTTGCATTATTGTTTTGCAAAGGGCAGCCAGGAAATGTACAAGCTCTAACAATCATTAACAGAACCATTGTTCTGGAGCCTTGATATATCTGTTTCCTTGAAGACATCGCCGCCCTGAGTTGCCTAATGCCCTTGCCGAGAGGGCGGATACCTTAAGTTTGAATATAAATTTAGGTGAATTAGCCATCGTGTAAGGCTTGCAGTCTTTTGGATTGATACTCTGTTTCTCTTACAGACTACACAAGCAGGTTGCTCCAAACTCCGCAGGTGGGTGGGCTGCACAAATTAGCGATAAAAATCAGTGGTTACAAGTGAAATTCGGTCAGCGGGTAGAAATCAGAGGTGTAGCCACCCAAGGAAGACACAACGTCTACCAGTGGATGACGTCATACTCCTTGCGCTACAGCTCTGACGGCATGGTGTTCCACCACTATCAGACGAATACAAAACAAACGGTCAGTTTATTTCAGTTTTTCCAGTTTTTTTCAGCGCTCTCGTAAAATCAGTTTTCTCTGGTTTGTATCTTTTTGTTAGTGTATCCGTATTTTCAAAACTCATGCAGTTCGAATTTTATTTGCTCAGATGTAATTATAACCATGCCGACATTCAACTCTACCTCGGAGGGTTTCCGTCATGATTCGGTATAATGAAATGACAAACGTTCGGGCGTGCGATGACGAATAATTATGTGAAATTATTTCTTTGTACTTCATAATTTGGCCTTAGCCACCACCTTAAAATTTAAATGCTATAAATTCAATTTTTCAAGACTGTTGGCCAATAAAAAAAAAGATTTCCTTGAGAAATCGAATCTCCGGCCTTGGAAATTCAAAATGGGCGGATCTGACCACTTTCCCTGGTGGGAGACTCTAATATTTCATTGTTCGACGCTGATGGCTATCTAGATGTGATCAATTCTTTCTTCATTTGACGTCTGAGCTCTAGCTTTGCCATCTTTCTCATTTCTTAGCGATCAGTTTGTTTCTTCGTCTCATTTCCAAATAGGTATTCAATGGTAACACGGACATTGGTACTGTGGTAAGCCACGTTTTGAACCCACCAATCACTGCCCGCTATATTCGTGTTCATCCTGTCACGTGGCATAATCACATTTCTTTTAGGGTGGACTTTTACGGGTGCTTTCCAGGTAAAGGCATACGTCAAAATCTTTTTTCGATGTAATTCTAACACCATTCTATCACAAATTCTACAATCTGATTGGCTAATTTACTCGCTATCTATTCCACGTCAGTGAGTGAAGTGATTAGCCTGACAGAGCATGACTGTAAACAAAACAAAATAAAAACACGCGCTAGAACGACTAGATTATCAGCCCTCATCGACAATCATGCGATGTTAACATCGAGCTCACAATCTTATTGTTAACTAGGTTACGGTTACGAGATGGGTGCTTTTTTCATTCGCTTATGGAAATGAAGGCTAAGAAATAACCACTGAAGCTTTCTTGTAATATAATTGGCGCAAACCTTTTTTGCACTAACCAGTTTTATTCTGACTACGACGCCAGATGAACAAAGATGAGTCATGCTTTTAGAAATTTGACACGGGAAAGAAATAAAAGAATACTGAAAAACTTGGAATTTCACTGCTGATGATTCAATCTTTTACATTAAGAGTGTAATCTGTTTTTTTAAGACCCTCCAGTTCCAGTTGCAGTGTACCCTCTAAACGAAGAATTTGGCACACGAGACCTGAGTCCTAATCAAAATGAACCGGGTACTCCCCACAATTTCCAGCTCACCCCAGGTCCCTTTGGGCGTCCAAATGGTTCGTACTGGTTGTCTGGTACTTCCTCTAGCTATATTGAATTCCCCAACGACGGAGGATTGGACACGAGATATTCCTTCACATCTTTAGTGTGGGTATTCCCAGAAAACGTCGACGGTCCTATCGTCAATTACGGAACCGATAACTTTGGTGTTCATCTTTGGATAGCAGATAATAAGATTTTTGCCAGATCGATGACGAGACTGGGAGGTTTAGGACCAGTACAAGCTAAATCTGTACAGCATCATGCGTGGAATTTTATTGGATTTTCGTATGACTATGACATAGGCGTTCAAAAACTCTGGATCGAGGGAAAAGTTTACGATGTGTTAACAGCTGATCAGTTTGAACAAAGAACTCAAGATAATATAAGAATGGGGAAGAAAGATGGCGATTGGAGATTTTTTAAGGGGAGAATATCGTGCTTACAACTATACAACAAAGCTTTGACGGAAAGAGAAGTACAAGCTGTAAGAGGGATGTGTTTCAGAAAAGGTTGGTCCCCTCGCAACTGTCTCTTGCCAACCCAAACATGGTTTTTAAAATTCAGTGTTGAAATATTGCATTTTTAGTGAGCGAAAGTGGAATAAATTATAGTAACGCAATATCTAGACCTTTCTAGATTTCAGGAATACCAAGAGGATTGTGAATGGCCAAGATTTAGCTGCAAATTCGAAAAATGATGTGATGCAAACAAAGTATCGGATTTCCATTAATCTTGAATAAAAGTTCCAGTCAACACGCGAGATACGTGTACCATCCTTGTTGAAAGACCAAAAACCTTGAGATTAATAGTTTGAGCAGAGCCACCTTATAAATGAGAGCGTGACTCACAGCTTTATCATATCTTGATAGTGAGAAATATTTTCCTTCCATTGGGAAAAGCCCTCACACGGTAGTATAGCCAATTACTCTAGAAGATTTTGAGAACAATTGGAATATAAAAAGGCTTTCCAAGCGTGAAGGGCAAGCTATTTCAGCTAGTGTTACGTACAAATAGTGTATGATGTTTATTTTTTTCATGTTTCTGCCTTGTGGTGAAAATTTTTTTTTGTAAATAAGTACAAAATACTAGCGAAATAAGTCACGAAACCATTCTTGTGCTCATTTTTTTTTTTAGTTCCATTAAAACCTGTTGCTTTTTTCCCATTGAATGGACAATACGAGACAACAGACATCAGCCACAGCCACAACCCTCCAGGAGAGGCGTCGAATGTTGAATTAGCCCCAGGGCCTGACGGTTGTGATGGAGGCTCGTACCAGTTCAAGGGAATGGAAACAAGCTTCATCACGTTTACAAATACTGGAGGACTTGACACCAGGTATTCGTTCACGTTTCTGGTGTGGATCTACCAAGAACACACTAAAGGTCCGATATTCTATTATTTTGCACCTGGCTATTATGGCGTTAGATTAATGGTCGATGAACAGGGCTCTTTCCATGTCAACCTGCGCACATCACAATCAGCGGCCTTGAAGGTGCTCAAAGCATCTGTTCTTGAAGAAAAGAAGTGGCACTTCATTGGTTCATCTTACGATTACGTCAGTGGAGAATTGATCCTTTGGGTAAATGGAAGCGTCCATAAGAAAGTCATCATTGACTCGCCTGCTGAGCTGGCAACACAAGCAAATGTTACCATGGGTGGGCTGCCCGGGGAAGCTGGCCAATACAGCGGGAGATTTTCATGTTTTCAGCTTTACGACAGAGTACTGACCGAAAGTGAGATTGAAAATGCCAAACAATTGTGTTCCACCACAGGTAATCTTAGATCTGGCCATTCTTAATCTACTAACATGCATTACTTGTGCGTTTTCTTCCTAAGTTGCATTGCAATGGCTCTTGCTCTAAAAGTTGATGATTCAGCCTCTACCACGCTTTGCAAAAACTCTTCGCCTGCAACGTTATCATACACTGGCACGAAATTGACGTTTAAAGCACTGAAATCCTCGGTCATTCCTTAAAATGGAAACAGTGTTTTTTTCTTGAAAATGCAACACCTTGATTCTCATTACATATCTTATTACGGATCTTTTACATATCTTAACGTTACTTTTTTTCAACTCCTTTCAGGAAGGTCGGATCCCAACCAAAATGTTTACATTGGCGAGGCAGTGGATTTAAAATGCGACACTTTGGAAGGGAAAACTGCGCGCTGGAGCAAGGATAGCACTGTAATTCAAGAGAGAAGCGCCGGCTATGGCACGAGCCTGGTCATCAGCTCTGTTCAGCCACCTGATGAAGGAACATACACTTGTGACATCATCAACGACGCGGGGGATATCCAAGCGTCTTACAGTGTCACTCTGAGAGTGGAGGGCAAGTATTTAACTATCTAATAGATTTTGATAATTGAAAAAATGTGAAAATGGAGTGATGAACTGTAAGTTTTTTTCGTAAATGGTCTAGAGAAGCCTTACCATTCTAGATAAACCAAATTAAAGACTTATGAATAAGAGCGGGACACCACTTACCAATAATATTGGCCAAATAATGACTTGTGGGGCTCTTGGGAAGCGTTCACTACTCAACGCTAACATGTCATTTTGATAAGCAGTCGAGGGAGAAAAAAATATATGAAAATTTTAAGCTCGGTGTTTTAGTTTTAATAAAAATGGTCATAAACCCATTTATCACTTAACTAGATGCATTTTTAATTGATCTTAGATCCAAGTTCCCTTTGCTCCGATTTGAAAGCTGAATCGAGCAGCGTATGGAAATCCTGGAGTGTTTTGCCTCCTTCAAATTATAGTCGCGAATATTACGAGGGGAAATGGTTCCGGGCAGAAAAAGGAGCAGCCATGACAAGTTCATGTATCTTGGAAGAAACCTGTGGTGTCCAAGCTCCTAGCTGGTTGAATGGTCCAAATCCGTCCAGAGAGATGGGGATTATTCATAGTCAAGTCTGTATGAACTTTCGAAACCACTGCTGTTATCATTCATTGCCTGTTCAGATAAAGAAATGCTCCGACTTCTTTGCTTACAAGTTGCAGGAAGTTCATCCAATGATACCTGGAAGATACTGTTTCACAACAAATAATTTAGGTTTGTAGATAAACTACTTTTCTCTCAAAAGGAATAAAAACGATTAGTAGATACCACCAGGTGAAAAGTGCTTTTTGCACGCGCTGATTGGCTAGTTCAAAGGAATAGCAAGTCTTATTCACCTCGCTTTTTGTGAATAATCGTTAATTATCTCTATGAAATAAGTCCATGCTATTCCAAGTAAAATGTCTCATGAGACTCTTTGGGGTATTCCGCGAAAAACTCAGATGAATTCCCTAGGAGCATCGTGACGTCTATTTTATTGGGCTCCGTGAAAAAGAGGACCAAATACCCCATAGAATTTCTTGGAAAATGTTAATTAAATTCCATGGAATTCTAAGGAGTACCCTGGAGACTGTTTTAATTACTTTCTTTAAAGAAATCGAACGTTCTCTTGAATCATGTTGATGAAAAAAGCTTTAACCAAAGAGATACTCTAATGTTCGAAAATTCATGGTACTCTATTAAAGTTTTAAAATTTAATTTAAAAGGAATATGATGTTGATCTGAGTGTTGTAAAACTATGAAAAGTGGGGCAAAAGTTACCTGGATAAGACGGACATCTCTTGCAAAATAACGATAAACCTCGTTTGAATGTCATGATGTTCGATGATGTTATTACTCAACAATCGTTCTATCCAGTACATCCACGTGATGTAAACGACTGGTTTACCCTTTTTGTATTCAAGAATGCTTAAGATAAATAATAACGATCAATTACTATTAGTCGGTGAGTTTTTCAGTTACCTGTTTAGTGCAGTAATTCGGACTTCAATATCTGGAGATACTCCAAATTGCACAGGTTGTCACAAAGTCGGCTAAGAAAATGATTTTCATTTTTGTTCCCATTATTCCCCTTATGTTTCAGACTTTGTCGACCGAATCAACAATGTCATGTTTACTTCTTCTGGGGCTGACCGTTTGTTGAATGGTCACAAGATCGCCATTGTGGGGTCAGTTGGTAACTCTTTACAGTGCATGCAGGACTGCACAAACGCCGCTGACCGCCATTGTAAGTCTTTCAGCTATAGGAAGCTAACAAGAGAATGCCAGCTGAACAACGAAACAGCACCGCAGGAAAGATCTGGCATGGAGATGAAAGTTGGATACAACCAGTACGATATCGCTAAAAGCGAAATGATAATATTTCCATAAATATGGATTTAAACTACCTCAGCCTGTGTAAGGTTAAGCTTAAAGAACTTTTACGGATACCCGATCAAGCCTTAAGGCAGATGTGAACGCAAAACCTCTTTTTAATACCAGGAAGAACCGTTAGATCTTGTTGGACTCCTTAGCACTCTTAATAAAACTGCTCATAGCTGAGTTACGTACCCTCTGGTTATTTCGATACTTTTACCTGTAGTAAAAGGGCGTCTGTGTCGCGAGAGAAGTTGGGTCACTGGATAAGAGAGCACTTGAAGAGTAGAGACGGATTCTGGTGTCAATTAAACACTTAATTATTGGGAAAGAATTCAACTTGGGACGAACGTCTGACAAAAAAGCACAGATTGAACCTGCGCAAGCAGCTTTAAAGTTTATACTGAAAGACGAGAGGAAAGTTGGGTTAACAATATGAAAAACTGTGATACCTCTCTCTTGACCAAGAAAAATGTTTTCCATCCCGGAAAATTTCATGATGTTCTATAAGACATATCATTCTAGTTATAGAAAGTCTATCACCCCTTTAAACTTATATTTCCGGTTTTGAATAAAAGATCTTTAAAAAGAGTTTGTGCCATTTCTGCTGCCTCTTTTTTTATGGGAGGGGGGGGGGGAAGGGGGTTGGAAGACGTTTATGACCAAAGTAGAACCGAGTGGCGACTGGTAGAGAGAGAAAATCCTTAGACGCTGTTTCAAAGCCGTCGTGTAATATACACTGTTTGATCAGCGGTAAGAATGAGAAGAACACTTTTAAGAATACAATTTGTGTCAGTTCATTTCATAGCAATCTTAAATCCTCAGTACATAATTTATGAAGCCTCTTCGGGAGCTATTAAACAAGTTCGTTTCCTTGAGCTGCATGACGTACATTAGTAAAAATATTTTTGGGTAAAAAATAACAATTCTCGCCGCCGAAGGCTGCAATTAGCTGAGTTCAATTAATAATTCATACAGTTTCTTGAAGTAAAGTGGAACAGAAGTTTTGTACTAAATGATGCGGCTGTTGGATCCGTGAATCTTTTTGAGAGAATGAAACAAAGTTCCTTGATATGTGTCATTACCTTTTTCTTTCTAAGGGTTTGTAATACCGTACCGTTCTTACAATTTCGGCATTTAGTTTGGTAACGTAGTTTTCACAGCTCTTTGAAATTTACTGAATATTTTTGTTGTGGTAATCTTTAAAATTTTTAGGAATATTCCGCTGTTTGGGGTTCACAAGGTGAGTTTAGGATAATTTGACATCATTGTTTATTATAACTTTTATCCATAAGCCATGAACGAGATATCACTCGAGGAAATACGAAGTTCAATAGTTGAGAATTTTAAAAGCAAAGGTAGCTTCGACCGAATTATGAAAGCAGCAGGAGGCCACACTTCTGTATCAAGGGAAAACAGAACTAATGCTTATCAGTGAGAAGTATATTTATTATGTAAGGGAAACATTATTGTTAAATATCCCGTTTACTGACGCTCTACTTGTTTCTGAAAATTGAGTTTGCTTTGGTGTTATTTTGTTCAAGTGTTATAACTTATGACAGCAATAACAGAAGAACACCTGTTGGGCATTACCAGCAACCATGATGGATTTATGGTTTATATTATGAGGTACTCAGTGAGGTATCTACTCACAGTAAGGAAAACGGAAAATATCTCAATGAGTATTTGTTATGGAACATTTGACAAACTAACAAACTTTTTCAACAGCGCGGCTATGTTAGGTCTCAGTCATAGCAAGTCAGGTTGTCGGTTTTACATGGTTCTTTAACTTTGAGTTTTTGGTTCTGAGGCCTTATTCTCGTCTTGCACCTTCGAATTTGTCAATAACGTTACGTCAAACCTTTTAATTGTGTCAAAAAACAAAAGAAATTTTTAATCAAACTTGTCAATGCTTTTGGTATGTGAAAATGGCTTTTTCATTTTTCCGATTCCGAATCGAACTTTTCTATGAAACTCTAAGACTTGAGGATAGGATCGCAACAAACTTTGAATTTATCCTAAAAACGATAGAGTAGTACCAAGAGAGAATAATGATGTGAGTTGAGGTTCTAAAAAATTTTCGTCAGTGTACGTATTCTTTTTACTCACAGTGGCTCGTTAATACCATACTGTTTATGTCTATCGCTTATTATTCGCAATCAATTGTTCAGAGCTGGTTGGAGTTTCCTTGTTGTGTCATCCTGTAACTTGTTTGCAATCCTTGATTCAGATCTTATCCATTCTAAAACATCATCGATGCTGTTAAACTAATTCTTCCAACTTACCTATTTTTATCCCGCTAAACTGTCATATTTCGGGGTTCTCGAATGAAGGAAGTTATTCAACGCATCATTATCCGATTATCGTGACGTGGTCCTTCTGGGCAGCTCATTATGATTTGATTATTTTTAAGGTGCGCCTTTGTGGTACTGGTAACTAGATCCGGGACCCGGGGGATTATGTTGATGTGAATGAGTGACTTTGTGTTCATTACTGTGTGTAACAAATACAACAAATCCTACAGCCTTGATGTATTTTCAGGGCAATGCAACTCACCCCTGGGGCTTGAAGACAAATCCATTCCCGACACTGACTTAACAGCATCTTCAGTATATGATATTTACCATGGGCCTGAGCGCGCCCGGCTCAACACTGTACCGAGTGGATCTTACAAAGGAGCATGGTCCCCCCGTTACGCATATCGAGGAGAATGGATACAGGTCCATAAACTCGAAATCTATTGCAGCTTTTCAGTTACATTTCATCATATCAAATTGTCTAAAGCTCATTTTAAAAATCCTTGGGAAGGCAATTCTTATGGATATTTAGACCCTAGTTTCAGCAAATTCTGAGTTACATTTACACTGCAACTAACCATTTATACCTTGAATTGCACTTGAGATCTACAAAATTAGATATAGCATCTATAAGAGGTCAGCTACATCTGTTATTGCAATGTCGACAACGGAAAAAACAGATAAGAATTAGCCTTTTAACCGAAGGCGAGTGGAAACTTTTTTATTCACTCCTCTGTAAATTTTTTGTGTTCGTCTACATTAGTGTCGAGCTCGAGAAGACCTCTAATTAGAAGCCTTTTTTAAATTGTTTTGTCCTGTCTCTGCATGGAGAAGGCTTTCTCGAGGCTTCCTGCGATCTAGGAAAAAGTTTACTCTAATCAGTTCTACCACTGATAACTTTTGATGATCCTTGGTAAACTGGGAACAACCTTTTTCTAAAGGTTGCTCAATAAGTCGTAACGTTGTGCCATCTCCCAATTGAAGAGTCATTTTTCTATGTGCATAAGGTGTCTTAACTTTAACCCTCAAATAGTACTTAAGATAGGCAATTCTCATTACAATATAACGCAATAACACCAACAGATAAACTTGAGAACAATCACGAAGATCACCTCAATTGCAACACAAGGGAGGGACTGGTTTTATCATCAATGGGTTACTTCATACAGGATATGTTATAGTCAAAAACTGAACGGATTTTGCGAACCTCTATATCAGGTAGTATGATTGAAGGGCTATAAAAACTTCTTGTCCAACGCGACCCCAGGATCTTTCTTTTATTAAGCCGCACGGCTAAGTTTAAAGCAGGGTAATTTAGTATTACCGACTGGGTCGATAAGGTAAATTGGCCACCTTGAAGAGTTCCAAAGCTGACGTTTCGAGCGTTAGTCCTTCTTCATCGCTCTGATCAAGGGCTAATGCTCGAAACATTAACTTTGAAACTCTTCACGGTGGCCAATTTACGTTATCCACTGTGTTGATAATACTTAATTACCCTGTTATGCTCTTCCGCCGACGCAGCGCTAGCATCACAGTTTGCTTAGAAACTTACCCTTTTTATTTACGAGTTTAAAGCAGATATTATGCCTTTCCTTCATCTTGTTCTGCTCAAGGTTATAGGCTCATAGTGTGCTCGCGTAGCTAACGTTGTGAATCTTTTGCAATCAGCACTAATAATTAACAATACGGTAATAATTATAAGGACTTATGAGGCAACTTCCGGCTCTATTCTGAGTGTTCAATGTGTTTTCAGAAGCCTTTATTTCGCAGTTTTATCTATGTAAGTTACTGTTATTTTAATTTTAGGACTTTGCTGGAAACAACGATAAACACTCTTTGGTTACGCATCAGTTTATTAAGCCTCTCTACGCTCGTTTGGTGAGGATCATCGCTTTAGCGTGGTACGGCTTCCCCTCTATGAGACTCGAGCTTTATGGCTGTAGGGAAGGTGATTTAAAGGTTTATTATTTCCTAGCTATTTTGGATGGAAGTATTGCTCCTTATACTTGAACGAGATGTTAATTCATTGAAGGGTTACTCCACCCTTTTCAAAATTTCCCGGTTTTCATTTAACATCCTGCCCGAAAAGAGGCACTGTGAAGTAGTGTCTTGCCCTAGGACAAGCATTGACACTGCTGGGGCTCAAGCCCAGACCTCTGGATTTAAAAATCCAGCGCGCCGACTACTGGTCTTAAGTTTCCCCCATCTGACTGAAGAACCGTACCTGTTTGTTTAAAACGCTTAACTTAAAAAAATATAAAAACATGAAGCTGACAGGCTTAAAAACCTCAAAACAAACTCTCAAGTGGTTGTAGATGTGAGCAATTGGAAAGTGAGAGGGGATTTGGACCAAAGCTTGTGTATGAAGCAAAATTTAACAAGTTTGGCGTTTTGAAGACTTAAAATTTTTATGACGAAATTTCAGGAGACACTATCAAAGATCCTTAAGACATTACTTTTCTTATAAGATGCTATATACATTTTAGTCAATTGCAAGTTTGAGCTCTTCACCGTGAAAAAGCAAATGCAAAAGAGGAAATTGTGTATTCTGAGACGAAGAATGATAAAGTTTAATCGCTCACTTGTATTGCATAAGAACCACATGCACAAACTTCTTCTGAGGCTCCTTAGATGAACAGCAGATCGAAAGTAACAAGACATGAACTCTGGCGTCTGACATAAACGCCCACCCAAAAGAGAGTTGCCGGCTCCAAATACCGGTGTTTGCTGACACAGTTCTTACCATTATTTTCTTTTATTTATTTTGTTTCGTGAATAGGTTTTGTTCCCCTCCCAAGCCCTGTTTGCATGGAAAGTCTCGGAATGGAAACCAGAAAAATTCCAGACTCCGATATTATAGCTTCCACAGAGTTTAGTGTCAATCACGCGGCACATTTAGCAAGGTTTGTAACGTTTTATTGTATCAAATGTATTGCGATTTAGCAATTTTCTCAATCCATTGATGTTAGTAGGACCAGCAGAGTTAGTTATAACTATTCCCTTACCTAAAAACCGGGTAGTGAATAATCCAAGACTGGGTTGGTTACCTTAAACCTGGGCAAGTCATCTGCAGTTTATATCAGATCATCTCCTATTTATGATATCTTGGGAAAATCTAAGATATCCAGGAATTCGCCCAGGTGGACTGCACATATCCTCCCCCTTCCCCTCGACCCCTTCCCTGGTGCATCCTCGTTCCAGTCCAAAGCATCTAAACTATATGTGAGGTAGTCCTTAAAGAAAAAACACAGGCCTTTAGACTTAAAAGAAAGAGAAAAAGTTAGGAGATCCCGCCGGAATAAGTAAGGTAAGGGGAAGAGGGGGGGGGAGGTAAAATTCTGTATCCGAGCTTAACCTTTCCTCAATCTCACAGATTGGAACTGCGCCCTCAGTCTGCTAAGAACGGAGGTTGGGTGTCGAGAATCAACAATCAGCTTCAATGGTTACAAGTAAAATTTGGTCGGAAAGTTGAGATCAGACGTATAGCTACCCAAGGAAGACATATATATGATCAGTGGGTAAAAAGCTACAGCCTGAGATTCAGCATGGATGGTTTGCTATTCATTCAGTATCAAACGAATAAAAATCAAACGGTTAGATTCTTTAACATATATGTACATGATTTATGATACCCACTGTTTGTTACTTCATGTTTTACTATTTCATTTTTGCTTTCTATGAATACTTGTTACTATAATAAACCTAACTGGGCCAATACATTACTTTCTGTTGACCTTTAGAGCATGGAAGGCGCCACCAGTAGTTTCTTTCTCTGGCAGAATTGCATGCCACAAGTCTCCATGCGAATGAAGAATTTACGGAGTGGCAAGGCATGCTGCACGTGTTCATCGAGTGCAAAGAGTGTCGCCAAAAAACATTGTTTTGCCTTGGGAAAACGACAATGATCAAGGATATTGTTCCTTGATTGTATGTAAACACTGTTTTTTAATTTTTGGCTCCTAATTAAGTCACCTTCAGTAACATTTGTATCACGCATATCCAACAGGTTTTTGATGGCAATTCAGACAGATACACCGTTGAAAGTCACGTGCTAAACCCACCAATTTCAGCTCGTTACATCCGTGTTCATCCGATTACATGGTATAGCCGCATTGCAATGAGGGTGGACTTCTACGGTTGCATTTCAGGTAAGGAAAGGTTTTGCCTTACGTCATTCTCTGTTGGTACCTTGACAACTTAAGGATCCTTCCATCCTATCTCAGTTTGCAATTACATGTTCTCAAAAGGTCATCATTTGCTGTTGGCTTCTTTCCCGCAAGGAATTAATCCAACAGTTAGATCAGTTACCAGGTGAAACTCACAACTGACGTAGAACACAGAAGTTTATGCGAAGGTTATTACTTGCATCATGAAAAAGACGCGGATTTGATATCTAGTTATCATAATGTTTATTTGTTATTATATGCATCTTAGTAACTTTGTCTCGAAGTGAGTGAGTTGTGAACCTGTATGAAAAGATATTCTTCTGTTAGAATGCTCATGACATGACTAAGTTTGGAGAAGGACTTGGACTGTGTCTGTTCACTGGGCATTCTATCGAATACAAAGTTGTTGGATTCAGGAAAGAAACAACTGCTTTTGGCAAGGCTATCTATATTACATTTTCTTATTTGTAGCCCTTTCTAGTTATATTGATGTAGCCTCTCGGAAAGAACATCTCAATGGCCATTTTCAGACTGCAGATAGTGTAACGATCTAATTACAGAACATGAACATGAAAGTTTAGTTAAATTTAGTCTCTCTCTCCATTTGTTTTGACAGTTTTTGTGTCTTTTTCCTAGATCCTCCAATTCCAATTGCTGTATACCCTTTGAATGGCGAGTTTGGCACCAGAGATTTAGGTCCCCATCAAAATTCACCAGGCATTCCGTATAATATACAACTCGCTCCAGGTCCCTTTGGGCAGCCAAGTGGCTCTGTCCGGTTCTCTGGTACTCCCTTTAGCTACATCGAGTTCCCCAACAACGGAGGACTGGACACAAGGTTTTCCTTGACAATCTTACTGTGGGTGTTTCCAGAAAATGTCGACGGTCCCATGATCACTTACGGAACTAAATATTCTAGTGTTCACTTTTGGATTGATAATGGTAAAACTTGGGCCAGATTAATGGAAAGACCCGGAGGAGTTTCTGGAGTGATACTACGAAATTCTTTGAACCATCATTCGTGGAATTTTATTGGATTTTCTTATGACTATGTGACAGGCGTTCAGAGAGTTTGGAACGACGGAAAAGTTTGTGATGCTGCAAACGTTGGTCAATTTGAGCTAAAAACTCAAAATGTCATTAGAATGGGAGTGAAAGATGGAGATCCAAGATTTCTTAAAGGGAGAATATCTTGCTTTCAAGTGTATGACAAGGCTTTGACTGAGAGAGAAGTACAAGCTGTTAGAGGACTCTGCTTTAGAAAAGGTTGGTGATCCTTGTAGAAACTGTAAATTTATATAAAAAGATTAAATGGTATTTACCAGATGCAGGAAATCCCACCTAGACCTAAAAGCCTATCATACCAATGTGACAAGGATTATTTGCTCTTTGCTATTAAAAGTAAGTGCCCTTAACTTGAGATGTTCCTGAATTTCATTATATATATGGTTTTTGCGGGTAATTTTGGAGATTCAGTGATGTTTGCATCGCAGGATGATTTCAAAATTTATTCTAGTGGGTAAGTCCTTCTAACTTAATCCTTAATTTTCAATATAAATAATACTTATGCATCGCCAAATATATGGATTTGAAAAATTAATTACATACCTTTTCTTCTACGGCTTATCTTCGTGAACAAATGTACTCAAATGCATTAGTGCGTTATGGAATCTTTTTTTTATCTATCAGTTCCATCGAATCCAGTGGCCTTTTTCCCGTTGAATGGACAATACGAGACAACAGACGCCAGTCACAGCCACAACCCTCCAGGGGAGGCGTCGAATGTTGAATTAGTCTCAGGGCCTGACGGTAACATGGGAGGTTCGTATCAGTTCTGGGGGAACTTAACCAGCTTCATACAATTCCCAAACTTTGGAGGACTAGACACGAGCTACTCGATGACGCTTTTGGCTTGGATCTATCACGAACAGAGAAAAGGTCCGATCTTAAACTACTTTTCACTTGGTTATTATGGAGTTCGATTTATGGTCAGTGAGCAGGGCTATTTTTTTGTTGAGTTACGCTCATCAGGGAACACAACGCTGAAAACTCTTGAGGGATCAGTCCTTCAAAGTAAAACGTGGCATTTCGTTGGGTCATCTTACAATTATGTTAGCGGAGAGTTCACAATTTGGCTCAATGGAAGCGTCGATAACAGAACTATTGTTGACACACCTGTCGAGTTGGCAACCCAAGAGAGTGCCTTTATGGACGCAACATCAAATTCCCAGTTTAAGGGAAGAATTTCATGTCTTCAGCTTTATGACAGAGTTTTAAGTGTGCTTGAGATTGAAGATGCAAAGCAATTGTGTTCTACAACAGGTGGGAAATCGTTCGATATCTATTACACTCATGTGGTCTTTCAACCTCCTCTTACATTTTGATATCTGCCTAAAGTTTCGTGTTGCTTACGAAATTTTCCTTTTTTTTTCGGAAAGATAATTTTTTGCTTTGCTTGGGACATGTATGAGGTATGAAGATATTCATACCTTGCTTTTTTTTCTCGTTTAGTAAGTTTTACTCTCTTTTATGCCTTAGGACGGTCAAATCGTAATCAAACTGTCTACGTGGGAGAAGCAGTAGAGTTGAAATGCGACGCTTTAAGCAATAAAACGGTTCAATGGAGCAAAGATGGCGCTGTTCTTCAATCAAAAACCACTGGCTATGGAACCAGCTTACTCATTGGCTCCGTTAAGTATTCTGATGAGGGGATGTACACGTGTGAAGTAATTAACAAAGCCGGGGCAATAGATGCTTCTTATAACGTAGCAATGAGGGTAAAAGGTCAGTATGTACATACTAAGCAATTTTCACCATATTTGCACTTAAGCAAAAAAAGTTTCAGATAGGAATCAGGAAATTTTCCAAAATGGACGATAGCATGCTAGTAGACAATGTGGCTTGTTTCTTATTCGAACAAGAAGGAAACCCAGTGGTGTCGTTAGGGCGTAGCGCGGCGCTGGACTTCAAATCGAACACTAACTACTGTGATTTCATACTGTTTTGTTTTTCATTTGAGCATCAGCTAACTTTTTACGTGAGACTTGTTATTCTTGGCGATGACAACAATAGAACATAGTAGGATGCCAGGAATTAGCTCCACTAAGTGCAGTCACACACCTCAACTTTCTTTGAGTCAGATAAAGAATGATGAACGTAGCTGTCGTGATATTTTTGTTTCCTTATAATAACATATTTCAGATCCGGGTTCCCTTTGCTCCGAGTTTAAAGACCATTATACTTCTAGCGGTAAATGGCTGCCATGGAGTGTTTTGCCACCTTTAAATGACAGTCGCACATTTTACGAGGAAAAATGGTTGCGGGCAGACAAAGGAATAGCTATGGCAAGCTCATGTATTTCGGAAGAGACCTGTGGTGTCAGGGCTCCTGGCTGGTTGAACGGTCAACATCCGTCGAGTGAGACTGGGATCGTTATTCGTCAAACCTGTTTCAAATTTCTCAACAACTGTTGTTATCATTCAATGCCTGTGCAGATAAAGAAATGCTCAGAATTTTTTGTTTACAAGCTACGGAAAGTTCACCCAATGATAGCTGGACGATACTGCTATACAGAAAGTAACCGAGGTAAAACTAAAGGCTCTTCTAGTATAAATTCTAGGATAAAAACCAACTAATTGAATTGAGTGAAAAGTTTGCTTAGGAATCATATAATCTTAATCTCGGTCGCTTAAAATGTTTCAAGAAATTATGGAACTAACCACATATTGCAACCACCAAGAGTAACCTACCTTTTCGAATTTAGTCTTTGACTTTTGAAATTCCTGCTCAACAACCTGGCTGCGTATCTGTGACGATAAGTTTGGACAATAACAATTATTGGTGGGTGATGGAATAAAAACGGTTTTGTTTAATGGAAAAGGTTTAAATTTCTGGAGTACACTTCTTCTTCTAATGTAGAAAGCATTAAATAATTACCAACCATTCACCACCGACACTGAGGTAAATAGTTGTTTTGATTAATGACAAAAAAATTGTTTTTACACGTTAATTTTATATTTTCATGTGCAAGTCTCGCATTCGTTGCTCGGAGGTGAATAGCAAAGAATGTTTGGAGTCTGAGTAGCCAATCAGAGCACACGTTCAACGCTATCCATTGTTTTACTATGTGTTTATACCGTTAATTTCAGACATGAGTTTTCATCAACTAATCTCGTTGTTCTCCAGATTTTTTAGAAGAAGACGCCATTTTAACTTCCCACAAAGCTGACTGGCTACTGATGGGTCACGTGATGGCATCCGAGATGTCTGTTGACAACTCGTTACAATGCATGCAGCATTGCGCAAACTCGGCTAACGGGCATTGTAGATCATTCAACTACAACAGGGTCACTGGTGAATGTCAGCTGAACAATGCAACAGGGCATGCCCAAAAGTCAGCTGACCAGTTGAAGACGAAAATAGGATACAGCCATTACTATGAAGCTGATAGACCAAGAAATATCATGGTGTTCCCTTAAAATCGAAACATTTCTGCAATCCCAATTTAGAAGTGATTGAAGTTTTTGTAAATTTTATTTCTTTAGCTTTTAGTGATTGTGCTCTCAGCACGTTATTTAACAAGGGCGGGTTTTAAATGTGCAATGCAAGCGCATGTGCCGTTGTAGCCTTGTCAATTGACCTGGTCTTTTGTATCGCCCCGATCATTCCCAATACTTCTCAAGCGATCAGAACTGTTTAATGACAACCCGGTTGTCAACCCTGGCAGGGCGAACAATCCCTAGCCGCTCAAACTGTCGGGAAGACTACTATTGTCAGGAGGAAAACAAGTTTATCAGTGCTGTCCGTTTGAGTCATCCATATGAATCATGGGATAGTGTCACAATATGCTAAAAACGGCGGAGGGGAGGGAACAAATGTGGGGGAGCCATTCCTAAGTTTCTGGTTTACTTGATTTTCTGATTGTATCATTAGGAGTTAAGTTTTGTCATAAAAAAAAGGCTCTCACGGTCCATGTTGATACAAATTCGTCATTCAAATGCACTGATGGTAACTCTAAATTGCAAGTGGAACGTTTTTCAAAAGGGGAGCGTAAAGTGATCCCGGTTCACGAGTTCGAGACTGGTAAAATAGACTTTCTGTAAGGAGTGCAAGATGAAAGAAAAGATAAATGAAAACCACACAATCTTCTAAGTCATTAAGTAGGTGAATTTTATTTATTCCCTTTACTAATGAGTGAAAAAACAGAGCTGATCTGACAGTATAAACTAGTAATACTTAACCAAGAACGCGTGAAGAACTTGCATGACTTGCAATCTCAATTAAAAGTAATGACCAAAAAATCCTGTAAATTATCAATTTAATTTGAAAAGGAAAAAAATGAAAACTAAAGAACGTATTCCTCAAAATGACGCTCCCTTAATTAATTAATTAACCCAGATACCTTATGAGATACGACACACATCTCATAGGTAACCCCTCCTTTCATCAAGATTAGTATACCTTCACTACAAATTTACCGGTTGTCCTGTTTTAAACGATTTTTCAATGGCATCAATAACGTAAGAGGAGCGAAGCCCATCCTGTTTGGAGACTTTTGAAACCTCTTTGTTATACATCACATCGATAAAATGATTCATTTCTAAATCGAAAGCTTGGGAATGTCGTTGCGGGAAGGAAAATTTGATAGGAGGCTTGGAGCTTCCCTCGGAATGAAAATGGGTTGAGGCCAAGGTGTTTTGGTTGTCGCTGGTAAGCATTCCACCAGATCCAAAAACTTCAATGCGATGATCGTAGCCGTAAACAGCTTCACGAGATTGATCAATCTGACCAATAGCGCCACTTGGAAACTTCATGATTACCCCAACTGTATCCACATCGTCCATCTCTGCAATGTGAGAGTGGAAGGCATGGGCGAGACAGAAGACCGTATGAGGAACTTCACCCATAATCCAGCAGATGATATCCACATCATGTATGCCACAATCGTGAAAGTACTCTCCAGAAATTTTTAGGAAATCTGTGGACGGCATGGGAGAGTCTCGACTTGTTACCTTGACCACTTGAACTTGACCTACATCTTCGTTTTGTACTCTGTCAAACACGGAACGGATGGTTGGATCGAATCTTCGGTTGAAGCCGCATAACAATAGAAGGTTACGGCTCTCGGCCTCCATATAACAACGCTCTTGCAGTAGTTAATCAAAAATCAAATAGTTGATTGTCAAGAAATCAATGGGGTTGTCACTCAGTTATAATTAGCTAACTGACAGCCAGTAAGTCTGTTGCTCAACTGTCAATCTCGTACATGTACGACTACCTTGTGAGCTAGTTGGTCAGTTGGTATTTTTTTCAGCTGTCTGACGATTTATTACGTGGTTGGTCAGCCGATCAGTCGGTGAGTCAGTGAATTAGCGAATCAATGAGTCAATGAGTCAATGAGACATTGAGTCAGTGAGTAATCGAGTCAGTGAGCCAGCGACTAAGTGAGTCAGTGAGTCAGTGAGTCAATGAGCCCGTGAGCGAATGAGGCAGTTAATCAGTCATTGTGTCAGTTAGTCAGTCAGTCAGTGAACCAGCCAGTCCGCGAGTCACTCAGTGCGTCAATACGTAAAGCATTCAACTGTTTGAAGTATATTGAAGTTTACATAACAACCAGGTGAAAAGTAGATTAAGATCGGACCTTTAATCTGTTCGTGATAGATCCAAGCCAAAAGCGTCATCGAGTATCTCGTGTCCAGTCCTCCGAGGTTTGGGAATTGTATGAAGCTGGTTAAGTTCCCCCAGAACTGATACGAACCTCCCATGTTACCGTCGGGCCATGAGGCTGATTCAAGATTCGACACTTTACCTGAAGGGTTGTGGCTGTGACTGGCGTCTGTTGTCTCGTATTGTCCATTCAACGAGAAAAAGGCCACTGGATTCGATGAAACTGATAGATAAAAAAAAGATTCCATAACGCACTATTGTATTTGAGTACATTTGTTCGCGAAGATAAGCCGTAGAAGGAAAGATACGTAATGAATTTTACAAATCCATATATTTTGCGATGCATAGGTATTATTTATATTTGAAATTGAGCATTAAGTCAAGAGGGCTTACCCACTAGAAAGGATTTTGAAAGCATCCTACGATGCAAACATCGCTGAATCTCCAAAATTACCCGCAAAGACCATATATAATAATAAAATCCAGAAACATCTCAAGTTAAGGGCACTTACTTTTAATATGATGGGGCAAATAATCCTTGTCACATTGGCATGATAGGCTTTTAGGTCTAGGTGGGGATTTCATGCATCGGGTAATTACCATATAATCTTTTTATATAAATTTACAGTTACTACAAGGTTCACTAACCTTTTCTAAAACAGAGTCCTCTTACAGCTTGTACTTCTCCCTCAGTCAAAGCCCTGTCATACACTTGAAAGCAAGATTATATTCTCCCTTTAAGAAATCTTGGATCTCCATCTTTCACTCCCATTCTGATGACATCTTGAGTTTTTAGCCCAAATTGACCAACGTTTGCAGCATCATAAACTTTTCCGTCGCTCCAAACTCTCTGAACGCCTGTCACATAGTCATAAGAAAGTGCAATAAAATTCCACGGATGATGGTTCAAAGAATTTCGTAGTACCACTCCTGAAACACCTCCGAGTCTTTCCACCAATCTGGCCCAAGTTTCACCATTATCGATCCAAAAATGAACACTAGAATATTTAGTTCCGTAATTAATCATGGGACCGTTGACATTTTCTGGAAACACCCACAGCAGGATTGTCAAGGAAAACCTTGTGTCCAGTCCCCCGTGTTGGGGAACTCGATGTAGCTAAAGGGAGTACCAGAGAACCGGATAGAGCCACTTGGCTGCCCAAAGGGACCTGGAGCGAGTTGTATATTATACGGAATGCCTGGTGAATTTTGATGGGGACCTAAATCTCTGGTGCCAAACGCGCCATTGAAAGGGTATACAGCAGTTGGAACTGGGGGATCAAGGAAAATGAGAGCAAAATTGTCAAAACAAATTAATGGAGAGAGAAAGACTGGATTTAACCGAACTTTCGTGTTTATGTTCTGTAATTAGATCGTCACACTATGTGCAGTCTGAAAACGGCCATTGAGATGTTCTTTCCGAGAGGCTACATCAATATAAATAGAAAGGGTTACAAATAAGAAAACGTAATATAGATAGCCTTGCCAAAAGCATTTGTTTCTTTTCTGAATCCAACAACTTTGTATTCGATAGAATGCCCAGTGAACAGACTCAGTCTAAGTTCTTCTCCAAGCTTAGGTTAGTGATGTCATGAGCATTCTAATGGAAGAAGATCTTTTCACACAGGTTCACAACTCACTTACTTCGAGTCAAAGTTACTAAGATACACACGACCAATAAACATTAAGATAATTAGATATCACATCCACGTTTTTTTCATGATGCAAGTAATAACCTTCGCATGAACTTCTATGTTCTACGTCAGTTGTGAGTTTCACCTGGTAACTGATCTAACCGTTGCATTGATTCCTTGCAGGAAAGAAGCCAACAACAAATGATGACCTTTTGAGAACATCTAATTGCAAACTGAGGTAGGATGGAGAGATTCATAAGTTGTCAATGCACCAACAGAGAATGACCTAAGGCAGAACCACTTCTTACCTGAAATACAACCGTAGAAGTCCACCCTCATTGCAATGTAGCTACGCAATGTAATCGTATGAACACGGATGTAACGAGCTGTTATTGGTAGGTTTAACGCGTGACTTTTGACGGTGTATCGGTCTGAATTGCCATCAAAAACCTGTTAGATATGCGTGATACAAGTGTTACTGATGGTAACTTAGGAGCCAAAAATAAAAAACAGCGTCTGTATACAATCAAGGATCAATATGCTTCATCATTATCGTTTTCCCAAGGCAAAACAATGTTTTTTGGCGACACTTTTTGCTCTCGATGAACAGAATCTAACCGTTTGATTTTTATTCGTTTGATACTGAATGAATAGCAAACCATCCATGCTGAATCTCAGGCTGTAGCTTTTCACCCATTGATCATATCTATGTCTTCCTTGGGTAGCTATACGTCTGATCTCAACTTTCCGACCAAATTTTACTTGTAACCATTGAAGCTGATTGTTGATTCTCGACACCCAACCTCCGTTCTTAGCAGACTGAGGGCGCAGTTCCAATCTGCGAGATTGAGGAAAGTTCAAGCTCGGATACGGAATTTCCCCCCCCCCTCCTCTTACTTATTCCGATAGAGCTATCTTCTAAGATTTTTCTCTTTCTTTTAAGTCTGAAGGCCTCTGTCTGAAGGACTACCTCGCGTTTAGTTTTGATGCTTTGGACCAAAACGAGGCTGCACTGCAGGCACGGGAAGGAGAGAGAGGATATGGGCAATCCACCAGGGCGAATTCCCGACTTGATTTTCTTCTCTAGATTTTCCCAAGATATCATAAATAGGAGATAATCTGATATAAATTGCAGAGGACTTGCCCAGGTTTAAGGTGTCTAACCCAGTCTTGGATTATTCACTACCCGGTTTTTAGGTAAGGGAAAAGTTATAACCAACTCTGATAGTGCTACTAACATCGATGGATTGAGAAAATTGCTAAATCGCAATGCATTTGATACAGTAAAACGTTACAAACCTTGCTAAATGTGCCGCGTAACTGACATTAAACTCTAAAGAGCAGTAATATCGAAGTCTGGAATTTTTCTGGTTTCCATTTCGAGACTTTTCATGCAAACAGGGCTCAGAAGGGGAACAAAACCTATTCACGAAACAAAATTAATAAAAAAAATAATGGTAAGAACTGTGTCAGTAAAACACCGGTATTTTGATCCGGCAACTTTCTTTTGGGTGGGTGTTTATGTCAGACGCCAGAGTTCATGTTTTGTTACTTTTGATCTGCTGTTCATCTGAGCAGCATCGTAAGAAGTTTGTGCATGTGGTTCTTATGTAGTGCAAGTAAGCGATTCAACTTTATTATTCTTCGTCTCAGAATAAACTATTTTTCTTTTGCCATTGCTAGTCACGGTGAAGAGGTCAAGCTTGCAATTGACTAAAATGTATATAACAACTTATACCAAAATAATTTCTTAAAAATCTTTGATAGTATCTCCGTAAATTTCGTCATAAAAATTTTAAGTTTTCAAACGGCTAAATTTAGGCCGGAATTTGTTAAAATTGTGCTTCATACACAGACTTTTGTCCAAATCTCCTCTCACTTTCCAATTGCTCACATCTACAACAACTTGAGAGCTTGTTTTGAGGTTTTTAAGCCTGTCAGCTTCATGTGTTTGTATTTTTTTTAAAGTTAAGCGTTTTCAATAGGTTCTTCAGTGGGATGGGGGAAACTTAGGACCAGTAGTCGGCGCGCTAGATTTTTAAATCTAGAGGGCTGGGCTCTAGCCTCAGCAGTGTCAATGCTTGTCCTAGGGCAGGACATTGTACTTCACAGTCCCTCTTTACGGGCAGGATGTTAAATGAAGACCGGAAAAGTTTGAGAAGGGTGAGCTAACCCTTCAATGAATTAACATCTCGTTCAAGTATAAGGAGCAATACTTCCATCCAAAATAGATAGAAAATGATAAACCTTTGAATCACCTCCCCTACAGCCATAAAGCTCGAGTCTCATAGAGGGGATATCGTGCCACGCTAGAGCGATGATCCTCACCAAACGAGCGTAGAGAGGCTTAATAAACTGATGCGTAACCAGAGTGTTTATCGTTTATTCTGTTTTTACTCCAACAATTCATGATTCTACTCAGGCTTACCGAATATGAGATTACCATAACCAACGGGGCACGTATAATTGTTAAAGATTCCGTGTTTTAATTTTCGGCCACTGACATTGACATAAGCGTTTCTCGGCAAAATTTAATCCAATGTCCAACAAATCTGCATTTTACTACAAAAAATTGTGATAAAACATTTCTCAAAAACATTTTAAGATTGCTAAAAACAATGACGTTTCGACGTTGGCTAAACGTCATTATCAAGTCGAAAAAATATTTGTTTGCTGCAGGCTATCTATACCAATGGATGATAAAAAGCTAAATTGTAAGAAAAAAACAATAGTAATCAAACAAAAAGTTTGGCACGTATGGAGTCCATCTGGATATTTAAATTAGGTTAAAGAGATTATTGATGAACAGCATTTCAAAGACTAACAATAAGAATTTCCCTGGCACTTTCTTAAAACTCTAAATTGGTTTTCTTTCAAGAGGTGGTTGCTACAGTGAGCTTCCACGAAATGTCGACCGATTGCCGAATATTTGTGCTCAGCAATGTGTTGATGAAGGTATCAGGCTGTGTACCCGACATAATCTGCATCGCACAGATCATATGAGAAACAATCACTGACGCCTTTGCCTTTGCTGATGAGATTCGTACCCATTCTATGAATGATGAAGACATACTGGTCTCTTACCTGACATAATCTGCATCTTTATTATTAAGACCGATGTATCTTCATCATTCATAGAATGGGCACGAAAACGTCGTTTTTTGGCAATCTTAAAATGCTTTTAAGAAATGTTTTATCGCAATGTTTTATAGTTAAATGTAATTCTAAATTACTTCTTCTTCTTCTAAATCTGCATTTAGAAGTTATGAGTAAATTTTTTCACCACTAGAAAAGACGAAAATCAGTAAAATTAACTTAAAATTTTCAGAATATAGGCCAAAAACCACCAGTAATTGCCATACTTCAGATTTCATTTCTTATCAATCATCTCTTTTCATAAACTGACTGGTTGTCCGGTCTGGAAAGACTTCTCAATAGCTTCCACGACGGTGAATGAACGTAGTACATCATCTTTGGAGATGAGCAAGTCATCTTTACGTTTGATTACGTCGATAAAGTGATTCATTTCTAACTCATAAGCTTCGGAATATCGTTGTGGAAAGGAAAATTTGATGGGATTCTGTGTGCTCCCACTGGCGTGAAAATAGGTGGCACAGAGACTGCTTTGATTGTCGCTGGTGAGCATTCCATCAGATCCAAACACTTCAACACGTTGATCATAGCCATAAACAGCATGGCGTGACAGATCTATCTGACCGATGGCGCCACTTGGAAATTTCATGACCACTCCAACTGTATCTACATCATTCATGGCTCCGATGTATGCATGGAAGGCATGGGCGAGACAGAAGACTGTATGAGGAGCTTCACCCAGCATCCAGCATATGACGTCTACGTCATGAACGCAGCAGTCATGGAAGATTCCCCCGGAAATCCTTAGAAAACCTTCTGATGGCAGGGGAGAGTCCCGACTGGTTGTCTTAACGACCTGAATGTTGCCAATGTCGTCTTTTCGAACTCTGTCGAACACAGACCGAACTGTTGGATCGAATCGTCTGTTGAAAGCGCACAGTAATGGAAGGTGTTGGCTGTCGGCTTCTTTGTAACAACTCTCTGAGAAACATCGTAGAAATAAATAGATTAAACAATCAATCAAATTTGGGAACAAATTAGTCACACAAATGTGACGAGCAAGAAGAAAATCAACGGAAGACAGGAGCGTATCCAGGAACGTTTGATGGGGAATGGATTAAAATTTTGACTCAGAAAACACAGAACTTATCATTTACTCTCGAGCTTAAATAAGCAAGGAAATGTTTCATTACATTTAAATTTTACATACCTAATATTGATTACCAACATGCGATTCTACTATTGTTGTAAGAATTTGGTGTCTGACAAGAATTAAAGGAAAAAAACTACTGGTCTAATAGGGGAGGGGGTCTGGATAACTTTTTACCTATAGCCTCTAAGGTAGGAGCAACTGGTTTCTCACAGAAGACAGCTTTTCCCGCTCGTAAACATCGCATCACAATATCCTCGTGCATGTCAGTTGGAGTGGCTACCACTGCAGCCTGCACGGTTGGGTCAAGTAACGCTCTGTTCATGTCGGATGGGGCAATAACTTGTGTATCCGTGAAATTTTCTGTCACGAAGTTCTTGGCCTTGTCTTCGTCAATATCTACGATCCATTTCAGGGTTGCCTGTGGGTTTCGTATGAGGTTTGTGGAATGGATGATACCTGCTCGACCCAAACCAAACACCACAAAACCGATACGGGAACCGTGACTCATAGTATTCAACTAAAAGGGAAACATTAAATAGAAAAAGCGTTATGGGTCACATTCAGCACGACTTCCATCAACAGGAAGACTTACTACTGACGTAAGGCCTATGGAATTCAGGAAATTACGTCTTGAGTAAATTCAGTTGATCTCACGTGGCCATGACAAGCTGCCGTAAATAATCGGTCTTTGTTCACATTAGTGGAGTCAAAACTGACTTCGTGCTTAACATTACTCTCATAAAGAAAAATCTGTCTCTAATTTCAGTTCCCTCTGAACACGTAGGAGGTATTATTGCTAGTGACGTGCAAATCACATTTTCCAAACATGACCGACTAACAATGAGATGAATAAACATATTTTGTGATAACAAACACTTCGACGCCAACAAAATGAATTTGGGGTTTATCTCGGTGTTTAATAGTATGCGTTCACAACCCAAAATACAAACAGAATTAATAATTTTTCTGGGATGCAAAACGAATACGGTAATGTCACGCGACGTTATTTATAAAATGTCGTCATATCATGAGACAAAAAGAAAGTCCGGCCTTCTAACGATTTCCTCCTGTTCGATGTTTGTATTTTCTCAGTTTCGATTGGTTCTGAATGCATAGTTGGACTCACTCAAGTGCAAAGAAGCATTACTACGTTTGTTGACTCTACAATATCTACGGCATTGAGGAGATTCAAGATCTAATCAATGTTTATCGACATTTTTGTGGTTCACATTTAGGTCGGAGAACTCAAGTTGAGTCACTACGACTATTTATATTTCTCTATTTTGATATTTCATCAAACGAATAACGTCATGGGCGGCCCAAGCTCACGTCTCGAGAAAAAGCCAAGGATTAATTCATGAACGCATCACGCGATGTGTGACTCGGTGTTAAGTTACGAGAGGAACCGTTGAAAATTTGAACACGTTATAAAGAATAGTATGGGGAACAAAATATGGTCGATTTACAACGATAAATATTTCGAAATATGAATATTTTACACGGAAAATCAATAACACTTGCTCACGTCCTGTGTGTCGAGACGTGAGCTTGAGCCCACTGAGGTAACGTATGCTTTAAGGTAAGATTTCCGGATAAGCCCACACTTAAGTGCCTACCTTAGTTTCAGTGTCGACAGAAACCGAAAACGTAATCAGTAAACATTCCCTAACCAAAGCAACGTAAATTTAAATTAAAAATCTACTCAATGTTTATCGACACCTGTGCGGTTCATACGTTGGTCGAAGAACTCAAGTTGAGTCACTACGACTATTTATATATATATTTTTTCTTTTGAAAGTGAAACGAGTAACGCATTCTTGAAGCAAGATTTCCGGATATAAGCCCACGGATGAGTGCCTACCTTAGCTTCAGTGTCGACAGAAACCGAAAACGGAAACAGCAGACGTTCCCCAACCAAGGCAACGTGAAGATATGTCTAACCAAACTGTTCAGAGACAAAACGTTACAATATTTACGGATTCTCTTTATCATTATTTCGTAGCTGGACGGTTTCCGGCGCGAGTCATTCGATCCTTTCTCTCAACACATCAGATATTGTACGTGTAGATCGTTGCGCAAGAAGCAGTGCATGTTAACGCCGCATGATTGCGTTGCATCATGGTAGCGTTAAAAAAATAAGGAATGAGCTAAAACGACTTAAAAAGAAGGGGAGATATGAGATGGCATGAAATGGCTCAGCGCTCCGTAAGTTTGTCACGCATTCCTCTCAATAGCATTTGTGTTTCGCGGCTGTTCGAGATCAGTGGAGGCGCTTAATTGCCGCTCAGATCCAAGACAAACCGGGAAACCGAAAACAAAATGCTAAACCACGTAAAATCAGCGAACCGAAATGAACAATCCTATCCGATCCGGTCCGATCCAGATTTTGTCAACGCCGCATTGTTCACATCACTCAAGGTCATATTAGGTTATCCAGGGTCATTTTAGAAATCACTCTAAGTCATTTTAAGTGGTAGTGTGTGACCGGCTATAACCGCAAAAGGCGTATTGTTGTATTGCGTGCAGTGCGTTACACAGCGTTACTATCGTAAGGACATTTCCTATATATACTCAGTCGTGTTGTGAATCTTCTTTCCTAAATAAAAACCAATTAATTGATCGCAATTATTGTGTGGTAAATCTATTATTTGATCATTGAAAGAGGGACAGTTAAATTAGAGTAGCGAAAGGAATCACTCAACTCGTGAATTACTCTACATTGTGCAAGGCGACACATAGGGTCAGCCGGGTAACAAAAGGCGGTCGACCGTTAAAAGATGTTGATTGGCTTGTGCGACTCCTGCCATTCGCTAGCGCTTTGAAATCTTCTGCCCTCAAAGTTCAGCTGTCATAAGTATATATTTTAATGATTTTCCTTTGCGATGCGACAATAAGGGTTAGTTTTAGGGTGTCATTTCCCCATCTGCATGTTCTTGAAGTTTGGCAAAGCTATATGAGATTGTGTTACAAAAGGTAAATAAATATAAATTTTCTGTGTGCATCTGTTGTTTTTAAGTATACTTTCTCTCCCGCAGAAAATGACTCCGGAGATAGGTTTCTCAAAACCTTCATATAGGTGTCCTCTATTCTTTAATCGTATTATGAAATTCTCATGCTACATTTTTTATTAAACGTGGAGCGTGACGAAGTCGTTCTTAGCTGGCAAAGGGCTTCTTAAGGCCTATTTACACGGCACGACTTTGTCGCATGCGACAAGCTTACGAAAGGCCTACGACATGACTTAAGAGTCGTAAGCGAGTTGTAGGTTTGATTTACACGAAACAATTCGTGTCGTAAGCCTGTCGTAAGCTTGTCGCATGCGACAAAGTCGTACCGTGTAAATAGGCCTTTATACGGATCCCGTTTTTACGCCAGGTGAGTGACACGAGAACAAATTCGTGTATTAGGTCTCTGTCTTTTTGTAAAGCGTTTAATATATAACTCGCGTCTAGGAATGTATTTTCTGAATTTGTTATTATTCACAACCTAGGGAGATCGGATAAATTTTACTGTGACTCAACCAAATTCATGCGACAACCCCTTCCCGCTAGTTGATAAGTAACGACGGGTCCTTATTATGGGACCGGTCCTTCTTACCGAAGACTGACGCTCTGACATGATACGCGCATCATGAATTTGTTTGTACATTTTGTACATGGTATTCCATTCTCGGCAGATGATCACAAAACCTCAACACAAGCAAGGTTCTCTGCTATGTTAATTTCAAGACTATTCTGTGAGACAGAGAACTGGTTCTGACAAAGAGCCCATAATTATTCAACAACAAAAAAACGAGCAAACTGCCTGAAGTCCGAGAAATATCAGCAAATGTTGGATTTGTCATAGAATTTAACTGAGAAGCTGATGTGTGAGTTTTTAAGATTAATCTCATAGCAAAGTAAAGCAAAACCAAAGCAATAAATGCCGTCGCTCAGTTGTAAGTTGTTTCAAAGCCATTTCCAATTCAGCTAATGCACCTGATGGTATCAGGAAAGTGGTGTTAAATCATGCACAAGCACACAAAATACTCTGAATTCTTGTAATTTTGCAAAACATGGATCATTTTAATTAAATATTGTACCTTTTGACTCCAGGCCCCTATTACCTGTGGCTTCCTGATGCCAAAAGTAAACCTGAAGAAAAACATAATGAGAACAAATGAACATTATTTTATAGTTTACTCTAATGTGTTACAGATAAAAAAGTTTCAGTAAGACAAAGTTAGGGATACATGTTATGATTAACCTAAGATTCCCCCTGGAGTATATAAAATATTAAAAAAGACTACTGTGCGCAGTGGCTATTGCCTCTTCCAGGGGTTCAGTAACAATAGTAAACCACTCAAAAATTGTAGGAGGATGAAAAATAAGGGATGCTTGAGTCTATTCATGTTCGTCAAGTGACCAGTGCCCAAAGCCTCTCTCTTTCTATTTCTCACTCTACTATATTTCACAGTTATTCACCACAGTGGAGGTAATATCCACCAATTTCACCAACATTGAGGTAAATAAATTTTTTAGTGTGTACCATACAGATACAAAAAAAGTCAGTGTATTTCTCTTACTATACCAAACAATAGTCAGAAATTAAAATCCTGATGCCTGATTTTGCCTCTTCAGCTACTGTGAGGTAAATATTACTCACTATTTACCTCCAAATTAGCCAATCAGCATGTGCAAAAAGGGACCATAAACTTGAGTGGTATGTACTTATTAAATATGTGCCATTTTAAATATTGGGCTCTGTTTTTACTAAATGAACCCCAGACACAGACTGGAAGAGGATAATGCTGTTGAGTGTTGACATGCATTAATTAGCAAATGCTAACCAACCTTCTGTAAGTCAAAAGAGTCTTCACCAGGTCTGGAGTAGAACAAACCCAATACTGTTTGAGCCTTTATACTGCCTGTAGGTTTACCATCTCTTGCTGCTTCAAGAAACCATCTCTCTGCCTCCAGATTGGACTGTTTGATGACAAACCCTTCATAATAAGCTCTCTCCACATTACACTGCCCACATTATACTGGGCAATTTCTTTTTTTGATGACATTTTTTGATGATATTTTTGTGATCAAAGAAAACATGGACATTCACCCTGAAACTCTGCTGCTGAACATACTCTCTAATGACTTCAGGGGCAAGCCAAATTAGAGTAATACAAGCCATAAGTTGCACAGACTGCTTTGTGTCTTAACCTTTCACAGAAATTTCATGATACATGGGTTAAAACCTTTTGGATACCATGTGGTCAATGTTGTTCTTCACAGATTTGTTTGTCTGTTGTATACTTGTGTGTGCAAGGTGGTGGCCTTCAAGTCCAGTATATTTGCATTTATCGCGGGAATTCTATTTGCTACACATCTTGTCCATACAGAAGCTGTAAGTTCAGGTCATGCCACTCTTTCGCAACCTTCAAACTTCTAAGATCTGTTGTTAACTATTCCATGAAACAGGGAATCTATTTGTTTTATGCAATGAAAAAGCAAAAGGTTATTAATCTAAACATCATATATGCATCTTTCCTCCAATAGATCACGAGGATCAAACTGCACATGATTCAGTTTATCATATAAATTACATTGGAACTTCTGTGAACTGTTGCCTTACTTGCTGAGTACAAAAAAACTATGAGAGATCACAAGACATTGGAGCTACAGTTTAGGTGACATTAAATGACTTAAAAATGTTCTTTACCCTTTAACTCCTAAGATCTCATAAGTAATTCTCTTTACTGTCTGCCAAACAATTCTCATTATGTAAGTTTGGAGAATTTGGTATTGGATCAACTAGTAATCCCATAATTGATATTTTTCTTTATTCTCATCTCTTGTTTTTATGATTTTTTATAGATATAGTAAGGAGAAATTCTGTCTTGGTCACTCATGAAAGTTAAAGGGTCTAGAGGAAATAGCCTGAACCTCAAGTTGATAGAAAAAAATCAAGAAAAAGCAATTTTTAGTGAAAAAGGAAGAAAGAAAGAAGTTATTTCATGAAACAAGTGGATCCTCTTTTCAAGAGTATTGTTTGCCATTTGTATGTTTTAAATCTTTGTTCAACTATCTTTTAGGAAGTTTTTATGAAATAAAAACAACCCATGTTCCTGTTTGACTGTATTTACCAGCAGAGTTGTTGGAGAAAGAACTGTATCAATTGTTCTCTCTGTGTCTGTAAGTGCTAGTAAATTTGTTTCTAAAAAGTGTAATGTGATTTGACAGTGTGGAGGCATATATTTAGGATTTAAAGTTTTGTAGGGATTTTGAGAAAAGAGTTGAAAAAAGCAAATGACCTAGCTGATTATGTTCAGAGTTAATACCCTTTTTACTCACTTGAGGTAAACCTGGATGTTTTTCTTTTTTAGCCACTGGTTTTTTGTCTCATGGCATTCAGAGTATGGATGCTTGGAGGAAATCTACCACATTTTACACTTCAGGACAACCCTTCCTCATTTTCAGACTGTCTCAGTTCTCACATCATGACTTACTCATATCTGATTGCATTCAACTCTTGGTTGCTTTTATCATTGAGTGTGTTGAGCTATGATTGGCAGATCGGAAGCATACCTCTTGTGGAATTGCTGATGGACTCCCAAAACTTAGGCACACTGATGTTTGCCATGATAGCTGTTCTTCTGGTTTATTTTGCTGTGTTCTCCAATGATACCCTGGTAAACAGTGGTTTCTAAATACATCTGCATTTCACTTCAATCATACTGACTTTTGTTAAACATAGGCATGCTCTGTTATTTTTTGGATGGGTGGATGAATTGAAAAATTTTAAGTGATGTCTACATTTTTACAAAAGGAAAGAGTATTATAACAGAAAAGAACAAGAATGTCGAGTAAACTCAGACACAGGTATTTTTTGGTTGATTGTATGTGTTGTGCGAATAACTGTAACCAAAAATAAACTGTATTGGTGCCACAGATACCTTAATGGTTCCTGACACTAACATAGAGTTATTATTATCTTTTTTTTAAATAACTCAAAAATGACCCAGGACCTTCAGTTCATTACATGTGTATTTGATTCCATTTTCCTTTGCCTTGCATTCATAATAACAAGCTGAGAAGGAAAAGGGAGCTGATAAAAACAAAGCAGTTTGAAAAAACATAGGCATGCTATGCATGCAAGAATTATTTTTTGGGGGTGGGTGGATTACTTGAAACATTGTATGTGATGTCTACATTTTTACAAAAGGAAAGAAGAGTATTAACGCGAAAAAGAACGAAAATGCCGAATTAAATCTCACACAGGTATTTTTTGGTTGATTGTATGTGTTGTGCGAATAACTGTAACTGAAAATAAACTGTATTGGTGCCACGGATACCTGTAAGTACATAATGCAGACTGCAGACCGGATACAAAATGTAGACTAGGTACAAAATGTTGACTGCAGAGTGGTTACAAAATGCAGAATGAGAATCTAAAGAGTTTTTTCGTCTGGTATGTGATAGCATGTTATCTTACAACTTACCGAGCGTCACGCAATCGCTCCTCCGTGACACCTTTCACGATTATTTGCACTATTGTGGAATATTCCTAGCCCGTTTCTTGATCAAAGTCGATCTTAATATAATTTCAAGCCTTCGTATAGTCTTCTCCCTTTGCGCACGAGTTGTTTGGTGTGATGTCTGTACAGATTTTACTAACAATAAAAGTAGATGTAGATGTAAATGAGATGTCACTATTGAATATTTAACGCACGCAATATTTGAGAAACAATGACAGCTTTGCACGTGGTCCGTATTATTATCTTTTAAGTAGTATGTGTTTATTTTGTCGACACAAATGCGGATTGAGACCAAAACTGTTCCTTGGACTTGATACATTTTCGACGTTAGTGGATTACATCATATTAACTTACCTCCGTAAATCATTCATTCCAGATAACAAAATCAAATAAACATGCCAACGATGGTATCTGAATTCGTCCATGGCCAAACACGAACGACTTCACAAGATCACTTTCTCCAGCCATCGGAACCATATACAATATCGTCCATAGTTAATTTTAATCAGACATTCATCTAGAGATCGAGATAGCACCGAGCAAACCAATCCAGAAAAATACAATCGGCCTAATCAACAACTCATGAATCTTGCAACACAGCTTGCCGTTAAAGAACTGCTAAAATCAAAATGTTTGGTGTAATTCATTAACACCTCAAGTAATATTTGATTCCAAATTTTTCCATTCACTCTCGTCGTGAAGGAACAATGACCATGATCGTGCTACATTGCACAGGACTCCATTTTCTCTCGAACAACTATCCACCATTTTCACAGCATGTAACACGTTTACCGTAGGTGATGTCTTTCATCTGTCCAGTAGTATCGCATTTCTCATAAAGCGCGGTAAAATACACGTTAAAAATACAGAAAAGCCAACATTTCTCATGCTAAAAGATGATTATATTTTACGAACCGCTCTCTCCGAATCCCGCATTACTTCGTTGAGCACCTCTCAAACCAAAAAACAAAATCGACCCTCTGATTGATGCGAGATACATACCCTAAACGATCTAATTGGTGCGAGCAACATACTACTCTCTATATGCTGACGTGGAGTTTTTTTTTTTTTTTTTATAACTCAAAAATAGAAACAAACAAACAAAAGCAAAAAACCTTAAGCCATTTTGTGCGCAAGTAAGGGAAATTTTCAGAAACTTTCTGTTACTCTTTGAATCCTAAACCAGTTCCTGCACGAAATAAATTAGTTTGGTAAAAACTGGATCACCGTTGTTGAATTTCTTGCCTTCTGATTGGCTGAACCGAGTTATGTTATGACCTTGTAACCTAGCTCACAGCTCATAACCTAGCTACGACAAATATTGTTAATGAATTCGTCTGCAAGCGAGCAAGTGCATGAGCGAGCCTTGAAGAAATGGCCGTAAAAAGTCGGTTTGCCCCAGAGTATGAAACTTAAAAAAATAGCAGAACTAATAGAAAATGCGACTTCCATATCCACCAAAAAGCCACTAAATTTGGTATGAAATTTTTCAAGGAATGTAACGGAAATTTAGGCAGTTTTGCTTGATGCATTACAAGATTAATTTGCATGTTGCAACGACATTTGGGACAAGGGAAAGTCAATTGTCTTCCGGTCGTTGTCAAACCACATAATAGCTAGTTGTTAGGGTTATTTCTTTCTGTTGTTACTCCAACAATTCATGATTCTACTCAGGCTTACCGAATATGAGATTACCATAACCAACGGGGCACGTATAACTGTTAAATATTCGGTGTTTTAATTTTCGGCCACCATCATTGACATGAGCGTTTTTCGGCAAAATTTAATCAAATGTCCAACAAATCTGCATTTAAAAGTAATAGTAAAATTTCTTCATTTTCAGAAAAGAGGAAAATCACTAAAATTAACTTAAAATTTCAGAATCTAGGCCAAAAACTACCATTAATTGTAATATTTCAGATTTTAGTTCTGGTCAATCATCTCTTTTCATAAACTGACTGGTTTTCCGGTCCGGAAAGACTTCTCAATAGCTTCCACGACGGTGAATGAACGTAGTACATCATCTTTTGAGATGAGCAAATTGTCTTTGTGTTTGATTACGTCGATAAAGTGATTCATTTCTAACTCATAAGCTTCGGAATATCGTTGTGGAAAGGAAACTTTGATGGGATTCTGTGTGCTCCCACTGGTGTGAAAATAGGTGGCACAGAGACTGCTTTGATTGTCACTGGTGAGCATTCCACCAGATCCAAACACTTCAACACGTTGATCATAGCCATAAACAGCATGGCGTGACATATCTATCTGACCGATGGCGCCACTTGGAAATTTCATAACCACTCCAACTGTATCTACATCATTCATAGCTCCGATGTGCGCATGGAAGGCATGGGCGAGACAGAAGACTGTATGAGGAGCTTCACCCAGCATCCAGCATAGGAGATCTACGTCATGAACGCAGGAGTCATGGAAGATCCCCCCGGAAATCCTTATATAACCTTCTGATGGCGGAGCGGAGTCCCGACTAGTTGTCTTAACGACCTGAATGTTGCCAACGTCGTCTTTTCGAACTCTGTCGAACACAGACCGAACTGTTGGATCGAATCGTCTGTTGAAAGCGCACATCAATGGAAGGTGTTGGTTTTCGGCCTCCTTATAACAATGCTCTGAGAAACATCGTACAAGAACGAATAAACATATAGATTAAACAATCAATCAATTAAAACTGTAAGGGGGACAAACTAGTCACACAAATGTGACGAGCAAGACGAAAATCAGCGGAATACAGGAGCGTATCCAGGAACATTTGATGGGGAATGGATTCAAATTTTGACTCAGAAAACACAGAAGTTGTCATTGTTAAATAGGCCTGGAAATGTTTCAGAACATGTAAACTTGAAATACCTAATATTGTTTATTAGCATGCGATTCTGCCATTGTAAGAATTTGGTGTCAGGGGTCTGGATAACTTTTTACCTATAGCCTTTAAGGTAGGAGCAATTGGTTTCTCACAGAAGACAGCTTTTCCCGCTCGTAAGCAGCGCATCACAATATCCTCGTGCATCTCAGTTGGAGTAGCTACCACTGCAGCCTGAACGGTTGGATCAAGTAACGCTTTGTCCATGTCGGATGGGGCAATAACTTGTGTATCCATGAAATTTTCTGTCACGAAGTTCTTGGCCTTGTCTTCGTCAATATCTACGATCCATTTCACCGTTGCCTGTGGGTTTCGTATGAGGTTCGTAGAATGGATGACCCCTGCTCGACCCAAACCAAACACCACAAAACCGATACGGGAACTGCGACTCATAGTATTTAACTAAAAGGGAAAAAAGAAAATATAAAAAAAGACTAATAAAATAGAAAAAGCGCTATGGGTCACATTCAGCACGACGCACAACAACAGGAAGACTAATCACTGAAGCAAGGGCAATGGAATTCAACTATGTCTTGAGCTGATCAGTCAGTAAGTGGATTAGTCTGGAGTTGATCAGTTGACCTCGCGTGACCGTGATAAGCTGCCTGGAATAATCGATCTTTGTTCACATAAGCGGAGTCAAAACTGACTTCGCGCTTAACTTTACTCTCATGAAGAAAAATCCATCTTTAATTTCAGTTCCTTATGAACCCTACAAGTGACCGACTAACTGATGGATCGATCAGCATTTTAAAATAAATGGCGCGTGAAAACGTAAGTGGTATGATTGCTAATCACATGCTAATCACATTTTCCAAAACTGACTTCAACTTAAAGCACAATAAAATCGAAAGTTAGCTCGGAGGCGAATAAACGTATTTTGAAATAAGAATCACTTCAACACTGACAAAGTAAATCTGGGGATTTTCTCGATGTTTGATAGGATGCATTCACAACCCAAAATACAAAGTGAATTAATTAATTTGTTTGAGATGCAAAACAAAGACATAAGTGCCACGCAACGCTATTATAAAATGTCCTCATATCATAGCACGAAAAGAAGGTCCACGCACTGAAATGATTTCCTTCTGTCTGCAATGTTTGTATTTTCTTACTTTCGTTATGTTCTGAATGCATGGGTGGACTCACTTATGTGCAAAGGAGTCTTACGACGCTTGTTGACTCTAAAATATCTTAGCTAAAATTTAGCTTTAAGATCTAGTCAATGTTGATCGACATCTGTGTGGTTCACACGTAGGTCGGAGAGCTTAAACCACGACTATTTACATTTTTTCGCTTTTGATATTTCATAAAAGAGAAACGAGTGCCGTATGCCTTAAGACAAGATTTCCGGATGAGCCTACAGTTGAGGGGCTACCTTAGTTTCAGTGTCGACAGAAACCGAAAACGGAACAATAGACGTTCCCTAACCAGAGCAACGTGACAATACGTCTTACCAAACTGTTCAGAGGCAAAACGTTACAATACTTACGGATTCTCTTATTGATTATTTAGCAGCTGGACGGTTTCCGACGCGAGGCTTCCGACCCTTTCCCTCAACACATCGAAAGTTGGGCAGATCGTAGCGCAGGCGGTGTCCGCACTCTGATTGCGTTGCATTGTGGAAGCGTTATTTTTAGAAGAAAACTACTTTGACTTCATTGTATGTAAATTCACACCTGATAATTGTAGCGTTGCAGTTGTGTCTTCCGTTGTAGTTATGTCCTCACACCTAATAACCAATAGAATGCGGTTTTATTTCTTCCAATCAAAGTGTGTTGTGAACGTGTCTTCTGCGTGTCACTTCCCAACTAGGGGAGGGATGCAATGCAAAATTGTGAGACTATCGTTAAGTTTTCCGCGCTCGAAGTTTGAGAATTTCATGGGCTATTCTTGTTTCATGGGCTTATCCTTGATGCCTTTTGGGACACTTCGGATTGTTGAACGATTAATATTCTTGTTGCGTTTTTAAGCGCGAAGTATCAGTGAAATTTTCTTCGATAAGTTGGAAAGGTTAGGAAGACGAGAATTTGACATTGCCTCGTAGCTTCCCTTATTGGTATGGAGTGCGCTGGTGATCGAAGTTGTGCTTTTTTGTCGGAACTAGTAAAGGAAGGTAAGGTTTCGGTTGCATCTTATGCTAGTATTTTGTTAAATTTAAATGTTACAACCATTCTTCAAAGATCACGTTCAAGTTTTGGGCTTATGCATCTATCATCGGCCATCCCCTGGGGGGGGGGGACCCCGGGCAAGGGTGGGGACTTTGTAAAGGACCCTGTCAAAGTTCTTATTTTCCCCCTCCTAGGTGGGGACACAGAGGAATCAAAGTTCCCCTCCCTGAGGGGAATCACCTTGAGCAGCTTGAAACCTGACAAGAAAACAGTACTTTATACCCTTAACGAAATGTCATGTTTTAATAGTGCTTACATGTTGGTAACAATGCAAATTTCAATGTACTGCTAAATACAATTACACAAAAAAATGTTAACCAAAGTCCCCTGTTTTCCCCGCGGTGCAAGGCTTATGGAAAACAAACCTCCCTCATTTCCCCCGCCTCCAGGGTAAGTTAATCGTTCAAATCCCCGTATAAGTCCCCATTCAATGTTGAATTTGCCCGGGGTCCCCCCCCCAGGGGATGGCCAATGATAGATGCATTAGTACTGTAGATTTCATGTGACAGCATGGCGAAGCGTGCGAGTAACTACTAACTTGGATTCATTGAATCCTTCAGTGTCGAGGGCTAATTTTTTTTATTTTGCGTGGGACATGTAAAACTAGATGTTACATAATTGAAAAACAGGGCAGATCTCGGTGTTTCAATGCCCAAAAATGTGTAATTTTCTCCATCTCATTGTGCCTACAATGATGGCTATTATGGATACAGTGGAAGACATGTATTCATTGTAAATGTATGGGACTACGCAAAAATTCAACCTCTGGTATGGTTGATGTCAAATATCACATATCCTGGGAGGTTAACTCACAAACTGCTAACTCGTATGATGAAGATCTGGTCTCTTTCATAAAGGATAGGGTGCTGTCTCCCAATGCTCTCCAACAAGTAACAGTTGTGTTACAATGTATTAAATCATTCTCTTTGCTCACCCAGAAGGGACAGAATTGCAGCAAAATTACTCTTCACTTAATAATTAGTGCTTTTCTATTAAAATCAGTGGCTGACATATGCCACTTTCTTTATTTTGATCAATTTAGAGTAAAGTCCCTTGTACCAAATTATAAAGAATATGATAATAATATGTATGTTATATGTTACCACATTATCCATACTTTTTCAACTATGTGTCACAAACGTTAAAATGAAATAAACACTAATTCATGCAGAAATGAATACTTAATTCAATACAGACTATTGCCTACTATTAGCAATTATTGCTCCTACATGTGTTAGCAAGAACTTGGTCTTGTTGGCATTCATTGTGAGCATTTGGTGATCTGTATATTAGTGGAGAAACTCTCTGCAACTATCCTTGCTTAGAAAATACCATTCCTTTCACCCTTACTTAATATCATTCATACAGGCATGGATGAGAACCAGCAGCAAAGCAAAGAAAACAAAAGTGCTGATGAGGTGGTAAGCTCTATTCTAAACATTTTCTTGGCGAATTATGCACTAGTTATAAAAAGGTATATGTTGTGCTTAATTTTTGTCCTTGGTATAAACATCATTTTCCTTTGGTTTTGTTAATGATATGAATGAAAAATGCATTTTGTGTAAAGAAAGATAAAATTTAGCTCCTAGCCTAAGTTATGATGAGATGATGTGTCACTATCAATTTGGCCTCTATTAAAAGTAAAAGAATTAAACTAAGGATAAAACTAAACCACAGCATACCTATACTAAACCACAGCATACCTATACTAAACCCTCAGCCTATTTGTATCAATATTACTATTTTTTCTGGTGTTCACCCAATAGATTCAATCCACTCACAGACAAAGATGGCACCTGTGCATTTTACTATTACTCTTTGGCTAAGGCACTCGTAGAAAGCAATATTTCACAAAACAACAACATTATGTATGCAAGGTTTAAATTTTTCAGAACTTTACTGCTTGTTTTTATGAGTGGTTCCAGTATTTTCTTGCACAAAGAGTTCTGGTTGAATGTACCAGTCACCATGGTTTTTTGGTATGGTGGTTTACAGTAATTGTTGTATGAAGTAACCTTCACCAATATTAATTTTGTGAACTTGTCACTGACAAAGAGCTAGTTCATGATTAGACATTGTTCGTTTCATTAATTGCCATGCTCTACATTTATCATTGAAGTACCAATTGACTCCTTTGCCATCAGTAATTGCATTAAAGATACTGTGTTAGAAATCACAGCACTGTACCCCAAAATCTAATGTCATCCTCAGCACAATCTCATTTTTTGGGCAAGGCAAAAGTAAAAGTCAAACAAGACCACACAGACATCATCACAGAGACAACATTGCTATGTATAATGTTTATATAGTTAGTTACATAAAAGGTACTCTATTCATTAATT